CTTTCCCCGACCCCTCTTCCCATTAGTTAGGGGCTCTCTGCTTCCCAAGAGCTGGAACTGGATGGCTCAGCACACCAGGGTGTGTGACTCACCTGGCCACTTTCTGTGCTTTGACTTTCTAGTGCCCAAGGTTGAAGCAATGAATAAAAGACTGGGCTCCCTGGTAGAGGAGTTTAAGGACCTCGTTTACCCACCAGATTACAGTCCTGAGGGAAAAGCCACTAAACGAAAGCAAGGTAAGGAGCTGGCTATAGAACTGCGGTGGGTTCTTTTTAAAGTTGTCTTTGTATCAGAAGGCTGAAGCAGGGTTTCCGAGTTTCAGAACAGCCTGGACTGGTAATAGAAACCCAATTTTTTTTTAAATCATTACCAGGGATTGAACTTAACGACTGGGAGCTTGCAAGGTAGGCACTTATGCTGCTGATCTAAACCCCCAGCCCCTGAATGCAGTTTAAAAATAAAAAGGAAAATAAAAGTTGCCTTTATTGTCATATCACAGAAAGAGGATGATGGCCTTTTGGAAGCATCTGTATAGATCTGCCTGTACTAACAGATCTTCCAGCACAAGTGGAGTCATTACTTGCATTGTTTTCCAGTTTGCTTTTGGGTTACACAGCTGTATCCATTGGACAGTGACGAGTACGAACACAGAGCAGCTCTTGCAAGAGCAAGGCCACAGGTCGTTCTGCCAACTGGACATGCCCTGGTCTGTTTAACCAGCCCTGCTGTGGGTGGCCATGCTGCAGCGGGTCTGAGCAGCCACTGATTGTAGAGAGCTTTAGGGTGAAGCTGTAGACACTGAGGATTCTGATAAGATTGACACCCCACCCAGGGAGGGCTGAATGTATTTTCCTATGCTCTCACCAATCCTGGACTTATATACTGTTTTAGTAGGGAAAATTGTGTCCTGCTTTCATTTATAATTTCCAGTTACAAATGAGATGTATTTTATTAGAGTTTCTTTCTCCTGTGCACTACCTCTTGCTGGTGTTAACATTTCTTCTGGCAGACTGATTTTTTTCTTTCACTGTAAGGCTTGTCTATGGGGATGTCACTTCACGTGTTGTCACTGTTCTGGAATAGTCTGGCTTTGGCCAAGTAGAGCCCGATTTGGGCCTAATGACTGTGAAGAACGGGACGGTGAGGTGAGGTGAGGTGAGGTGAGGCTGGTGGCGATGGTGCTTTCTTCTTTTGTATTAGAAGTGACTTCCGTAAATGCCAAGATAGACCTTGCTGGGGCTTTGTGCTTGATGTGGCAGTGTTTGTCGTGCTGAGCCTTCACATTATTGTCTGGTGCCCTGGGACTTATAGAGTCTCTGTAAATGCTTTTGCCATTGTTGTTTTTCTTTCTTTTTTTTTTTTTCTTTTTCCTTTTTATGGGTACCGGGGATCGAACTCATGACTGCCTGCTTGCAAGGCAGGCGCTTATGCCGCTGAGCTAAATCCCGAGCCCCTATTGTTGTTTTTCTAATCTCTCCTCCCCTCCCTTCTTGAACATGCTAGGCACACACTGTACCACTGAGCCATAGCCCTGATCCCCAGAAATGCTTTTTTGGTTGGTGTTTGGCTTTTTAAGTGGGCTTCACCATATTGCCCAGGCTGGTCTTGCACTGGAGCACATGATCTTCCCACCTCATCCTCCTGAGTTACCTTTACTGCTTGTGTGTGTGTGTGTGTGTGTGTGTGTGTGTGTGAGAGAGAGAGAGAGAGAGAGACAGAGATTTAGCCTAGGGTCTTTGTGTTGAGCTATGTCTCCACCATGTTTTGAGACAAGGTCTTGCTAAATTCCTTAAATGGGGCTCAAACTTGTGGTCCTTCTTGCTCAGCCTCCTAGGGTGCAAGTATTATACCACACTAAGCTTTTCATTGGTTTTTGAAGGACAGAAAAAAGAATGATTTGTTTACCCAGAGTGAGCAACTGTTGTGGGTAACTGGATGGCATTTTCACCTGGTACATTTTTGGTTTTATATTTCAATGAAGCTGTCTTTCCAAGATACCTATTTTCCCCTTGGTTTGAGGCCAGCATCACAGTGTCACTGAAAATAGTTAACTGCAGCCCAGATAATGGGAGGCCCAGGCTCTGTGTAACTGGGATGTCCCTGGTAGCATTTCTGGTCATTCTTTTCTGGCCTCTCTTCCCAGATGGTGAAGGTTCTGGGAGCAAAAGGCCCAAAGTGGAATTATCTAAAGAGGAGCTCAAGGCCCATGCCACCAAGGGCACGCTGGGCAAACTCACCGTGCCCATGCTGAAGGAGGCCTGCAGGGTGTGTGGGCTGAAGGGTGGGCTAAAGAAGCAGGAGCTACTGGACATGCTCACCCAGCATTTCCTGAAGGACTGAGTGCAGCGTGCAGTCAGCTACCTGCAGCCTTCGACCTTCTGCAGAGGGCCAAGCTGCTTGCCTGTGTTCCTCACCAACTCACCGAGTGTTTCTGCTGAGTTGCGAGTCTGCTGCCTATTGGGAGCCAGGGACTTAAGGTTTGTGGGACCTCTTGTTGCCATGGAGACTATGCAGCTTTCCCATTTTGCTGTGCCTTACTGTACTGTGTGAATAAAGGTCTGACTTTGTACTACATAGTGGGGTTTTGGTGTTTGTTTTCAGTACTGGAAAGAGAACCCAGGGCTATCCTGCTGTTTTTTTTTTTTTTTTTTTTTTTTTTTTTTTTTTGTCTTTTTCCTTTTTATCGGTACCAGGGATCGAACTCACGACTGCCTGCTTGCAAGGCAGGCGCTTATGCCACTGAGCTAAACCCCCAGCTCCCCCATCCTGCTGTTTTGAGACAGTCTTTCTAAGCCACCCAGCCTAGATTCAAATTTGCAGTCCTCTTGCCTTGGCCTCCCAGAGTGCTGGGATTACAAGTGTGTGCTACCAAGCCTGGCTCTGTATACTGTTCTTTGTCTGCCTCCCACCCAGACAGCACTGGCCAGAGGCTCTTAGCTTCCTTTTCTTTTCCACTGGAAGCACACATTGTAATAGTGGAAACCAAAAGATGAGTCAGGCTGGGGGAGAGTTAAGGACAGGTGAAGGGAAGGTGAATGTACAGTTACTTCTGGCCTGATGTCATGAGTCATCCACTTCTTCTTGTGACCCAGAAATTCCATCCTCACATTCATAGTGGGCGAGAGACACACTGTCCTTCTGCTTTACCAGGAGCTGTGGTGGTTCTCCGGCCTCCCTGGCTTGGGTCCAAGCTTCTCTTCAGTGATCCTCCTGGTAACCTTGTCTGCTTTGGATATGAAAGCCGGTCCTACCAGGGATCACTGCAGGCGCTCTGAGCAGCTTGTGGGCTGGCCAGCACTTCCAGGGCTCTGCATTGCCCTATTTTGATAAGACCTCTATATCCTTTCAGTTGCTGGCTTAAAACAATAATAAATGTTTTCTTACCATTTCTGTGAATGAAAAAGTGGGGAGAATAAGGTATGCTTTTTTCTTTTTTTAATAAACAGGGACTCATTATGTAGTGTGCCACCACACCGTTTAGGCTTTGTAGTTCTAACTTGACTCATGAGGTATATTCAAGATACGGTCAGAGCTTGAAGCTGGAAGACCCACATGCAGAGATTGTGTATTTTGTTCTGACATCTTGGGGGAGGAGTGTACATGACTAGGGATAGACCGTACTCTTGGTTAACAGCTTCCTTCTGAGAATGCCTCTAAGACAGCCACTAACTTCTCTAACTTTCCCACACTAGACCATCATACCCTCTGTATCCTAAGTCACCTCAGGACTAGGTACTAGGCAACTGGAGACCTCTGCATGTGGGTCTCACAGAATCACTGATCCTAGCAGGCCTGTCGCCCACCCTGGCTTGCCTTTTTCGAAGTGTTGGTAAAGGATGTGACATAGACTGCTCCCTCACCCAAACCTGAGCCTTATCCAGCACCCCTGTGTGGCACTGCAAGCGTACTCCTCTTGGGAAATGAAATAAACTTATCTCAGTGGCACTGCCCCTCCCAGTGTTGTCACTGATCTGTTAACTGCAGATACAAATGAGACACAGGCTTATTCCCATGCTAGAAATGTGTGGGCCTGTCCCTGGGCCGATTCAGTCTTCATAACAAAGCAGCTGACTGCCCCTGGAGCCACCAGTGACACAGGCCTGTAGACCTGGCTAGCTACTCAGGAAGCTGAGGGAGAAACATTAGGATCTAGTTTGAGGCTGGCCTGGGCAAGGTAGTAGGGCCTTTTGCATTTTTTTTCTCCCCTTCAAGATGGGGTCACACTGTGCTACAATACAGTGGCTGTTTGCAGGCACAAGCCTACTGCTGCTAAGGACATGCAGCCAATGGCCCCCTGCTCCTAAAGTCACTATATTGGTACCAAACATACCCTGGGCTCATTTGACCACTATGTTACCCATTTACTTGGACCTTGGAAAAAAACTTCTCGAGCTGAGGTGAGGCACTCATTATAAGCTGGCCTCAGATAAATCCCAATGTAAGAGGCTGGAGGGGACAGGGGCTTTCGGTCACTAATACTAAACCTGTGCTTACCAGTGGCCCTCAGCTGCAGCGGATTTTGTCCCCAGGAAGCATCTGGCAATGTCTGAAAACAAGTTTTGGTTGGGGACAGAAAGTGGCCACCTAGTGGACAAAGCCAAAGATGCTGCTAAACATCCTGTAACAAATAGGACCACCCCTCTACAACAGCAGAAATAGCCAACCAGCTGAGGATGAGAGTCTGCTGTAGTCATAGACTCCGGTCACTGAGTCTGTACACGACATTTTAGGCAGGTGCAGTCCCTGTAATCTTGGCAATTGAGCAGACTAAACAACTTAGCAAAACCTTGTCTCAAAAAAAAATTTTTTTAAAAGGCTGGGGATGTAGCTCAGTGGCCTAGTAACCCGGAGTTCAATCCCTTGTGCCAAAGAAAAAGGCTGGGGTGGGGCTGGGGGTGGGGAAGAGAGCAGCAGCCCTAACCACTCCAGTAATGCTGACCATTTCTTCATTCAAATATCACTGGATACCCATTAAGAATCAGGCACTGTCACACTTAAAATGGACTATGAAGAGCTTTATTAGGGTGCTCAGAGCAAATGACACATCAGGGCGCCCCTCATACAGTGAAAAGTACACTTGACCCACACTGGCCCGAGGCAGAGGTGGGGGCTCCCAGGGCTGATGCAAGTGGCCACTGAGGCAGTAAATCCTCATTCACCAGAAAGATGCTTCCTGGTTGTGTTGTCCCTGCTGTGGCTTCCAGCCACGTCTCTATGATCTCCCGACACCCTCCACTCCAGCATCAGATGCCCCTGCTGCCTGTGCCCATCCTGGTTCAAGACCCAGATCAGCTGGCTCCCGGCCCACTTACCAGGCTATGTCTGGAGTCCTCAGTGCATCCCTGCTTTGCTCTTGGGGCTGGGGGCAGGGACAGGGCTGGTGGGGACATACCACACTGTCAGAAGCACCCAGGGGTACGTTAGTAAGAGGTACCTGGACACCAGCCCAGTAACCTCACAGAACACATGAAAGCCTCCTCAGATACAAGATTCCCTGGGGAGCACAGGCCCCCTCTACCACCACTACCACCACAGAGCCGGGTGCAGCTCTGTGGCTTCGCCATGCCAGAGCCACTCTTGAGTGGCTAGGGTTGGCTCCCATCCTACCCTGTGCACAGCAAGACAGACAGCTCCATCCTGGCTCACGTTTCTAGCTCTCCCTACCTCTCAGTGGCGCTGCTGCTCTGCTTCTCTGTTTTGGGATTCACTCTTGCACTTAAGCCGCTGAGCTAAACCCCTGGCCCCCTGGGATTGGTTCGTTTTCAGTGGGGAGAGTGAAAGGGTGGCAGGAAGGGCCGAAGGGGATGGGGAAGCACCATCCTCCTCAAGACAAGCAATACAAAACCAGAAACCAGATTTAGACAGTATTTTATAACAAAGCTACTGAAAATACTATAGCTAACACAGGTAATATGATACATCACTTTGGAGGTGGAGTCGCAGGGAGGGCAAGGCAGGGGCAGAGGCTTAGACCAAGAGCCTTTCGATAGATTGCTGGATGGACTGGATCTGCTGCTTCAGCTGAGAGCCTTCTTTGATGGTGACAGAACAGGCGATGACTGGCCTGGAGACCCCACAGGCTCGCCCCAGTGCCTGCTTGGAGCGCACGAACACGTAGGGCACGTTCTTGTCCTCGCACAGCAGTGGGAGGTGCAGGATGATCTCCAGGGGCTCTGCGTCGGCAGCCATCACGATAAACTCCGAGATGCCTCTGTTGAGGGTCTTGGTGGCTGTGGAGACGAGGACATGAAGCTGACAGGTGACACAGGGCTGGACCAGTGCAGCCACGACAAAGCAGTTTCCCAGGAAAGGAAAAGAGGTGCGAGGAAACCGGGCAAAGGCCCGGTGCAAGCCACTCTCTGTCCTGGAATGACCTGGGATGTGCGAGACAAACCCTACAGCCTCTAGTGACTGCTGCTTTCCCGTGTAAGTCAGCATCATCTCTTGCCTGGGCAACTGTCCCAGCCCAACTGCCGAGCTCTGGCCAGCAGGCAGTGGCAGCACACACCCTACCATCCAAAGGGGCTCCATGGGAAGACCTCACCTGAAAAGAAGCTGCCACAGCCACCCACTTCTGACTCTCTTTTTCTTACCCACTGAACATATAAGCTCTATCTTCCTTCAGTAGAAGGTAAGCCCCAAGGCAGGGACTTAGTTTTGTTTAGCATTGCATTCTCGGCATAGAGATGCATGCCTGGCATACAGCAGCTGGCATACACAGCAAGCATGAGTCTGAAGTGGGCAGAGGCCTAAGATACCACGGCCCGCCCCAGAAAGCACATTCTAGGCTGAAACAGGAGACTGAGCACCTCTGCTCAAGGACCTGGTTGTGCCAGCACCCCTGGGCTTGGGCCTGTGCAAGGCACGGCAAGACGAAGATGGTTCCACCTCTGAGTCTTGTCCACTGAGAAGTGAGGACACATGCCCTGCCTACCTCGCTACCCTGCCTACCTTGCTGCCCTGAGTGTGCTGGGTAAGAAGGGAGTTCCCGCTGGCCCTCCCCACACTGCTGCAGCTACACTGGCCCTGCCACCCTACAGTATGGATGCAGAACCCTGAAGGGCAAGATGACAAACACACAAAGGTTTGCTTTGTCTTTTAGCAATGGAGGTAAATGATTTCCCCAAATCTCAAATACAGCATAAACACCTGATTCTTTTTTTTTTTTTTTTTGGTTCAGGGACCGAACTCTCGACCTTGTACCTGCAGACACTTACACCTCTGAGCTAAATCCCTGGCCAAACACCTGATTCTTCAAAGACAAAACAACTTTCCCATAGCAAGCCGCTTAAAGTGGAGAGTACTCTGCTGGAGACAGTGGTGCACGCCTGTCTCCAATACTTGGGGGCTAAGGCAGTGAACTAGAGTTCACAAGTTTGGGGTCAGCGTGAACTGCAGAGAGGCTGTCTCGAAAAACAAACGGAAACAAGAGCCACCACACACAAAGGCTGGGGATGTAGCCTAGGTTAAACCACTTAGCACCATAAAAAACTCTATATTCTCTCTGGGCAGCAATGTCAAGGTATACATATTTATTCTACTAAAAAAGCCTGTTGGTTTAAAGATACAAAAGGGGAGCATTTCTAAGAAGCAAATCAAATTCTTGAATGTTAAGTACTCAGTATCAGAGATACAAACCGTTAATACCCTTTTGATGGCTCTAGAGAAAACTCAATACAGAACTTTCATTAACTTTCAAAGTCCCACAAAAATAAAATGCATTTATGTATTAAGAAATAAAGCTGGTTATGGTGGTGCACGCCTGTAATCCCAGCACTGAGGACGAGGCAAGACAATCGTAGCATGTTCAAGACCAGCCTGAACTGCACAGCAATACTCCATCTCAAAAAGATGAAAGAAAAATTGGTAAAACATTAACAGCTAGTCCAAAAAAATTCCGAGTCTATTAACCTTTACCATCTAATGCCAAAGTAAGCATTGCTCTTAAGCGCTCTAATTAATCAGTCAAAAAATCCAGGGCAAGATGGTACAGGCCTATAATGCCAGCTCCTCAGAAGGCTGAGGCAGGAAGATTACTTAAGCACAGGAGTTTGAGGCCTAGGCAACGTTGCAAGATGACAGACAGCACATGAGTAACAAGCACTGCCTCTCCTTCCTAACTGGAAATCTGCACTATAGGTGCCAGTCAGGGCCAGTGCCTTTGATTTCCCCCCAGCAGCCCCCTTAGCTGCCTCACCCTCATTGGCTCCTTTCCGGAGCTGCTTGTAGTTGCACGACTGCTGAACGAGGTCCAGTAGCTTCTTGGTGAGGTGAGCATCCGCGAGGGGATAGGCCTTTGGGTTGACATCAGCCTCAGTCTGGGTTGGGGAGGAAACATGAACATCAGTCAACGTGGACCAGAAGCCACTTCAGATGAGAGACGGTGGCCAGCTTGCTTCACTGCAACCCCACCTCCAAACACACATTAGCAGCCTGTCCACTCTAAACCCTAGAGCACCTAAAATACACTAACATGAGGAGGAGATGACCACACAGCCTGACAGCACACGTGGACACACAGACCTTCATGTGCCTTTCTTCAGCATGCTGCCTGGTGACAGTGCATGGACTATAAACCTGCACCTGTGGTCCGGCATCCACTTGAATTTCCACACAGCAGGGATGGTGAATCTTCTAGAGCTTTCAGTGATAACAAAGGCATGCATGCCATAGGTTCACCATTGCAGAGTAATCTTTTTATGTTTTTTTAAACTGGGAATCAAACTCAGGACCTCGCGCTTGCCAGACAGGCACTTATGGCACTGAACTTTATCACTGGCCCTGAATCAAAATTAAGGTATGAGTTACAGTAAACACAGCACAAAATTCTCTCTCCATTCTGGATGCAAATCTCTTTTAGTCCTCAGTGGGAATCTTGATTTCCAACACATGAAAATACTTCCTTTTTTATTCTACTGTATAATATACCCAAAATGGTTCTACCAACAAATTCACCAGGGTCAAAGTTTCTATTTTCTTTTTTAGGAAATCTGCCACAGCCATACAATAAGAATGTTATGTGCATAAGTTATTCAAATTCATCTCCTCCTGGTGGTAAACAATTTGGAGTTTGTATATAGAATTGTTCATATTTGCTTTTTAAACAAAGATCCTTTTTTTTTCTTTGATGGTACCAGGGCTCAAACTCATGACCTCACACTTGCCAGGCAGGCGCTTATGCTGCTGAGCTAAATCCCCAGCTCCCAAAGATCCTTTTTTAAGCTGGGCATGGTGGCAGATCCCTGTAACCCCAACACTCAGGAGGCTGAGGCAGGAGGATCAATTACAACTAGTTTGAGACCAGCCATAGTGAACTCAAGGCCATCCTGAACCACACTGCAAGACCTTGTCTCAAACAAAACACTCCATAAAGACTTAATATCTTTAGATTTATTTCTAGATACTTCAGGGCTTCAGGTTAAGAATATTTACAATTGGGCTGGGGATTTAGCTTAGTGGCATAAGCGCCTGCCTGGCAAGCGCAAGGTCCTGAATTTGATCCCTGGTACCCTGCCCCCCCCAAAAAAAATTTACAATCCAGGCGCACGCCTATAATCGCAGTACTCTAAGAAAAGAACTGCAAGTTCAAGCCCATCTTAAGCAACTTAGTGATTTAGTAAGACTCTGACTCAAAAAAAGAAAAAAAAAAAAAAAAAGAGGGCTGGGATATAGCTCCATGCAAAGGGCCCAGGTTCAGTCCTGGGTACGGAAAACAAATTGACTGCAGTGCTAGAGACACAGCTCAGCTGTGGTTGAGAGGCTGATTCTCGGCAGCACATAGACTGGACACTTAGTTCACTTTCTTTCTTTTTTTTTTTATCGATACTGGGGATCAAACTCAGGACCTCACACTTGCAAGGCAGGCACTTATGCCGCTGAGCTAAATCCCCAGCTCTTAGTTCACCTTCTAGTGTACACAGAATATTTCATTTCTGCCATCCTGAAATAAGCCAATTTAAGATTATTTAATTTTTTGCCGGGCATGGTGGCTCACGCCTGTAATCCTAGCATTCAGGAGACAGGAGACTGAGGTAGGAGGATCTTTGCGAGTTCGAGGCCAGCCTGGGCTACAAAGTGAGCTCAAGGCCAGCCTGAACTGCATAGAGAGACCCTATCTCAAAAAGACAAAAAAAAAAAAAAAAAAAAAAAAAGATTATTTAATTTTTACAATTAGCTAACAAAAGGTCTCCTTTGGAGGTTAATAAAAATTCTCTACAGTTAAATACAGTGACAGGTACATAGCTGTAAATACATAAAAAAAAGCCACTAGATAAACAAATACTTTTGGGGGGCAACTTAGACTGGCCCTGAACTCATTTTGTAGCCCAGGCTGGTTTCAAACTTGTGATCCTCCTGCCTCAGCCTCCCAAGTGCTAGGATTACAGGCGTGTGTCACTATGCTTGGCCTGAATCAATTGTAAACACACAAGCTTTATGGTATGTAAAACTGGAGAACTTAGCTTTTTTTTTTTTGTCTTTTTTTTATCGGTACCAGGGATTGAACTCACGGCTGCCTGTTTGCAAGGCAGGCGCTTATGCCGCTGAGCTAAATTCCCAGTCCCTTAACTTCTTTTAAAATTAGTATACTGGGCTCAAATCTTCTTTTATATTTATATTTTCTACTTGTCCCACTGGTTTGCTGCCTTTCCTTTTTTTTTTTTTTTAATTTATTACTATTTTCCCATTATTTTCCACTCTATGTGTTTGGAGTTTGTTCTTTACAATCCTTATATTATTTTTTTTTTCTCAAAAGGGACTTGCTAGGATACCCAGTCTGGCCCTGATTATCCAGCTTAGTTTCCTGGGTATCTGATTACAAGTTGTTGTAGTCAGGGGTTACACAGAGAACAATTAAGATTAGGACATGGAGTTTATAATATTTTTAAAATGGTCACCGGAAGTTAACACAGGAAAATGCAGGAAATCTATCCACAACACCACAGACATAGATTATTTAGTCAAGAGCCTAAGCCCCACAGCAATGTCCCACATGAGTCCAAATAAAAACCCAGAGCTCAGGACAATGCCTCCCACAAGTCCAACTGGAGGTCCAGAGCCCACAAGAAGGACTCACGCCAGTCTCTTTTACGGATCCGTGCCGGGAAGACCCAAGGGTCAGCAGTGGAAGCCAGAAAGTCCATGCCAGCAGGATGCAGGAGCTGTGCTAGTGGGATGAGGGTTCTACGCTGGAGCTGAGAAGTCACACTCACAACAAAGACCAAGGCTATCCTGAAAGGCACCACAGCTGGCCTCAGCGACACGGAGGCCCCGAGCTCCTCCAACGACAAGCATAGTCAGGTACGTGCCAGGAAGCAGTGCGAGGAATTCATCCTGGAGACCAGGCAGCACATGTCTTCCCCTCCGAAACCAGGAAGCAATGCTCGATATGAGGACCAAGGCTTCTCCAGGAGAACCAAGAGCTCAGACAGCAACTCGTAGGAGAACCCACAATGCCTCCTTAATGCCTCAACCCTCAACACCTCCCTTCTTCTCAATCTATTTATCCTGGCAACTTTCCTCAGGTGGAACATCTTCGCTCAATGCCATGCTGATGTAATCCAGCTGGCGTCAAGTTGACTACCAGTTCTTAAACCATAACACAAGTGTTTATCGAGCTTTATCTTTCCTTTTTCTTTTCTTTTTTTAGATAGGGTCTTGCTAGGTAGATCAGCCTGGACCTGAACACACTATGTAACCCACACTGGCCTGGAATTTGCCACAATTCTCTTGCCTCATTCTCCTTAATGCTGGGACAGCAGTTTTGCACTACCATGCCCTGCCTTTACATTCTTTTTTTGAGGGGTGTGGAGGGGAAACTGGCAATTGAATTCAGGGTCTTTGCCTTAAACTATACTGCCAGACTCTTTTTTATTTGAGACAGGATCTTGCAAAGTCACAACATTGCCTATGTTGGGGTTGAACTTGTGATCCTCCTGCCTCAGCCTCTCACAGTACTGGGACTGCAGGTGTGGGCCACATGTCCAGCCCAGTTTATACCTTCAAACTTGTCAATAATTTATTTATTTAGGGGGGCATGAGGAATCGAACTCAGGAGGCAGGCACTTATACTGCTGAGCTGTATCCTGGGCCCGTCAATAACAATTTTAAAACCAATAAACTGGTAGCTTGTAAACACAAATTAAAACTTGCTTAGTATGTATTTACTCATGTTTTAATTTATGTTACATGAGTGACTGGAACTGTACTGCTACTCAACTTAAATCCTTAGCTTGGTCAATTTCTTCTCCCCCTATACTAAAGAACCAAAATCTGCAGGTCACAGGACATGGCAGTGAATTCCAGCCCCCTCTTGCAAAGGCAAGAGGATCACTTCAAGTCTGAGACCTGACTGGGCTAAGTAGAGTTTGAGGCCAGTCTGAACTAATAGATGCTGTCTCAAAAACAACGACAACAAAAAACCCCACAGTTTTGATTTAACAAATACAGTCACAGAGCAAACAGATTGCATTTATAACAGTTGTTCCACAGATTACAGAAAAGCTGAAAAATTCCCATGGTCCAGTGACTCTGTGGCCATTGTCAAAGATCTACCACAATGCATTACTTGTGTTTGTGATGACAGTGGTGTAAACCCACTGTGCCGCTAGCTGTGTCCATACAAAAGTACAGCACAAAGGTGGGTACAGCTCAGTGGTGGTAAAGTGCCTGCCAACTATGTGCCAGGCGCTGAGTTCAACACCCAGCACAGACAGGAAGGAAGGAACAAAAACGATGCTGTACAATAATACACAATGCTTGGTGAGTAAATGACATTCACAGCTGGGAGTAGGGGTGCACACAGGTAATTCTAGCATTCTGAGAGGCTGGGGCAGGATCCTAAATTCAAGCCCAGCCTGGGGAATGCACATGGCAAGACCTTGTTTCCAAAATATGAACACAAGGCTTGAACTCAAGCTCAGCAAGAGGCCAGTAGCACTGCTTATACACCTCTAGTTTGCTGCCTCTCGATTTTGTAGAGGCCACAAGAATGTCTGTTGCGGGGGCTGGGGATTTAGCTCAGCGGCATAAGCACCTGCCTTGCAAGCAGACAGTCGTGAGTTCGATCCCCGGTACCGGTAAAAAGGAAAAAGACAAACAAAAAAAGAATGACTGTTGCCTTAACATGTAAACATGTATACACACTATGATAATCACAAAATCTGTTAAATGCAATTCTCAGAACACACTTCTGTCCTGAAGTGATGCTTGACTACGGTGCACTCTGTATCAAGCATGAGGGTTCTGTTTAACCCATGACCTCTTCTGATCGCTCAACATTCTCGTAATTGTTATCCCAATGGTACAGTTGAAAAACACTGCCGCAAAGTTCCATCAGAGATGCCCAGATTCCAAGCTTTTCAATGGATCTATTTAGAGGAGCACTGGCTCAGAAACTTCAGGTTCTAGACTCTGCCTGTACCAGCTTTAAAATGACGTTAGGAGGTGGGGCTGAAATGGGAGATAGTCTTGAAGGGATTCACGTTCCCTTAGGTTAAACCCCACTGCTGCTGGGCATCGCACACCTTTGTGATCCCAGTACTCAGGGAGACTGAGGCAGGAAGACCACCAAGTTCCAGTCCTGGCTGGTACCACCACTACATGTGACAACCACATTTGGTTGTCTACAATTTGTGTAATACTGTGTGTCAAAATTTAAAAAGGGGTGGGGATGTAGCTCAGTGTGGAGGCTCTAGGTTCCATTCCTAGTACCAAAATAAACCTCGCTATAGAAGTGAATGTGCTTTGCAAAATCCTTCCTTATCCAGTGCCCATCTAAATTAGGACACACGAATTGAAACTAGGCCTAGCTGATCACAAAACTGTCGAAAACCAAGTGTGGTTGTCACTTGTGGTGGTGATGGTAACAGAACCTCTTGATTTTTTTAGGCCACACACTCTCAGGAGTCCTTCTTGCGCTCCAGCCTGGAGGTCCGGGTCACTCTACATTCCTCGCGGCCCCAAACGCAGAAACTAAGTAAGTCCCTGCCACGTGTTAACTCGCTACAAGCACTAAGTGCAAACCGGTAACAATCTCCTTTTCCTGAACTCAGCGATGGGAACAGAGCTGTTAGGTAAGGGTTAGGGGAGGATGATGCGCATACCAGGCTCCCGCGCCGTCCTCTGTAAATCGCTTAAAAAGATAGAAGAGGATGGAGCCAGGCGTTTTCCTCTAACTTTCCCCCACGTGGGTTGGTCTTTCTCCCGGGCTGGCCACGCTCTCTCCAGCGGACCCGAGACCTTCGAGGACGCAGGCCGAGTGCCGTGATTACCCGATCACAGGCGCCGAACACTGAAGCCCCCCGAGTTCGGCCCACCTGCAGGGACCTTCCGGCTACCGACTTCTAACTCAAGGCCCGGCGGCGGCACCCAGAGTCCAGCGATTAAGGCGACGCACATTTCACGCCCCCCAAAGGACGGCCGGAGGGCGGATCCCCGCGCCTCCCGCTCCACAGCCCTTCCGCCGGGCGCACGCACTCACCATGGCAGCGGCTGTCCCGGACTTCCCGCTCTTCACGAGTACCAGACCTCTGAAGAGTCCAAAAACTGCACTAGAAAACGGGCGGAAATGGTCGCCAGTGATACAGGAAGCGGAAGTGACGTCACAACGCAAGGGCGGACCTCACTCTCTACCGCGGCGCAGAAGTGTGTTTTTTTTGAGGGGCTACTTTACTGTTTTCATGAGCGTGTAACTATAAATTATTGGCTGAAACGATGAATTAAACAATCAGAAAGTGGCACATAAAAACAAAGGATTTCAATGGATTCACCATTCCATTCAGTATTTTATTTTTTTGGTGGTATTCGGAGTTTGAACCCAGGGGCGCTGTCCCACTGAGCCACATCGCCAGCGACTCCCTCCCCCAATTTTTTTTTTTTTTTTTTTTTTTAGTCTTTTTGAGACAGGGTCTCGCTGTGCAGTTCAGGCTGGCCTTGAATTTCCAGCGATCCTCCTGCCTCAGCCTCCTGAGTGCTGGGATTACAGGCCTGTGCTACCACTCCTAGATTCCCCTTATTTTTTAATTTTTTGAATTGAGATCTTACTAGGTTGCCCAGGCAGGACTCTGAATTTTGACTGTTACCTCAAACTTCCGCCGGTGTGTATTCCCGTGCTTGACTTTTGTCAGTTCATTTTTTTGAGCACATTTTTATGCTTTCACAATGATTTTTTTGACTGCACGCTGTTAAATTGGTAATCCCCCATTTTTTTTTTTTTTTTTATCCTCATACACGGTATTAACATCTTGGTGAGAAATTGAGTTAAAACCCAATAAATTGGCGAATGTAGGGGGAGGAGCGGGTTTGGTGCAGGAAAATAGGGGTTGTATTACTGTCAGGTTGTGTTTGGAGAGGATTTTGGATACTTTCTTTTGGCCAACATCCTGCTCTTCTTAATGCTGTTGCAAGTCTCCATTATTTAAGGCTAAACTCTTGCCTCACCACCCCTAAAAGTCCTCCTTGATCTTTATGTCCTTCCTGATCTCTCTTGAATGCTGTACACACTTTGAGACCATTTGAATTAGGCCAAAATCAAACTCTTCAGCCACAGACTACCAGAAACAGCTTGCAGTGTGTTACTACTTGTTGCAACAGAGAACCACACATGCCAAGGGGATCTTTGATCTTCTCAATAAACTGGCATTATCAAGGGATTATGGTGGGATACACTTTTATGCTAAGCGCTTTTGAGGAGGGCCAAAGAAGTGAGGCTTGCTCTAGATTATATGCTACCTGGGGGCATGGGCTTTTCCACAATCGGGCAACTTAATCTGTTTGTCAAATTGAGGGGAATGGGATGGAGAGAGGCCAAACCTGTAGTTGGTGAAGAGATAGCCATTATTCATAGTGGCCCTGATAAGAAAATGTTTGGTCGTGTTTCTGTGTGTGCATTCAGACTTGGTGAGGGAATGCTATTGTTTTTGTCTTACAGCAGTTAAAGTGGCCTTGTCTGATGGTGGTGGTCTGTGAAACTGTTTATGTTCAGCAGAACTCCAGGGCCCAGCTTCAGTGTCAGGGAAGCTACATTGTCGTGTGTCACTGGCAGAACTGGACTGGTACCTAGCTGCATGGGGTGCCTGTCTTTTTCTCATGAGCCTTGTATTCCTACTTCCAAACTCTGTCTTTTAGGCATAAGAGCCTTCTCTTGAAAGTGAAAGCCCAAACTTATTCCACACCTCTACTCCTCTGGCCTGGGTCTATGAGAGAGTCTTGGGTCCAAGATGGACTGATATTCACCCAGGATACTGATACAGTACTTGGGGTTTTTGTTTTAATTGACTCTGGATCTCACTATGTAATTCGGGATGACCTTGAACTCAGTGATCATCCTACCTTGGCCTCCTGAGTGCTGGGATCACAGGTGTGGGCCACCATGCCCAGCTAGAGAAATTCTTCCAATGGCTTGGTAAACAGGTGATCCCCTCTCTGGAATCCCAGAGATCACTTACAGTCTAGCCACAAAAGGGTCAAGTCTCATTTCCTGATGTTCCTGTCTTCAGCTACTCCATAGTCTTTGTTTTGTTTTGTTCTTTTGTTTTTTAAGACGGGGTCTCCCTGCATACTTCAGGCTGGCTGTGAACTCACTATGGAGCCCAGGCTGGCCTTGTTCAACCTGAATGCTGGGATTACAGGCCCGTGCACCCCCACACCTGGTTTATTTTAGACTTTGAATATAACTTTTGGATGAAAGGCAGCCCTCAGAAGGCAGCCCTCAGGGTACAATCTGTTCTCTCATTGTTGTAACCCACCCAAAAAACAAGGCCCCATGATGAAAAATGGGGCAAGATCCCCAAGATGATAAACGGGGCAAGACGTCTTTTTAAAAGAAGCGCTTTTATTTTAGCTGGCCCAGCGACACAGTGCAGATGGAATTTGCAAAGCTGTGCAACTGAATTAGAATTTTGACTGATTTTTATAGTTCATTTATGATTAGCTCATTGATCATTAAGTTCATAGTGATGAGAAACAGAAACAAGGTGGGCCTTTATTCCCCTTTGCTTGAGGTAAGAGGCATTTCACAGTGGGTGGTTAGCCAATTCATAGCCCTTGGTCTGCCAATTCCAGGAACATTTGTCTCTCTTAAAGGGAACAATGGTTGACACAGCATCATCTGTCTCTTACAAGGAGAAAAAGTTGACACAGCAAACAGCTTACTGGGCAAGGAGTGACTCGTACAGAAGAGCGTAACGATGCGGTCAGTTAATCTATAACTAAGTGGTTGGTGCTTGGTTACTAGGGTAACAAGCTCAGTACAGAATGACAATACTGCAAATAACTATCTTTTTATTTTTGCTAATTATCTTTTAATCAATTATTTAAATTTTTCAGCATCTTAGTATAACACTCATCAACACCAATCCTTGAGTGGGAAAAAATAATTTCCCAACAGGAAATTGGATGTTGTCAGCAAAGAAAAAAAGATGACGAGTAATCCTAAAAGAATACATGTATTCTGGGGTGAGGTAGTACATGCTGGTAACACCAGCACTCGGAAGGCTGAGGCAGAAGGATTGTGGCAAGTTCAAGGCCAGTATGGGCTACATAGTGAGTTCAGGGTCAGCCTGAACTACATAGCAAGACCCTGTCTCAAAAAAAAAAAAAGAATGCATGCATTCCATACCAGGGCTCATTAAATGTTTGATAACTAATGAACTGAGGGAAAAATGGATAAAAATGCATGTTAGCAAGAAAAAAAACACTGTGGGTTACATCTTTATACATGGAGGAAAATTAGTCTCTTCATTCCAAAGGACAGGGATATTTAAAACAGATTTTTATTTTTCTTAACTCCTTTGGGATGCTTCCCCAACTCCATCCTTACCTGTGCAGAGGGCTGCTGGCTAAGGTCATTGGCTGGAGCTGCCATGAGGACATCAGTCGCCTTTGTGAGGTGGCCTCAGTGACAGCAGCACTATGAAGCAGGGACCACCACACCCTGAGATGAGGGTCAGTCACACCAGCACTGCCCTCCAGCCCCCCAACACCACCTGTCTGATCTAAGCTTTGCCATGTTGCTGCCACTGCTGGGGGCCTGTGCCGTGGTGGGGCCTTTCTGGGGCTCCGAGTGGGAGCCAGTGCAGGGCCTGCTGCCCCAGGACTGCAGGTGCAGGGATCCCCGGTGCTGTGGCAACCTGCTTGTCCTCTGCCTCTTTCTGATCTGGCAGGTCCGGCATTTTTGGTATCGGGTTATCAGGATGCGCTCCAGCAAGAAGAACATCAGCAAGGTGAGGGGGTCCTTCACATTTTCTGCCATCAGCTCCATGATTGTGCCTGTCCATGCCATAAGGACCCTGTCCTATGCCCTGTGAACCCAGAGAGGAGGCCACCACCAGGCCCTGAGCCCAGGAGTTATTTGGGTGGTTCTATTTCCCTTAACACATTCATTTAATCCATCTGCAACTCTCATGGGCTCTACTTACAACCCATGTCTCACATCTGTCTGCTCACTGCCTGAAACCTCACCACACCCCCTGGGTGGAGCTGGCAACCTATCTCACCCGAACCTCAGTAAATGGCCTTCTGCCTGGCTCTCTGGCCAAACCATGGTCATTCTTCCATCCAGCCACTAGCCACAGTGACCTCTCTCTCCCTCTCCCTCTCTCTCTCTCTCTCTCTCTCCCTCTCTGTCTCTCTCTCTCAAAATTGTGTCCATCCAGGAGCAGTGGTATACATCTATAATCCCAGTTCTCTGTCTCTGGGAAGGTGAGGCAGGAGGGACCATGAGTTTGAGACTAACCTGGGTAACTTAGCGAGACCTTTTCTCAAAAAGTGAAAAGGGCTGGGGATGTAACTCAGTGAGAAGGCCCTGGTTCAATCCCCAGTACTATAAAAAAAAAAAAAAGGAGGAGGAGGGAGGGGAGAAGGAAGAGAAGAAAAAAACCAACCACTGGCTTGGAGGTACAGCTCGGGGGTAGAGTGCTTGCTTGCCTCGTATTCATGAGGGCCCTGAGTTTGATCTCCAGCACCCTAAAAGGATAGTGTGAAGAGATCACTGCCCACATCCCAGAAATATGCAGTCACAACTCTACTCTGCCGATTTCTACTAGACCAGTGTTTTCTATGTGAAATCATATTCCCATACACAGCTAAGTTAGGAGAAGTATCCTAGGCATCTAGACAGGACTGGGTCCTCCAGGGAGTCAGTACAAAAGATGAGAACACAGTGCAGTGTGGTGGGAGGCACATCTGTCAAAGGCCAGGCCTCGAGATAAAGACAGAATGACCAGGCCCACATGCCTGCCCAAGCCATAAGCAATAAATTAAAGATTCTACTATAATTGCTATCACCTGGCCCGATAAAGCCTCTAGACATCAGTCCCCTCAGTGGGTGACCAGGACTTCCTGACCCATTCATTCCTTCTTTCTTTCCATGCACTCTTGTTACATGATCTGCTTCCCCATTGGATCAGCATTACCTAAGCGACTTGTATTCGTAATCTGATTGGCTGATCATAGTTTAGATCCATGTTGTCCACCTTGTGGTTTTGCTCTATAAAACTTCCTCTGAGAAGTGGGCTTTGTCAGACCCATTTTCTGGCTCCCTCCTGTCTCGAAGGTGCTATATCTTTCAGTAAATTTCTCCTACTCTTAACCTCTGTTGTTTTTAGAATTCATTCTTCAGTTTTGGGAAACAGAAACTCAGCATATCTGACATCTAGCAGGTTGGGAGTTACATTTATTTTCTCTATATCCACATGGCAAGTAATCTGCATGCCTGACTTAGTGCAGCATTGTTTGTGAGCTAGAAAAATCTTTTAGGAGTCTTTTTTTTTGGTACCAGGGTTCAAACTCATGACCTTGCACTTGCCAGACTGGTGCTTGTGCTGCTGAGCTAAATCCCCAGCCCTGAGCTTGACAAATCTTTTAAAAACCAATCATCACATTTTGCTCTTCCAAACCCTCGTATAGCTCCTGTAGACCACTCCCTGTCAAACTCGGAATAAAACTCAGGCTCCTAACCACAGTTCTAAAGCCTGACGTCATCTCTGGTGTGTTTGTCCCCACCCTCGTGGTTCCAGACTCCATCCTGCCCGAAGCCTGTATGAGGCCTTGTCCTGTCCTCAGGTCCTTCCCACTCAGGGTCTTCTCTGACCACAGTGCTCTTTCCTCAGATATCTGTGTCCCTCACTTCACTCAGGTCTCCAATCAAATGTCACCTCGCCTGAGAGGTCTTCCCTGACCACTCTGTCTGAGGTCACTAATAAGTAATGATTTATTTTCATTCAAATACGTTTGACACCTAACATTGTCATATATTTGGTTATAATATTCCTTTCATGTCTAGAAAATAGCTCTCAGCTGAGACTTTGTTTGTCTTGTTCCTGTTGGCGTGTCAGTGCTCAAAACAGTGCCCTGCCTAGAGTAATATCTCATTTTTTTTTCTGGTACTAGGAATCGAACTCAAGACCTCGAGCTTGCCAGGTACGGTGCCACTGAGCTATATATCTGGGCCCTATCTTCCTCTTTCTTTTAATCTACCACCACCACTACCACCTCTTCATTTGTGACACTGGAAATTGAACCCAGGGCCTTTGTACTCAGCTACGCCCCAGCCCTTTTTATTTATTTTATTTTGGGACAAGATCTTTCTAAGTTGCCCAGGCTGGGCTCAAACTCACGATCCTATCATTCCAACTTTCTAAGGTGTGTAGCACCATGCCTGGTTACACTCTCCTAAACCGACACACCCTATTTTCTTTCTGCCAGGTGGCTCCCCCTCCTGGAGCCCGGGCACCATCTCTGCGTAGTGGGAAGTGATCACTCGGATCTATGGGGATTATAGGAGGTAACTGGGGTGCCAGGCTCTGCTTCTTGGTTCTCTCCCACAGGGGCCACTGCAGAACTGGATAGTTCCCCCCAAGAGACGCACAGCTCCCTTTGAGCCCAGCCCTGCATTCTCCAGTCCCAGCCACCTGAGGGACCTGGATGCTTACATCCAATATGGGGCACCAAATCTGAGATGGAGATACCAGAGGAGCCGGCAGGAAGCCTGGGCCCAGTGCCTGTTCTGTCCACGGCATCCGAGTCGGGGCTCACCATGGCGTGGCTGCAGCCTCTCTGAGCTCATCTTTGGCAACTCCTCCCTTTCAAGCACCTGTCTGTTCCCTCGGAACAGTTCCTGGGAGTCACGGCACATTCCCTGGTGTCAAGGGGACAGCCAGCTTCACTCTGCCCTGCACATGTGGCAAAGGACAGAGCAGCTGCTGGTTCACTCCCATGAGATGCTGGTGCCCCTGGAGCACATGGCCAGCAGAAGGGCCGGGGCCACCTCCACAACCTTCGCTCTCTCTCTCCCAGACCTCCCTACAGCTCAGAGGCTGCAGGCCTGCCCTAGAGAGTCCCTGCCTGGTCCTTCCCGCCTACAACTGGAAATGCTCACCTGGGAAGCATGGGGGAGCTCACAGCAGACCTGGACCCCTTGGAGTGACACTCTGACAGTAGCCAGAGAGTATAGTAGAAAGACCCAGGCTTCTGAGTCAGGTGACCAAAAGGGCAGAGAAATCCAGGCACCCAAGGGGCAAGTCCCAACAGACTCTGGAATAGGGGACACTGTCGAGGCAAAGGCCTTGGGATGCAGAGAGCAGAGCCTGGTCATCAGAGAAACTGAGGGAGAGATCCCGATGCCAAAGTGGGAGAACCAGCTGGGAGTTGAGAATAGAGCCCGAGCTGAGGAACTAGGGAGGAAAACCCAGAGGGCGGCTTCAAGTGAGAGTCCTCCTGAAACCCAGGCTTACGCAGAAGACAGCCAAGCACAGTTAAGGTGCAAAACTGATGTAGGGACTCAAACTCCAGAGAAGGGGTCCCAGGGTAAGAACAGAGATGAGGACGCTGTGCAGACACAGACATATGATGGGAAGAACCAGAAAGAGGCTAGAGAGGCGGAAGAGGGAGAGAGGCAGGCCCGGGGACTGGAGAAACAGGGCCATCCTGGAGGGGACAATGGTGAGGAGGCCCTGTCTCCAGAGCAGAGGAAACAGAACCAGATGAGAGAAGACAGTGATGCAGAAACCGAGGCCAAAGAGGGGAGAAATAAGGGCCAGGATGGAGGTGGGGAGGCTGGGGGAGACCACCTGGAAGTCAAGCAACAGCATGGTGCAGAGAGCCAGGCCCGGGAGTGGGAGAAACAGCGGGGTACTGGAAATGAGAGGGTTGTAGAAATCCAGACGCCAGTCAGGGAGAAGGGTCAGGGTGAAAGCCAGCAAGCTGGGAATGCGGAAGCACCCTCGGGAGAGACCTGGACGTGGTCAGATCATGCTACTCAGGTTGGGGGAGAAGACCAGGGCCTGGGGAGAGGCAAGGACACTAAGGAACCTCAGCTGTCTACAAAGAAGGCATTCAGGGAGATAAGGGAGGTGGACTGGGTGGTGATCAAGGCACCCTGGTGGGGAAACCAGAGACTTGTAGTGAGTGAGCTTAACAGGGAACTCAAGACACCCTGTCAGTGGAACCAGTACCAGAACCAGGCTGGTGATAAAAATAGAGGAGAAATTCAGGCGACAGAGGAGAGCGAGCAAAGAAAGGGTGGAGACAGCACCCAGGGGCATGAGAAAGAGAACAAGGGACAGTTCAGAGGGGAAAGTGATGTGGAGACCTGCCTAGCGGGAAGAAACCACAAGGAGTGGTTCAGACATGGAAACGGAACTGACATTCAGGGGCCGGGAAAGCCAAACCCAGGAGGAACTCAAGGGGAGGGCGGTGTCGAGATCCAGGAAGTTGGGAAAGAAAGTGAGCTGGGAAACGAATTTCATGGAAGGAGTTACTTTCCAAAGTGCAAGAACCAGGAACATGGCAGAGGCAAGGATAGTGCAAATATTCACACACTTGAAACAGAGACCTGGGGAGAATTAACAAGCGAGATGGACAGAGAGACCCAGCCAGCAGAGCGGAAGAAAGGAGAGCAGGCTGAGAATGGGGAAGAAATCCAAATACCAGTAATAAGAAACTCAAGAGGAGCTGGAGGGGAGGCCGGGACAGAGACAGGGACAGCTGGGGAGGGAAGCCAGGGCCGAGCAGGATGTGGTAAGGACAGGAAGAGCCCTTCGGCAGAGTGGGAGAATCAGGAACAGAGAAGTGAGGATGGAACCGAAATCCAGGCCCCAGAGAAGGGAAAGCAGAGAGTCCCTGGAGGAGAAGGTGGTTTAAAGACCTGGAGACCTGAGAGAGCGAACGGGGGGCAGTTGGAGAATGAGACTGCAGGGTGCTCTTCTCTTGGTGGGGGAAGCTGGGAACAGACTGGAGGAGAGAACATGGCAGAAAATCAGGGATCTGGGAAGGGAAACCAGAAAGATGGTGGAAGTGGGTATGGTAGAAAGATCCAGAGACTTACAAGTAAGAAACTGAGACTGTTAAAAAGCAAAGTGAACCGGAAGAGTTGTTCCTCAGAATGGCAGAATCCGGAACAGATTGGAGGCAGGAATGGTGCAGAGATTCAAATACAAGGGAAGAGAAACCTGAAAGGGGTGACAGGCAGTGAGACCCAGGCACCGGAGAGTGGTGGCCAGGAACAGCCAAGAAGGCAAACTGATGGAGAGACCCAGACCCAAAGGCCAAGAAACCAGAACATGGGTGCAGTGGAGAACACTGCAGAAATCTGGGGTGTAGGGAGCCAGAGAAAATGCCGACCTGAGGGTGCTACAGTGTCTCAAGCACCAAGGAGTGGAGACAAAGGTCAAGTCAGAGGCCTGGGTGCTGCCAGGGCCACGCTCCAAGGTGACAGTTGTGGGGGTGAGGGGCCCACAGACAGACAGTGCAGCCCAGCCCAGCTCTCACCTCTCACTGACTTTGGAGATTGGGCCTTGAACCAGGCCCAGACAGCAGCTCCCTGTTCTGAGATGAAGCCTCGCCCTCACTGGGGTGGGGATTTCCTGAAGACCAGTGGGGCAGGAGAGCAGGTGGCCAGACACGGGGAGACCAGAGCGGAGACCAGCCCAGCCTCCCAGCAGCCCCAACCTGGATCCCAGAGAAGACGGCGAAGGGACAAAAGGGTAGATCCTGCAAAGGCCTCCGGCCCGACATGGCAGCCTGGGAACCCACAGTGTCCCTGTGAGCCCTCTGCCTGCCCCTCTGTCTCATGTGGCCGAGTCCCCCATGCCACTAGAATTCTGACAGGTGCTAGCACTGTCTCCCCAAAGGGCCCAGTCCTCAAGAAGAGCCGTCGGCTGCTTCTGGAGTCCCTCATGCGAAGGAGGATTGCACACCTTAAGTGGGGCCTCCCACGGCGGATCTTGGAGTCTTATCTGCTCTTTAGCTTCTTAGGCCCTAACTCAATGCCCCTGGCTGGGGTGAGGCTGCCTGGGTTATGCATAAACCAGGAGCTCCGAAGACAACAGCAAAAGCAGTGTGCAGCCCAAGGATTCACGCCAAGCCTTGAATCTCCAAAGAAGCCTCCAAGAGTTCTACACTCTGAAAGAAAAAGCTCAAGTCTTCCCGCACAGGCCAGGGCTCTGGAGAAGCACAGAGGACACGGGTCAGCGCCAATGGGCTCTTCCACCCCGCCTCAGAAGCCCAGGAGAACCAGGCCACCAGGGGGCGCCAGAGAACTACAGATCCCGCAAGCGGTCCCCAGCAGCTTTGCAGAGCTTTGGAACGGTTGTGGCCCGGAACGCGCGTGGGAATCTTCCAGTGGGAACAGTAGAGGCAGGACAGTGGTCAGTGGTCTCGGAGGTCTCTCAGTGGTCTCGGAGGCAGCGGAGAGGGCTCCCAGCAGAGCAACGACCTCCTCTTCCAGAGCCAGCCACAATTACTGGAAGGAGTACACATCTTCGGAGGCCTCTAGGTGCCCTAGACTCAAAAGTCGGCATCCCACCTCCAGGACAAGAGGAAGCCCCGAGCCTGTGCAGGGTGGAGGTCCTGGGCAGCAGCCTCCTTCCTGTTCCCCAGAAACGTCTCGCTTCAGAGGGAGTCTCTATTCCACTGCAACCAGGCTGGGAAAGACTTTGCTGAGCAAGAGGTCCTGGTATCCACAGCTGGCCAGGTCCCAACTCTCGGCCCCTGACTTGAGCCTGCTTTCCAGCGAGGGGGATCCACAAGCAGGGGAGGCTGCTTTGGAGTCCGACCCTCAGCCCCCAGAGCTCTGCTGGGCTGGGGCGGCTCTGCCTGGGACAGAGAGCCACCAGGGTCAGGGGGCTCCATGGAATCCGGCAGCTGCTCCCCCAAAGTTTCGTTTTATGAAACATTTGCAATGTTTTTTCTTTCAGCGTGATTTTAAAAAGTAGGACTCAGGCCGAGTCCTCAACATGTGAGTGGTCCACTCTGCCTCAGTCTCTAATAAAATTGGTTATTTGGGCCCTGTAGGGTTCAGATTTCTTCAGTATAAGTTTTCTGAATGCCATCTTTTGGGGTTTGCAGTACTTTATGGATGGGGTACAGCCTCTATTGTCTTGAAGATTTGAGGAATATGGGTCAGTCCAATGTCATCCCCACCCTGGTCTTCATAGTACAGTCCATAGAGGTTTCTTTTTAGTATTTTTTTCTTTTTTTTTCTTTTTTTTTTGATACTGGGAATTGAACTCAGGACTTTGTGCTTACCAAGCAGTCTCTTGTGTCACTGAGGTATGTCCTCAGCCTGGAAAGTTCTACCATGGATCTTTTTTCTTTTGGACCCTGTAGTCTTGTTTTTTTTTTTTTTTTACTTTTTGAGACAGGGTCTTGTTATGTGGTTCAGGCTGGCCTTAAGCTCACTTCGTAGCCCAGGCTGCTCTCGAACTTGCAACGATCCTCCTGCCTCAGCCTCCCAAGTGCTCGAATTACATGCCCAGCTGGACCCTGTAGTCTTGCTATATAGTTCAGGCTGGCTTTGAATTCAGGGTGGACTCGAACTCCTAGAGATCCTCCTGTGTGCTGGGATTACAGTTATGTGAAATAATGGTAATACTTATTATTTCTTGGTACTGGGGCTTGAACCCAGGACTTTATACAGAGCTACATCCTCAGTCCTTTTCATTTTTTATTTTGAGATAGTCTTGCTAAGTTACCCAGGCTAGCCCTTAATTTGCAATCCGGTGTTCTCAGCCTCCCACATAGCTGGGATTATAGGAATGGATCACTGTGTCCGGCTAAAAAATTTACTTTCTATTGTGGTAATATTATATAGAACATAACAGTGTCTTAAACATTTTAATTCTTTTTTTTTTTTTGTCTTTTTTGTTTTTATCGGTACCAGGGATCGAACTCACGACTGCCTGCTTGCAAGGCAGGCGCTTATGCCGCTGAGCTAAATCCCCAGCCCCAAACATTTTAATTCTTATCAGCCCATATTTACAATACGTAGGGATGATAGTCTTTATGGGGAGTTAGGGCGTATCTTCATCCTTCTTCCATCCCCTTCCCTTCCTCTCCATCGCCATCACTTTACATGTGCAGTTCAGTATAAATCATAATGTGCAAATCCAGGTGTGGTGATGCACACCTGTAATCACAGCACTCAGGAGGCAGAGGCAGGAGGATCACTGCAAGTTTGGGGCCAGCCTGGGCTACATAGATCCTGTCTCAAAACCACATCGCCTCTAGAATGCTTTTCATCTGAAACTCCACACACATTAAACAATAACTCCCTGTATCATCTTCCCCACAACCCTGGCAAACACCTTTTTGCTTTTTGTGTCTATAATTCTGACCACATATACTTGGACTCTTAATATAAGTGTCTGTTTGTGACTGGCTTATTTCAAGTAAACTCAAGTACTTTTTTTTGAGAGAGAGAGAGAGAGATATGCAGGCTGGCTTTGAATTCACTATGCAGCCCAGACTGGCTTTGAACTTGTCGCAACCTTCCTGCCTCAGCCTCCAGAGCGCTGGGATTACAGGTGTGTGTCACTATACCTGGCTTACAAAAATGCTTTTAATGTTTTTTGGTGTATGCTCAGTATTAGAATTGAGCATTACATGTTAATATTATTTTTAATTTTTTGAGGAGTGACTATATGCATTTTTCCCCAGTGTGTCTACCATTTTACATTCCACCAACAGCAGGAGTTTCCAATGTGTATAACTTTTCACCAATACTGATTATATTTTCTGTTGTTTTTGAGAGTAGTCATCATAGTGGCTACAAGGTGGCATCTCCCTGTAGTTTTTATGTGCATTTCTTTAGTGACCAGTGATGTTGAGTACATTTTCGTGTACTTACTGACCATAATCTTTTCTGGAGGCAGATTTATTTATCTTGATGGGCACTGATTGGAATCATTCCCAAAATACCAGGAACTATTACCCGAGCAACTAAGAAACTGAAATACACTGGTTGGAGGGGGCATTTTCTATTACAGATTAAAGACCACAAATTCATTTTCTCACAGTTATGTGAGAAGCCCAAAATCAAAGTTCTGGCTGATTTGCTTTCTGGAGTGTCTCTTGACTTGTAGATACTGGCATTCTTCTGTGTCCTCATATAGCCTTTCCTCAGTGCATATGTGGGGGGAGAAAAATATGCAATATATTTTATAGCAAGAGTTGAATCCCATGGTGATGAAGATGAAACTGGATGGAGGAGGCAGGGACCCAAATTTATTTATTTTTGGTACCCAGGATTGAACTCCCGGCCTTGTTCACGCTATGCAGGTGCTTGTGTCGCTGAACTAAATCCCGGGCCCTTTTGTGTGTGTGTGTGTGTGTGTGTGTGTGTGTGTGTGTGTCTTTTTGAGACAGGGTCTCGCTATGCAGTTCAGGCTGGCCTTGAGCTAATTTTGTAGCCCAGGCTGGTCTCAAATTTGCAATGATCCTCTTGCCTCAGTCTCCTGAGTGCTGGGATTACAGGCGTGCACCACCACGCCCGGCTTTTTTTTTTTTTTTTTTTGAGACACGGTTTTACTTTGTAAATTACACTGATTTTGAACTCACTAAGTAGCCACATATGGCCTCAAAAAATCATGGTGATCCTCCTGCCTCAACCTCCCAAGTGCTGGGTTTACAGGCATGTGCCACCAGGATCAGATTCTTTTTTTTAAGAGTAGGACTGTTTTCTTTCTTTTCTTTTCAAGGCTATTTTCTTTTTTCTTTTCTTTCTTTTTTTTTTTTTTTTTTTTTGTCTTTTTCCTTTTTATCGGTACGGGGGATCGAACTCATGACTGCCTGCTTGCAAGGCAGGTGCTTATGCCGCTGAGCTAAATCCCCAGCCTCCTTTTCAAGGATATTAACAGCCACTTTTTAAATGATTTCCATGGGCCGTGGATTTAGCTCAGCGGCACAAACCCTTGCATGGCATGCGTAAGGTTGTGAGTTGAATACCCAGTACCAAAAAAAACCTTAAGTGTAGAGGAGACTAACTCCACTAGGCGCTAAGCATAACCACTTCTGACATCCCCGAGCCAGCTCAAGAGTCAACGCGGCTCCCACCTGTTCTTAGCAGCTGTGCCACACCAGAGGCGGCCACGAACTCGGTCCGCGCAGGCGCATTACTCACGTTTGGGCGCGCGCGGGGGGGGGGGGGCAGGTCTTTCAAGTGCGCTTGCGCACACGCTGCGCGGGAAAAGGCGCTGCAAGGCAACGTGTGAGCGACGACGGAGATGGCTGAGAGATTGTCGCTGGCGGCTTCCTCCGCAGGACTCGGGAGGGATGGAGACGCGGTGCTGTTCCTAGAAAGAGCCCATTTTCGACATGACCCGCGCTGGCTGTTGCCGGTGTCCCCGCGCCTCTGTGTGGCCTGCGTGCTGGAGCTGCTGCCTGAGCCCGGGGTGTCGGTGCGAGCGAAACCACCCTTCCTGAGCCAGGGCTCCACGTTTCCCTCACGCCAGGGCCTTCGTTAGGCCTTTTGCTTTTCCTGCCGCGAAGTCGGGCTAACCCGGCTCAGGTCACCCGGGTGGGAGCTCGCGGATCCCTTTTCCGTGCTGTCCCTGTCCCCACACCTGTGCTGAGTGGATGCCCGGACCCCTTAGTCACTCAGTGGCGCGCGCACCTCGCTCCGCGTGCCCTGCCATTTTCACCCCACTTCTCCAGGAATTAATTCCGTTGCAGCTCGGCTTCCTGCCATTTTACTTCCCGCTCAGCCTGTGCATCAGGCACCCACGTAGCGAGGGGCTCCTCTTTCTCTCCAGCCCTCAGATGTAACCGCGGTGGGAGTGGGGCTGTCTTGGTCTCAGAGGTCGCAGAGGTTGCAGGCAACCGGAAGTGGCGTGAATGGGGAGACCTTTCAAATGGGCAGAGGTGGCTTAGGCCTGGGCTGCGTGTTCTCCCCAGTGCCTGCTCACCTTTGCAGGGAATGTTTTGTCCTTGGGTGGCATTGAAGAGTGGGGACCAGTAGCCTTTCAAATTCATGCGAAGGGAATTCATATCTTGGAGTGGGGGTAGGAAGACTAAATCAGAGGTGCTCAGCATTTTTTAAAATCTTGCCTTTAAAAGTGGTTGTAGACCCCAAATAACTTTTTTTGTGTGTGTGTGGTCTTTTTGAGATAAGGTCTCACTATGCAGTTGGGGCTGGCCTTGAGCTCACTTTGTAGCCCAAGTTGGTCTCAAACTTGCAGCAATCTTCTTCCTGCCTCAGCCTGCTCAAGTGCTAGGATTGCAGGTGTGCGCCACCACGCCTAGCCCAGAGAATTTTTGTTTAGGTTTAACCACCGATCATTACTGTTTCAGAAGTAAAACCAAAATTTATTTTTTTTTCCTGGGTTCCAGAGAAAGAAAATTTAAAAATACTCATTTAAAATATTTATTGAAAAATAATAGTAATTTCACTACATAGTAATGTAAATGTAAAATGTATAACTTAGAGTTTATCATTTTCTTTTCGTTTCTTTTTTTTTTTTAAATCGGTACCGGGGATCAAACTCACGACCGCCTGCTTGCAAGCCAGGTGCTTATGCCACTGAGCTAAATCCCCAGCCCCTATCATTTTCTTTCAAGTATACAGATCTATGGCATAAGTAAATTTTTTTAAAAAATGATATTTTCCCCCCAAAAAGATAGTGCTGGTGGAGGGGGTGCAGTCCTGTAATCTCTAACATTGGGAGGCTGAAATGGAGGATTCCTGCAAGTTGGAGACCAGCCTGAACTACATAGACTATAACAAAACAAAAAAAGATTGTGGAAGGAGAGGCTTTGTTTTACATTTTTGCAAGTCATTTGATGTCTGGATTAAAAGAAGACAGCTGGATTCTCAAATATTGTTTATGTTTTAAGACAGGTCTCTATGTAGCATTAAGCTGGCCTTGAATTCACTTCGTAGCTCATGCTGGCCTCTGACTCATGGTGATCCTCTTGCCTCCGCCTCTCATGTGCTGGGATTACAGCCGTGCACCATTATGCCTGGCATTCTCACCTATTACTGCAACTAGTTTGTTGCAATGGCACATCTTTGAAAAACTCCATTGTATAGTTGTGAGAGAATAAGAGTGAAAAAGCCAAATATTTTAGTGTTATCTAAAATATTTTTAGTCTTGTGAGCCCCTGGAAAAGGTTTTGGACACCGTCAGGAATGCTCAAAACGCATAGTGAGAACTGCTGAACTAGCTCATAACCTGTGTGATTTCATTGAGGCAAGGCATTCTGAGGTCATTTCTGTACAGTAGTCAGAGATGAGTAAAGACAGTGCAGCAAGGGAAAGATAAGATCATGTCACTGGGAATTTAGAAGAATGGACAGATTTTGTGGTCAAGTGCTCTGCAAGGTAAAAGGGAATTAGGAGAGGAAGTACTTGAACTAGGCCTAAGCAGGCAGATGAGCTTTGGAAATGGGTATGCGAGCTAGATATGAGAGAGCTAAATAGTGTTTGAAGGGAAATTGCAGGCATTGAGGTTGGAAAGCCTGGTTGAGATCAGTACCTTCAGATGTTTAAGTCTATACAAGAGAACTCGAAGTTATTCTCTCAGGAGAAGAGAAGTTACTGAGTTTTTTTGGTAGCACATTTAGATGATTAAGCTGTTATAGAGGATGAAGTAGTGAAGGAAAACAGGAGACATAGTAGCATAAGTCAGGGGCAATAAAGCCTTTTATTGCATGTACTTTTGTCAGCCTCAGCTCTTATATGGTGACGAGGTGAGGTTAGTAGTTGTACCTGTGTTCCTGTCCTATCCTCAACAGTCATCTCTTTTTTGACCTAACTTCTTTCTGTCCTGAGCACCTTTCCTAGCTATGATTCAGTTCTCTGTGTAGAGAAATGACTTGAGTGTAAGGATTTGTGTCCACATTGAATGGAAAAATATATTTTCTCTGCCTGTTTCTGTGAGACTCATGAAGAGCTCCCAGACTGTTGCTGAGGAAAGAGCACTGGACATTAGTTAGGCAAGATCTGGCTGAGGATTTAAGATTTGAGTCCTTTGGAAAATGTCTGAGTCTCTGTTTCCTCATCTAAATGGTGATGGTATATATTTTTGCTTGCTTTGCCATCTTGTTAGGTTTAAATGAGCTGGTAGACAAAGGAGTGATTTATGAATAGTAAAGAGCTCACATATACCTCTGTATGAACACACAAATTCCCTACTCGAATGATGGTTTTATCCAGGCTTTCTATAGGGAATATGGATCTCACTACAATTAAGATGACCACTCTTGGGGCTAGAGATTTAGCTCAGCGGCATAAGCACCTGCCTTGCAAGCAGGCGGTCATGAGTTGGATCCCTGGTACCAATAAAAATGAAAAAGACAAAAAAAAAGACCACTGCTTATGTCTTGTAATTATATCTGGAAATTACAGTTTGAGGGGAGGTTCAGAATGACTGAGGTTTGGTTGTCATTGGTATTTTTCTTCATTTGCTCAAAGTTGGTACGCAAGAAGCACATGTTGTCCTGCTTCCGAGATGCTCTTTTGAGGCATGCTTCCCTGGTCACACAGCTGGTGGCTCAGGACCAGAGAGTCTGCATCCACTTCACAAGCATGCTTTTTGGTGAGCTTAAAAAGGAAATGGAGTGAGTTTTGCCTGTGTAGCATATTTATTTACTTTATCGGGGGAGAGGTCTTGGGGAAATGGTTTTAGAAAGACTTAAGTTTTTGGTAACAGTTTATTTGGAGTTTTTGTTGTTGTTATCATAATGGCGATATATCCCCCTTTCTAATATACATGAGGCATTCTATGATGCCTATGGGAATTGGTTTGACTAGATCTAAGAGATAAGAGTATAAAGATGCATGTGGAAAATGCAGGATCTTTTAAACAGCCTGGTCTAGGTTTTGTACAGGATCATGAACCCTAGAATGGAGTCTACTGATCTTGGTGTGACTGTGATCCTGTTAAAGTACTTCCTTTCTCTAATCCCTTAGTTTCTTCAAGTCTAAAGCGAGGTGGATTGAATTTTTCCCAGAAGCCCCTTCTTTTAATTGATTAGAATGTTCAGCAGAATGAATATTTTTTGGGAGAAGGGAAGCTAACTCATGTTAAAGCTCATGGGTATTTCTTTATGTCAGAAGCGTTTCAGATTTTTTAAACTGCCAAGACAGTTCTTTAAGGAGATAGGATGATCCCTGAGGTCATAGCGAACAAAAGGCAGAGCTGGAATTTTACCCCAGATCTGTCAGAGGCTCCAGATTACTCAGTTTCTCTGTCGTGCCGCATTGACAGTTCTCATCTTTTTAAAGCCAGAGCAGGTCATTGAAAATCTAGGAGTTTAGAACTGAGGACAGAGTTTAGCTGGGGCGTTATTTCAAGCTGTTAGTTTTAGAATTCACAATATACTGTTTTTTTTTTTTTTTAGATTTGTTTCTCTTAAAGGGAACCATTAACTGCCTGTTTTTTGTTTGTTTTGTTTTGTTTTTAACCTCCCTCTGCCTCAAGGACTGTTATGCAGTGTGGAAGATGGGAGTGTAACAGACCTCTGTATTGAAGGTAAGGTAAAAGCACATGTACCTAGCATTCTATTTTTTTTTTTTTTGTACCAGGGGACCATGCGCTTGCAAGGCAGGCGCTTATGCCACTGAGCTAAACTCCTGGCCCGTATTTAGCATTCTAAACTGAGAGTATTAGTTTGAGTTGCAGTGTGCTTACTTGAGATTTTAGTGAAGTTACCCATTTAGAAATACAGAGAACTTGGTTCGCTATTAATCCTTAATTCTTTATGTGTTTCTTAGACATCTTACCTAGTGCTAGGCAGTGCATCAGGCACTAGAAATAGATACATAGATGCAAAAGATGTGGTTCTTTCCCTTTAAGAATTTACAGTGTGGAGGAGAGATTGACTGGCAAATAGCTGGCATTGATGAGTGCTATTTTAAAGACATGTACAAAACCCTAGAGGTATAGGGGTGTGTGTGTGTTTGCAGAGCTGAGGATCAAACCTAGGCTTTGCACTCTGCCTTTCAGTTGCATCCCCAGCTCAATTCTCTTTTTTATTACATTTCATATTGGTTCATTTAAAGTTGTTACGGGGCTGGGGATTTAGCTCAGCGGCATAAGCGCCTGCCTTGAAAGCAGGCAGTCGTGAGTTCGATCCCCGGTACCGATAAAAACGAAAAAGCCAAAAAATAAAAAATAAAAAATAAATAAAAATAAAGTTGTTACACACAGGATTAAAGGTGTGAAAGGTCTGTTTACCTGTAAAAGTCTAGAGAAAAGGCAGATTCTTGCAGAGAGAATGAAGCCTGTACCTTTTAGGATCCAGAGGCCATACCAGTTACAGTATTTGAACAGAAAAATAAAATGTTAAAGAATTATTAAATAGGTATCTGAAGAGATGAAAAGAGAACCAAGTTTTCATAGAGATCACAATTACAGAAAGCACCTTCCACTCCTGGGGCTGGAGAAACAAAGGGAAGAGGCGGGGATTGTTAAAGCTCTAAAGTTCAGAGGACAGGTCTCCTGTATGAAACTCAGACCGGCTTGGAGGCTGATGGGCCTCTGGACTTGGAAGAGAAGCCCCAGCGGGCTGGGATCCAGACCTCTGAGGAGGGACACTGGTCAGGGGATACTGATGTCTATAGGGAAAGAGGGATACAAAAAGGATGGTTCTAGAAAAACTGCAAACCCAGTTTAGATGCTCTTGTGGAAAGAAACTGCCACTACCAGGGTGAAGACAGTAATTTTTTTTTTTTTGGTACCGGGGATTGAACTCACAACCTCGCCCTTGCCAGTGCTTAGGCCCAAGACAGTTATCTTAACAGGAATAGAAAGAAGACAGCTAGCAAACGGAACTAGAGGAGCCAAAGTGGAAGAAGCACATTCCTGCAGCCTTGTCATCTCTTTCTGGTGCCTGTTAGTGCCAGAGGTTGAGTTGGAGCTGAAACACACCAGCATGATAATTGACTGTCTCTTTGGCAACTTGGTGCCCGCACACCCTTCTGCACATATTTGAACTCCCTGAGATCAATAGAAAACTCTGTTTCTACCTAATGAGCTCCTACTCTCCTTTATTATCCTACCAACAAAGCCATTCTCACTCTACAATAAATTGTATTCATTTCTGGAAGACATTCATAACATTTACTTCTGGGTAGGATAATTAAATTTCAAATTCAGTCATAGTTCCATCTAAATGTTCTGTTACCTAAAAATATTTTAAAGTTAACCTCCAAGAAAATTTGTAAAATAATGAGAAGGAAATGGAGACAGAAAAGAAAATAGTTAATATGTGTAAATATACAAAGTTGGAAAAATCTTTTTTATCTTGATTTCCATAAAAAGTTATTTATAAATTCTTTCCTCCTTTTCTGCCACCTCCTCTTTTTTTTTTTTTTTTTTTTTTGATCCTGGGGATTGAACACCTGACTTCATGCTTACCAGGCAGGTGCTTATGCCACTGAGTTAAATCCCTGGCCTACCTCCTCCTCTTGTATTTTTTTCCTTACAGCTGTAATATACCAGGCTGGCCTTGAACTCTTGATCCTCCTGCCTCTGTCTCCTGAGTGTTGGGATTGTAGGTGTACATACCCGGTTTTCAATTTCCTTCTTAATGAATAATACCATTCTGTCTATCCTTTGCCATCAATCAGCATCTTAACTGGTCAGGGTTTTTACCTTGCTGGGCTACCCAAAAGTTCATTCCTGAAAGTTCTGAGCCTTTTGTGGTTGCTAAAGTTTCTGTTATGTTTCACTACTGAAATGGAAGTAATAGCAGGCAGTTTAGATCATTCCTGGTTGCAGATACAGTTCTCTCTCCCTGTTTTAGTAGCAGCAGAGTTTTTCTGTGAGTATGAGGTCAATCACTTTTCAGGTAGTAGAATAATCCTTTCTTTGCTCTGGTGATTTAGTGTTAGTGTTAGGGATTGAGAAGGCAAACCCATGTTAACAAATATGTGACTTATCCATTGAGGACAAATCTGTGCCCCTTTATAATGGAAGGGGTACTGTGTAATTCATCTGACACCACATGACTGGCTTGTCCTCCCAGGGAATGGCGCTGCTGTTGGCCAGATTAGGCAGTGGCAGTACTCAGTTAACCCTTGGGCAGTGAAAGTCTGTGTTGTTGAGCTCACACTTAGCCTCCAACCCTGCCCCCTCAGCTGCTTTGTTCATTGACCCGTTGAATGAGCCTGGGTGGCTGGCAACAACGAAGGTTGATATAATGTGTCACTTGATTTTTCAGGACTACTCTATTGTTGATGTTCCTTAGGAAGCATTCACATGGGCACAAATATCCTTATACTTTGTACCTGTTCAGAGAGGCTCATTTTCTATGCTAGGCTTCATTGTCACTGATCTTGTAGTTCAGTCTTTCTCATGACCAGCCAGCCAGTTAGTGGCTACCCATAAATCAGTGTAATCTGCATATACTTGTGACCATCTCTCAATTCAGGCAAACATGCGGACAAACACACTGTACCACCTGAAGTGCTGACTACAGGGGGATTTCACTTCATCATTTTCCTTCAGACCCGCTCTTGCATGGAACTGAAATCCTGCAGCCATCTATTTCTGGTTGACGCCAGCATAGCTTGAACCATCATCAGACCCCAAGCACTTCACTGAGTGGCAGACATTAGAGGGAAATGGCAAGGGTGGAGAAGGGGATTTGCTGCTTCCTCGAGATTCCTGTTGGCTTGGTGTCTGCTTCCTGTGCCTGGGAATCTTGTCTCAGAACGCTTCTTTACCCTGCTGTGACAGAGCCTTTCTACGGAAGGCTAGTTTGCAACTTTTCCAACGTTGCAGAGCCAATCTCCTTTCTGCTTTTCAAAGACATTAGCAGAAGCACCCCAAATTGTAGAGAAAGGTAGATTTGGGGCTGAGAGATAATACCTTAATACTTGGCAAAGGAATTTACTCATTTTTTCTAGTATATAAAGGACCAAACTCTAAGAAAGGAAAGAAGTAGAGATAATACAGAGTAGCTTTCAACTTTGCTTCCCAATAGGCTTATCTTAAGGACATTAGAAGTGTATTAAATTTTATATTTAGAAGAATATTTTGAATATGAAACAAAAATATAAATAGGAGAAATACATATTTAAGCATAAAGCATTTTATTTTTATTTTTATTTTTATTTTTATTTTTATTTTTTTGGTACCAGGGATCAAACTTACAACCTTGCACTTGCCAGGCAAGCACTTACACTGCTGAGCTAAATCCCTGGCCCAGCATTTTATATTTTAAGTTTATGTTTCTATTCATATTTTAAAGCAGATTCTGGGGTGAGAATTGGGCATTAATATTTCGTTAGAGCTTCCTGCATGATTCTTTCATGTAACCTGAATTGAGAACCATTAATATAAAACAATGAAGAAGCCAGAAATCCTTTTGTCTGAATTTGTTCATGTAGCTTAGTGGGAGAGAAAAGGTACCAGTTGTTGGTGTTCTACCCTGCCTTTGAATAGAAGGGCTCTGAGAGGTGAATTCTGGTCAGGGAGGGTCTTCTGGTCAGTGATGCTGTTATATCCCCCTCAGTCCTTGTTCAGCTCACCATGCAGCTGAAACTGGAGCAGATCAACCACTGCCTGCTGGATGAGTGCCACAAACAGGTCAGTGTGTGTGTGTATGTGTGTGTGTGTGTGTGTGTGTGTGTGTGTGTTTTGAGTATTGAAGATTGAATCCAGGACCTTAGCACTGAGCCTCTAACTGTTTTTTTACTTTTTATTTTGAGACATGGTTTTGCTAAATTGCTTAGTTGGCCATGCTTGGCTTGAACTTGTGATCCTCCTGTCTCAGCCTCCCAGAGTATTGGGATTACAGATATGTACCACCGTGCCCAGCTTACATGTGGGTTCTTGAGGGCCCTCAGAATCCTTTGATTCTGCGGTAGCTGAGAATCCTTTATTCTTTGAATAAATGGGACAGTAGAAGTCCACAGAGCGAAGGGGACTTGCCTGAGGTTGCCAAATTGGTGGCAGACCCTGAGCTAGGGCCTGAGGCTTCTGATCTCATGTCATTGTCCTTCACCGCTTCCCTCCCTCCCTTTTCAGCCTTGCAAATGCTACTTTTATGTGGTGAAGCCCCATATTTCTGGCTTAATTATCCCATGGCCCATTGATATCCTACTAAATGCAATACAAATTTCCTTGATGAAATTGTCAAGAAATATGTTCACTATGTCTCAGTTTGGCTTTTTAAAAATTAGGTTTTGAATTGTACATATTGCTTATATTGAAGGTGTTTACCAGCAGTGCTGTGAGTGTGGTGCTATTAAATTACTTTCCACTGGAGGAGGAGTCAGAATCTTGCCCGAAGTGGTGTATGTAGTCAGTCAGTGGAAAAGGTGAAATATAAACTGTTGCCTCTCTATGTAAAACATGGGACACAATATCTTCAGCATAGAGTGCTCAATAATAATAGCTGTGTTAACAATGATGATAATGAATTGTTTTTACACTAAGTCAGTGTACTGTCTTTATGATGTTCCTAACTGTTCCCCCTTGTTTCTGGTTCTATAGGAGATAAATATGCTAATTTTAATTCAGTTTACCAAACATGTACTGAGCGAGAGAGACTGACCACTCTGAAGGGAACTTGACTCAGTCCCCTTTTCTGGGGAGTTCCTGTTGAGTGGGGGAGAGGGATGCTTAGCTAAAGAAGCTGAGTGTGGTGAGAGATGTGCAGAATGCAGGTGTTACTGTGGCGTTACTGTAGTAGAGCATGATCATTTGGCGGGAGAGCTGTGCTGATGCCAACTGAAGGAGCAGAGCGTGTCTACTTTCCATAGCTATGTGACATGCCCTCCATGCAAGGCAGCCTGGCCATCCTGACCCTTCTTGGCAAGCTGTTGGATGCCATCCCTGTCCTAGCTGATGAACTTGTGAAGGACCATGGTGAGTGACCCATGTGGGAGAACCTGTTTCGGATACACTGCCATCTGGGTGGCTCATTAACTGGGAAGTCATTCCTTTCCTTCCCCAGCCTTCAGTTTCTCCATATACAAATTGTGCTCTGTGTTGGTCAGTTTGAGAAAAGTCAGATTTTTTATTGTGACCTTGGGCTATTTCCATTTATTCCTTTAACACTATGTGTCCACTGTGATCTTCCTTTTGCATGAAAGACAGAATCAGTTCTGAAGCATACAAGTATTTTTTCTATCAGTGAAATGCAAATAAATATCTTTTTTTTTTTTTGTCTTTTTCATTTTCGTTTTTATCGGTACCAGGGATCGAACTCACGACCGCACACATGCAAGGCAGGTGTTTATGCCGCTGAGTTAAATCCCCAGCCCCAATAAATATCTTTTTTATTCAATGGTAAATCATTTAACTTCTTAAAGTTTTGACTTTCTCTTGGTGAAGTTTGGAGAAAGTATTTATTATAGGGGATGGTAGGGAATTACCACTATGACTGCCTGGGAATAACAGGTTGGAGTTTGATGTGGCATTTGACATTGTGATTGTTCTTTCTGCTCCTTGATTGTTTTCTGAACAGGCAACTTGACAGAACATCTGATGAGGGGCTTGGTGTACCCCAGTGAAGGTGTGCAAGCTTCTATCTGTTACCTCTATGGGAAGCTCTATGCCTCACCAGTGGCAGCTGAGTTGCTTTCAGGCCATTTCCGGGAGAAGCTGTGCCCTCTCTTCCTTTCCACCCTGGGCAGCGCCCACACAAAGGAGCTACAAATCAACTGCTTAGGTGAGATGTGGGATTGGAAGGAAAAGGACAGCCAACTTTTGAGGTGGTGCTTGAGGACTTTAGATACTGTCTGCTCTATTGTTGGGGCCTCTCTGCAAAGGATAGAAGCCACCAGTTTGGAGACAAGCTCTTTGGACTGTGAAAGATGCATAGAGTCGGAGTAGCATCTTAAAAATGTTTCCTTTGCGAGGAAAAGAGGGGAAAAAAGTGAGACAGTGATTTTTCTGCCTTGGATCTTTACTGCCTGCTCTAGTGCATCCTATACTTGCTGCCAGGTTAATACTTATTTTTTATTATATTTTAGACAAAGCAGGTGGGCACTGTGATTGGTGTCTTAGTGTAGACCTGTTTCAGGGTGGGAGCTATAGAGATAAACTTAGTAATGGGTGACAAAAGCTTTTCATAATTTGGGTTAACAGGTGTATTATGAACAGTTCAGCATATTCCATACAGTGAGCATTTACGGTGGGCCAGGTTATGTACTGGGCTCTCGTGTCACAAAGATGAGACCCGGTTTCTATCCTGTGGGAGTTCACAGGCCACTGTGAGAGGCTGTCGTAGACAGTCCCTTGTGGTGAGTGCTGTCACAGAGGCGCAGCAGGTGTAAAACATCCTGAATGTGTGGTATCTTCAAACAGGGCAATTTTGAAGTTGCAACATGTGAGAGGTAAAGGTGGCGATAAAGGACCTAAGCTGAGGACCTGGCCAGTCCCAGAGCTGGCTTGGGCACAGCAAAGGGAAATCTTAACTGGTGATACTGGGAATTCCCCTTTTAAATGCCATCTCTGTAGCCAGCTGTGCAGTTACATCCTTTGAACAAGTACTGTGAGTCTGATATTCTATTATATATTATGATTTTCATTTTGCCTTAAATTCACTATTCTAAACTCTGTGATATAATCCTTACTGACCTCTTACGCCCCATCTCTCATCTCTCCTTTTGTCACACTCTGTATCTAGAATTTGAACTTTCTACACGAAATACTTTCTCCAAGAATGCACCATACTCTTGTCTTTATATACTTTTTCTGGTCTTTTTGAGATAGGGTCTTTCTATGCAGTTCAGGCTGACCTTGAATGTAGTTTGTAGCCCAGGGTGGTCTTGAACTTGTAATGATCCTCCTGCTTTAGCGTCCTGAGTGCTAGGATTAAAGATGTGTGCTATCCCACCTAGCAGAAGTTGGCTCTCTTTCCCACTTTTTATTGTTCAAAATTTATTCAATGTTTTCTCCTTCCAGAATTCTTTCTTGAGGCCTCAAATTAGATTAGATGCTTCTTCTGACTTCCCGCAGCCCTCTGGGCTTTTCCCTATCTATCTATCTTCTATTCATTCATTTTCATTCATTCATTTTTGCAGTACCTAGGTTGACTGAGTGTCTCTTGCATGTAGGAAAGTGCTCTACCATTGAGCTACGCTCCCAGCCCTCTTTTTCATAGTACTTAGTATCAATATTTAATATTTTTTTAACCTCAACTTGTGAGAATGGAAATATTTAATATTTTGACCCAAAATATTTTTACATGTTGGATAAATTATATAGAATGCTGTGCCAGGTGTGGTGGCCCATGCTTATAATCCCAGCTCTTAGAAGGCTGAGGCAGGAGGATCCCTGTGAGTTTGAGACCAGTCTGGGCTATATAGTGAGTTCAAGGCCAGCTGGAACTACGCAGTGAGACGCTGTCTTTAAACAAACAAACAAATGCTTTTGTGACTTCCTGTGACTTGCTCTTATGGTCTTTTTTTTTTTTTTTTTTTGTCTTTTTCCTTTTCCTCGGTTCCAGGGATCGTACTCACCACTGCCTGCTTGCAGGGCAGGTGCTTATGCCGCTGAGCTAAATCCCCAGCCCCTACTCTGGGTTTCTTTAGTGTCTAGGCTGCTGTTCCTTCTGCCTGGAATGCTTTCTCCTACTTACTTTCACCTGTTTTCAGATTCAGCTTAAACTTGGTGATGAAACATTTCACTGATCCCCACACTAGGTTAAATTCTCCCAGATACACATTCTCTGGCTAATCCTCATTTGTGTGATTCACCAAATTGTAAGTAATCATTTGTGTGACTTTTTTTCCCTTCTTGAGATGGTGTCTTGCTATGTTTCCCATGCTGGCCTTGAAACTCCTCAAGTGATTCTCCCGCTGGACTCACAAGTGGCTGGAAGTATAGGCACGTGCCACAGCACCAGCTTTGTGTGACTTATTTTTATGTCTGTTTCCACTGTAGGAGTCTGCACTCCATTTTTCAGTCAAAAAATTACTGTGTGTAAAGAGCTGTGATAGGTGACAATTGATGTAAAACTGACATTAAACCTGTCTTAATGAAATTTAGAGTTTGGTGACAGAGGGTTGTTCACTGTTGAATTCCCTAGACCAGTGGTGGCAAACCTTTTAGAGCTTTTGATGATACAGACAGCCCTCTGGGGCACATATGCTGTAGGTTCATCCCCACTGCTCTAGACCCTTGGGCCTAGAACTGAGATGATTCTCATCAGATCCTTGTGGAGGAAGCTGGTTTGCACAAATCAAACTGCTGCTTAAAGATTGCAACCATTCTTTTATTTAATGAGACTCAAAGAGGTTTTTCAGGAGGTGGGTGAGGGGCTGCCTTGGGAGGACGCTTGTGCCTGTGCTCCTTTGGCTTCATTTCCAACTCTTTTGCTTTGTAGGTTTGCTGAGGCAGCTGCTGAAGTATGATCTCTTTGTGTCCATGATCATGAACAAGTTCATACTGGCAGGAAATGCTGAGAGTGTTGAGGGGTCATCAGCAGAGATCTCCTTGCCTTTGGTGCTCAAAAAGGTAGTTGTCTTGTGAATTTTTTTCCAGTACAGAGGATTGAACTCAGGGCCTTTGCACTGAGTTACATGTCCTGTCTCATGATTCTTGATCTCTAGGTTCAATAACAAGAGAACCCAAGTGTTTCCTGGGCCTTGTTTTATCTATCACTCTATCATGTTTCCAAAAGTGTTTTCTTACTGGCCAAAATAATATGCTGTTAGACTAGTCATGATGGCACATGCCATAATCACAGCACTGGGAAGGCTGAGGCAGGAGGATTGCTGTGTGTTCAAGGCCAGTCTGGGCTACCCAGTGAGTTCAAGACCAGCCTGAACTACATAGCAAAACAAAACAACAAAAAACCAACCGTGGAATTGGGAAGTATTTTACTATTAATGATATTTATAATTTAATAGTTATATAATTCTTTGTCTTATATCAATAGTGTGGGAGACAACTCCAGTGACTCCACTTGAATGCAGAACAATTACTGTGACTTTATTTGGAGACTTATTTCCTTACACTGATGAGTAGAGAGCTGATTGTGGTATTTCCTTCTTTCTTCAGTTGGCTCTAAGCATTGCAAATAAGGCCAGCTGAGGAGCTGGTATGTAATCTCTAAAGTCAACAGATAGTCCTGTTTCCTCACATAGTGTTCTCCATTCAGGATATGAACACAGTGGGATGTTAGAGCCAACAGCTCCGGGAATGTCAACTGGGTTGGAGCCTCCAGGTAAAGAGGCAAGGCCCGTGCTGGCCTTGGCACAAGGCCTCTTTACCTTGGCACAGAGTTTAACATATTAAAAACCAAAGGGACAGTCTCCCAAAACAATTCAGTTGCTACCTTAATTAGGTTATATAAATTGTTTCTTCTGCATTATCTTCTTTAGCTCTGCAATTTACAGAGGTGCCTTGCCTTACCTGGCCAGCCAGCTCAAGTTACATAATTCCCGCCACCCTCACTGTCACTCATCCCTGAGCCACCCCCCTTCTTCACAAGATAATAAATTTTGGGAGAGGCCTAAGATCACAGCCTTTGTCCACACATTCTCATGGGGGTTGGACTTAGGTCCCCTTGGCTGCCCTAAACTTGGAATATGTCTTGGTGTCTTTACATGCCCTGTGGGTTGCACTGGTGAGTTCTCTTAATGGCTGTACTGTCCAGTAGGAATTTGAATGTTATTCACAGTACAATGAAAATCCATTGAAATGTTTTGAATAGAAGAGTAACCTGATCTTTCTTTTTTCCCTTTCCTTTTTTCTTTTCTTTTTCTCTCTCTCTTTCTTCCTTCCTTCCTTCCTTCCTTTCTTTCTTCCTTCCTTCCTTCCTTCCTTTCTTCCTTCCTTTCTTTCTTTCTTCCTTCCTTCCTTCCTTCCTTCCTTCCTTCCTTCCTTCCTTCTTTCTTTCCTTCTTTCCTGCTTTTCCTTCTCTTTCTTCAATACTGGAGATTGAACCCAGGGTCTTCTCACTGAACTATATCCCTAATCTCCTTTTTATTTTGAGATAAGATCTCACTAAATCACTAAGTTGCTCAAGCTGGGATGGAAGCTGCTTTTTAGCCTCCCAGAGTGCTGGAACTGCAGGCATGCACCACTTCGCCTAGTCTGATTTAAAATTTTAGTGGGGGAAAAAAAAATAAAACTTATGGGAGTGGCATCTCAGTTATGTGAAGACTTCTAGACATGATTTTGGCTGACCTAGGTTTCCGCAATAACTGCCAGTTTTTAGCTGTGTGACTCGGAATAATTTAACCTTGAGAAGGGCTCCCAAGACCACCTGGGTGATTCTGTGAGGACTCACAGGATTCAGCATATAGTCATTCTCATGGCAGTAGCACATTACAGGGAAAGAATACAAAGCAGAATTGGCAAAGAGCAAAGGCACATGGTTGATGTCTGGGGCAAACCAGACACAAGTTTCCAGAATCCTCTTCATTTGAATCACACAGGTTGCATGTGATTCCTCCAGCAATGTGTTGTGACAACACATGTGAAACGGGGCCCACTAGGGAAGCGTATTAAAGTCTCAGTGCTCAGGGCTTTTCTTGGGGGCTGGATAGTCACAAAGGTCCCCTCTGTGTATCACATCCACAAGCTGTGGCTCCCAGATGGAAAGCAGGTGTAGCACAGTCTGCATTGTACAAATAGTTTAATCATGCCACTCTCATCAATTCTGGGCAAGGTAGGAGCCCCTGAAATGCAAGCTCCCAAACCCAGCCAGGGCACCACCTTGCAAGGAGAAAGCCTCAGACTTGCTATGTTAGTCCTTTTTTATAAATTCAGTAAAGTGAAAATAATAAGGGAGCCTTCCTGGATAATGTTACAGGATTGCTGAAAATAACAAACCCAGCTGAGGTCTTGAAAGTACTCTTGTCAGGGGCTGGGGATTTAGCTCAGCCATAAGCGCCTGCCTTGCAAGCAGGCAGTCGTGAGTTCAATCCCTGGTACTGATAAAAATGAAAAAGACCAAAAAAAAAAAAAAAAAAAAAAGTACTCTTGTCACACAAAGGCCTAAGCACCACTAAGCGGCAGTTTTGGTGTTTTTGAGTACCATTGGTGGATTTATATTATGTTCTTTCATTCCATTTCTCACCTACCTACACTATTCACAGATACGCCTTTCCATAATCCGTAACTTGCCTCTGTGCTATCCTTGCCTGGTGCTGGGTAGTACAGGAGAGATCAGAGATAAATTAGACTCAGGATAGGTGCTCTGGTCCTGTCAGTGATGTGACTGGGGTGCTTTCTGCTGTTTTTTTTTTTTTTTTTTTTTTTTCAGTTTCTTCTCTCTAGAGATGAGTCCTTGCAGGTAGCCAGTACCCACTGTATAACTTCAGTGCTAGTCCACTCCCCGGTGAGGCATGCTCCGGCCTTCATCCATGCAGACATCCCAGGTAGGGAACCCTCTTACCTTTTCTGAGCACTACAGAACCCTGATAGGATTCAAGAGGGGTCACAGCAGTATCAGCTGCTCTATCTGGGAACCTTTGAAGACTCACACTGAAGGGGTGTGGGCAGGGCCAATATGTGAAGAAAGCATCGTAATGTCCACATTCTCTGGCTGCAGACTTCTTGACTGACTTCAAGAAATATTTACTGATCTTTGTCATTATTTTACCTTCCAGGAGTAAAATCCTAGTGTGGGGTAAGGGTAGGATCTGTAGACTAGGACGGCAAAAGAAACTAATGTTTCTCCAAGGCTTGTTAGGAGTCAGGAAATACACCTTGAGGAACTTGTAAATGTAATCACATTTAGGTCCACATCTTTGTGATTTATTGATTGATTGATTGTATTTTTGAGACAGAATTTCACTGTCCAGTTTAGGCTGGCCTAGACCTCACTTTATAGCCCAGGCTAGCCTCAAACTCTAAGGGATCCTTTCTTGCCTCAGCTTCCTGAGTGCTGGGAGTATAGGTATGCACCACTATACCTGATTGTTTGTTGGTTTTGTTTTTCTGAGGTTCTGGGGATCAAACTGAGAGCCTTGTATTTACTTTGGGAACACATATACTAAAAACCCAGGACTTGGAACATGTTAAGCACTGTACCCCACTGATTGTATCACTGGTCCATCTTTGCTATTTTAAATAAAGAAATTGAATTTTTTTGAGAAAAGATAAACAGTTATTATGTACATGGGGACAATTAATTACCTACAAGCCTAATATAATTATATACCAACTTTTCTATAGGAGATATGGGCATATGGCATTTTGAAAGGAAAAAACTGGTTCAAATCTATAAGGCTAGTCATTGGCAGAGGTGGAATGTAAAATAAGGTCTCTCCAATTCTAAAAACATTTTTCCTGCATCATTCTGTTGCCCATCCTGAGAATTAGAAGATCTAAGTTCCTAACCTACTTCTGCCAGTAAACTACCTCTCTTGGCATCAGTGTCTTTATCTGCTAAAAAGAATTTAGACCAGACACTGAGATTTCCCAGATTTCTCTGTGAATTAATGACCATGTCTGATGGAGAGGCTGTGTGAATGGAAGTATCAGGAGGAAGATGCTGAATAAACCTGAGGCTTTTATGTTAAATAAGGGACCATGATCTCAGGGCTGTCATTGTTTTCTCCCCCTTTGCCGGCCAGAGTTCATCTTTGAGCATCTTTCCTCTTCTAGCGAAGTGCTCGTCTGGTCCAGCTACAACTGCTTGATGCTCCTGGTGGAAGAGCCACTCTTCTTTTCCAAGTGCCACACAGTATATGGTTGGTAGTGCTGGCTCTGGGTCTGGTGGAGAAGTTAGAAATTGGGTGGCAGCAGTGATGGCACTGGCCTCTGCCATGGAGTGAGGAGTGCTGGGTCTGAATAATTCCATTAGTCAGGACTGGTTACCAGGCTGTTGTGTCTTCTTATGGTAGCCCACCCTACACTGGAAGGTATATTGTTTTTTATTTCTTTCTCTCTTTTCCTACTTTTACTTGGCCCAAACTCACTGCAGATCCAGTTTATTCCTCTTAAGAACTATGAAACTTTGCCACCATTAATTAAAAAAAAGACTCAGGGCTGGGGATTTAGCTCAGTGGCTCAAGGCTACCTGGCAAGCGTGAGGTCCTGGGTTTGATTCCTGGTACCAGATTTCATATGCAAGCAGCAATGTCCAAATCAGTGGCTCTGCTATCACTAATTAGCAGGAATATATGTATTTAGACTCTTAAGGAAGGAAAGCCTATTCCTATTGGCTGCTTAATGCATTCCTGTTGTACAGAAAGGATAGCTCTAACCAGTAGTATATGGCCTTGGTTTTAGTCTTACCAGCTCCAGGTAGCTGTACTTCTATCTAGTTAATCCCTAGATTTCGTTAATTTAGCCTTTCAAAGTTTCTTGAATCTGGGCATGGTGACACTGACACATACCTTTAGACTAGCACTATGGGAGGCAGAGGCAGAGGCAGGGGCAGGGGCAGGGGCAGGGGCAGGAAGATTACAAGATTGGGTCTACCCTGGGCAACTTAGCAAGACCTTCTCTGAAGAGAAATAAATGAATCAATAAACGTTGGGGATGTAGCTCAGCGTGAAGGCCTGAGATTCAGCCACAAGTGCCTGCCTGCTCTCTGGTGTGTCTTTCTGGGATAGGCATTGAGGCAGTGGTGAGAAGCCTTCAGGGAAGCCTGAAGATGACCAACACTGAGCTGCACAAGCAGGGCCTGCTGCTGTTTGCTGAGATCCTGACCCGGTAAGCAAAGTGACAGAGTTTCAGGCCTGCTTGGGGCCAGACTGAAGAAGGAAACGTGAGCCTTATTCCTAGTGATAGACCTCCACTGACTTGCGTCTGACCTACCATTTTCCAGGCAGCCGGAGGAGATCCGATTGTTCACAAGCTCGGCCATGTGTGGAGATGCTGCCCGTGCCCTCCAGGAGGCAGTGAGTAGCCCCGTGCTGGAGGTAGCTGCTGAGGCAGTGAAGGCTACTTCCGCTTTTCTGAGGTGAGAGACCCCAGCAGGCTGGGCTTTTTCCCTGCGCATACCTGAAGGGCATTTTCTTCCTCCTTTTTCCTTTTAGTATTTGCTTGAAATATTTTTTCTCTACTGTATTTACCCTGTTCTTTTTTTAAATTAAAAAATTTTTATTAGTACATATTAGTTACATAGACAAGTGGGTTTTGTTTTGGTGTATCCATACTCTGTTCTCCCTTGAACTGCCATTTACGTGTTGGGCATCCTAGATTGGCCATCTAATTTTGTGTTTTGACCATTTTTTCATCTTTTTTGTCACTATGTACTAACTTCTGGAGATTTTCTTGATTTCATCTCTTTACCCTTCTGTTGAGTGTTTTACATCTGCTTTTACATTTTTGATTTGGAAGAGCTCCTTGCAATCCTCTGATGTTTATTTTTATACCATTTTATTCTGTATTTATTTCATGGATATAATTTTTTATCTCTCTGAGAAGTTTTGCTAAAGTATTCATTTTTCTTCATAGTTTCCTTTAAGTTATATTGTTGTTTCTTTCATTTGAGAAGCTTTTCTCAGATGCCTAGTGATCATTATCTTTTCATACTTAAAGATGAGACACTAAAAACCCACAGGAAGTTCTTTCTTTGTATGGGGCTTGTCAGCTGTTGGCTCACTGAGGAAGAGCTAGTGGAGCCTTTTCCTCGGTGGAACCCTGCTGTGAAGGTCTATAGTTCTCCCCTTAGGGGGCCAGGTTAGCAGAGCACTCTGAGGCTCCTGTTCGGAGGAAGTCAGCTTGGGAGTTTTGGGAGCTAAGTGGGCCTCTTTGTGTTCTCAATGTGGACTTCACTTAATTCCCTGGTTTTGAATAAGTATATCCTGTATGAACAATCCAGAAACCCTCTGTTTGACCCTCAGAAAACAAGTGTCCAGTTTCCTTGGGTTTGGGGACAGTCAGGTGCTTTGTTACATAGAATTTCAGGGAGAGAGTCAGGGATCCAATTGCTGTTAGGCAAATTTGGGACAGGTTTTTGCTTTAGACTTCACTCCCACTTCCATATTTACTTGGTGCACTAATTCCTCTGCCTCTGGTGGGAGATGTTTTGGGAGCAAATAAGGTTAGTTTTTGGCTTCCCACTGCTGGCCAAGAATTTTCCTTTCATAGAGCTCTAAGCCAAGATGGAAAACTTTTTAGTAGTAAGAAACTTCCAAATGTTTTGGATTTATATATTTTTAGATATTTCCTTTACTTTCATTTTGGTAAAGAATAATAGAGGCCTCTGTTAGCTCCATCATCTTTATCCAGCGGTTGGCAAGTCCTTTTGTTTTTTTAAATTTCTTCTGAGATAGCATCTCATTCTGTTGGGTAGGCTGGCCTCAAATCACAGCACTCCTCCTGCCTCAGCTTCCTGAGTGCTGGAATTATAGGCATGCACCACCATGCCCATCAAGAAGTTGACAGTTTTTAAATATCTTCTAATGCATGTTCTCTTGCTGTAGCTTCTCTTTGCATCCTGTTATCCACTCAAAGAACTTTAGCTACTAGGTATGTGCTCATGGTGCTCAAATCTATAGTTTTAAGCTTAAACATTAGTTTCCTGTTGTCAATAATTTATGGGCTTAAAACAACAAAAATGTATGATTTCAAGGTTCTGGAAAAAGCAAGAAAAATTAGTACCACTGAGCTCAAGGTGTCAGCAGGGTCACACATACATTGGAGGCTTTAGAGAAAAATTCTTCTTTGCTTTTGAGAGCTGCTGGTGGCTCTAGGGGTTCCTAGGCTTGTGGCCACATCCCTGTACCATGATCTTGGTGCTGTCTTCTCTGTGTATGTATCTAATCTTCCTCACCTCTTACTTGTAAGAATATCTTGATGGCATTTAGGTCCACCTGGATAATCCAAGATACTCCCCCTCATTTTAAAAATCTTTACTTTAATCATATCTGTGAAGCTTTTATCATAGAAGATACATCCACAGTTTCCAGAGATTATGACCTTACACCGTTGGGTGTCACTGCAGTATTTTCCAGGCCACATTTCCAACTGCCTGGTGCCTTGTTCCAGAAACTTCAAACTCATGTTTCTGCTACCAGAAGATACAACAAATACATTCAATTTGAGATTTAAATTTTGTGTGTGTGTGTGTGGTGCAGGAGATTGAACCCAGGGCCTTCACATTGAGCTATTATCTACAGCCCTTTAAAAAAAAATTTTTTTTTTGAGACAAAGGCTTGCCAAATTGCCCAGTCTGGCCTTGAATTTATGACCCTCCCGCCTCAAGCTCCCTGAGTTCTGGGATTACAGGTGTGTGTCACCATGCCTGTCTTCAGTTTAGGGTTTAAAGAATGGAATGTGAGTCTTTGGCTCCATAAGTCAAGCCTTATTCATTTCTCTGGTCATTTTTCTTTTTCTTGAACACACTAATTTTATTTCTTTGGAGAGCCTCTCTGTTCATGGTTTCCTCTGCCTAAAATATTCTTCCCTTAAATCTCTGTGTGACTGGTTTTTTCCTATGGTTTAAGTCTCATTTAGAGTGTTTTTCTTTAACTGAAAAGCTGGCTTGCTACAGCATCTTCCAGCATCTGAGAATTCTTGTTTCATTATCTGTTTTATGTCTGTCCTCCTACTAAAATACAAGCTTCAAATTGGGGATCTTGTCAGATTTTTCACTGCTCCATCTCTCGTTCTTAATAAGTAGTCAATATATAAGTAAGTGATGTTAAAATGGATGATGAGATTAACATCTCAGAGCCAAGATGGAAAACGTTTTATTAGTAAGATGATTGACATCTTGACAGCTTGAAATCTTGACAAAATAACTAAGGAAATTTGTACTTTTGTTACCTTTTGTTCTCAACTTTTGTCTCCTATCTCTAACAAAGTAATGTGTTCAAATAATAAAAAACAAAATGGAACAGAGGCTTTTTGTATGAAAAAGAATAGCCCTCTAACCCTGTTTCTGCTTCCTAAAGGAAAACAAATTTTAGCTCACGTTGATTTACTACTGGTAATTATCTCCCTAAATCTAAATAATATAATACTTTTTTGTGTATGTGGTACTGGGGACTGAACCTAGGGCCTTCACACTGAGCTACATCCCTAACGCTCTGTTCTCTCTCTGTCTCTGTCTCTGTCTCTGTCTCTGTCTCTCTTTCAACAAGGTCTTACTATGTAGTACAGGCTAGCTTTGAACTCATGATGATCCTCCTGCCTCAGCCTCAAAGGACAAAAAAAAATTAATGAGCTCATATTTTTGTCATTTCTTTATGTCTTTGGGATTTTTGCTAGTTAATATTTGATATCTTCAGGGGCTGGGGATTTAGCTCAGCGGCATAAGCGCCTGCCTTGCAAGCAGGCAGTCATGAGTTCGATCCCCAGTACCAATAAAAAAGAAAAAGAAAAAAAAATTTATATCTTCAACTCTTTAAATAATGTCCCTAAGGCTGTGTTTCTGGTTCCTTGAATTGAAGCAGTAACTCTGGTTTCCCATTCACCTAGCATCACCTGGCTCTTCTATTTCCCTCTTGTGCTCCCTTTTTCTTCTCAAGGTCAGTCAGCTCTTTTTTACCTTTTCTTTCTTTCTTTTGTTTTTTTGTCTTTTTGAGAGAGGGTCTCTATGCAGTTCAGCCTGGCCTTGAGCTCGCTTTGTAGTCTCTGCTGGTCTTGAACTCTCAATGATCCTCCTGCCTCAGCTTCCTGAGAGCAGGGATTACAGGTGTGAGCCACTATGCTTAGTTTATTTTACCTTTTTAGCATAACAGTTGCTAATAATCTTCTGTAACCATATTTAGGTCTTTATCATTTGAATCAAGCTTGGCTCCAAAAGTTAAAAGGAAAAATGGCATTTACATTACAGTGACTTCAGTTTGTCTCCTCTCTCTGTGTGTCCATGCCTGGTTTGTCTCTGAATTTGGAGTATGAATCCCAGGGTGTGTGAGATGAGCAAACCTGCAGGGTCCCGGAGCATGAAGAAAGAGCGCACTGGGGCCCCCCCGTGGGTGGATGTGGAGAGGGCCCTAGCACCTTTCAGGCAGGTGCTGGTAGTGTTTGCACTGTGCTGGGTGGGATTAAGGAGTGGTGTGTTTGTGGAAGGACAGCAGGTTTATCAGGGATGGGGGACCTAGGGTACAGTGGCCAGTTCAGCCAGCAGGGTACATGAAGAGGGATAGTGCCTAAGAAGTTGGAAAACTAGTTGCATCAGAATTTTGCAATAGCTGCACATGGTAACATATGACTGTAACCCCAGCAACTGGGAGACTGAGGCAGGAGGATCGTTGCGAGTTCGAGACCAGCCTGGGCTACAAAGTGAGCTCAAGGCCAGCCTGAACTGCATAGTGAGACCCTGTCTCAAAAAGACAAAACAAACAAACAAACAAGCAAAACCAGAATTGTGTAGAGAGATAGGGAGGGGTGAGGTATTTATCCCTGGGTTATTTTACTTTTGACTTTAACCCCCCAGAATGTTTGCTGAGGTGGGGAGGATCAGAGGGTGTCTGAGAAGATCAACTGAAAGGAAGAACGATGAGTGAGGCTTCTGAAAAAAAACTAAAGATATCACTGAAGGATGGAAACTTAGAGTTTCCAGACTGGGTACGGTGGTACATTCCTGCAATCCCAACTACTTGAGAGGCTGAAACAGGAGGATTGAGCCCAGGAGTTCAAAGCCAGTCTGGTAATGTAGGGAGACACCATCTCAAAGAGAGGAGGGAGGAAGGCCAAAAGGAAGGCCCAAAGACCAGCTGGCCTGACTTTGAGCCTCTAGGAATAAAAAAAGAAAAGAACAATCAAGCTTAGTCTACATGTAGTTGACTAAAAGCCTGTTAGAATATTCAGAAGATCATTCAGGATTCCAAAAGGGCCTAGGGATGAGGGTTAACTGGCTTTTATTTAGTTGCTATACTTTATGTTTGGAGCTTCCGCACTGCCATTATTATTGTTATTATTTTTTTTTTGGTACCGGGGATGGGACTTGGTACCTCATGTGTGACATGCAAGCACTTACACCGCTGAGCTGAACCCCCAGCCCTTGCACTGCCATTCTTTGCCTGGGATCCTGGGGGAGGTGTTGGAGGGTACCATATCTCTCGCTGAGCCTGTCCTTGTTTCTCTGGGTGCAGGAAGGACCATCAGAGCGCTCCACCTGTGCAGTATACAGCACTGCAGGCCTTGCTGGAAGCCATGCTGAGCCGGTGTACAGAGTTTTCACAGACTTCACTGAACATGAGGGCTCTGGTCAGTGTGCTACAGCCTGATCTTTTGTATTCCTTGTTCTGTTGTGTTTTTAGAAAGAGAATCAGTACATTCCCTTAATATCAATGCCATTTTATAGTTTTTTTCTCATGTACAAACACCTACAATGAGATGCTATTTTTTTCCTAACTGCATTCCTGTGAAATTTAAAGGTAGTTATCTTCATTTGTAGATGAAACTGAAGCCACAGCATTTAAATAATTTTTCTCTAAGGTCCAAAATTAGCAAGTATTTGCCTGACTAGTAGATCCCAGGGCGTTTGTACCTGAACTTACTCTGCACTGCACTATATGTCATCCAAGTAGCTATAGTAAACATGCTCACAAAATTCAGGCTGGATTTGTTAGAAATTTAGAAAGAATCTCACCCATGTGCACTCTGTTGTAGTCATTGGCTTTTAATGTCCCATAGATTTAAGATACTCAGGAAAGATATTGTCGATGTAAATGTTAATCATGTCTTTCGGTATTAAAACCTTTATATCTGAGAGAATGGAGATTTTCTTGTGTTTTAGAGCAACAATATATACATGACAGCCAGTCAGGCTAATGTCCACTAGCCTGTGACAGCCTTCTGCATACCGTAGACCAAGAGCCAGTCCTATGGTTCTCAGAAACAGGAGGTTAAACAATTTCACTTTCTACTGTTTTTAAAAGTCTATGGGGCTGGGGATTTAGCTCAGCGGCATAAGCACCTGCCTTGCAAGCAGGCGGTTGTGAGTTCGATCCCCGGTACCGATAAAAATGAAAAAGACAAAAAAAAAAAAAAAAGTTTACTCTGAAGGGCTGAGGATTTAGCTCAGCGGCGTAAGCGCCTGCCTTGGAAGCGCACAGTCGTGAATTCAATCCTCTGTACCGATAAAAAAAAAACTACTCTGTTAGATTTGTGAGGATATCACCAAGATTCTCTTGGAAAGTTAAATGGGGTCTGTGGCTGGCAGACAGCAGTTTAAATGTTGGAGGTCTGTAGCCATCCAAGCATAGATGGGGACACATAGCAGGTACTGGACCCATAGGTGTCTCTTTGTTTTTAACCTCAGGGCCATGCCTGCAGAAGAGAGTCAGAGAAGGCGATCCTTCGAAGGGGAAAGTTCCTCCTGAGTACTCTGGAAGGGTTTAGGAACGCCTGCAGGTGAGCAACCCTTTGTGCTCTGAGGGAATTGCAGGGAGGGGAGGCATGGGAGGGATTCAGAGAGAGGATAACACTGAGTGACACCTGCTTGGTGCATACTGGGAGGACTCCGGCATTGGGGTTGGGGATGTGTGAGGGAGGTTTGAGGACAGGTAGCTGTCAGAAGATTCCATCCTGATAAAGATTTTGCTACTGCACCTCTGTTTGTCCCTTCAGCTAGCCTAGCATGCAGCTAGTCACTGAGCACAGCTTATGTTAAAGGTATTTTTTTTTCTTTTTTTTTTTTTTTTGGTACTCGGGATCGAACTCACAACTGTGTGCTTGCAAGGCGGGTGCTTATGCTACTGAGCTAAATCCCCAGCCCAGCAGGTATTTGTTATAGCTTCTGTGTGCCAGCCTTGTTGCTAGCCAGAGGGAGCCTGAGGCTGGAGGGTGGTCAGCGACCTGATCTCACTGATGCCTGGAACTTTCCCCAGATCTGGTGGTAGGGTATTTTCCCTGAATTCAGGTGCTCACCTTTGTGTGAGCAGTGGCAGACATACTTACATACTGATTTCTCAGGTTGGCTGTGGAATTCCAGGGTGAGCCTTTGGCCCAGGAGAATCCATTCACAGCTCCCAGCGCCGAGAAGAAAGACACACTGGAGGCCTTCTCAGAATTTCTTCTTAGTGCCTGTGACTCCCAGTGTATCCCCATGGTGATGGTGGGTTCCCCTTACCTATGGGCAGCATGGAGCTTGGGAAAGGGAAGAATATGTGTGTACCAGGTCAGCAGGCTGCAGGCAGAAGGCCACAATGACCCCACTGGCCCCTGGGGCCTGAGCTATGTTATTCTTTATCATATTTCCTTTGGTTTTAAAAATATAATGTCTCACTACAAAAGTAATAGATGTCTCTGAAGAAAAGTAGAAAGCAGTAACAATAAAATAATAAATAGGCAATGTTTATGATGTGATAACCATTTGGTCTTCTGGAGAGAGAGAGAGAGAGAGAGAGAGAGAGAGAGAGAGAGAGAGAGAGAGAGACAGAGAGAGAGAGAGACACAGAGAGAGAGAGAGACAGAGAGAGAGAGAGAGAGCCAGAGTGTGTACATGAGAGCACAGAAGAGAAAAGGCCTTTAAAGCCTTTATGAGGGCACAGGAGGGCTGCTGAAGAGAGCAGGCACCCGTTGGAAGGCTCAGGAAAGAACTGTAGACTCTATTTGGAAGTTTGACAGGGGGCAGAATTAAAGGGGCATGTAGAATGACCTTCTGACAGCTGATTGAAGGAGCATTTGCACGTGCCTGAGAAGCAGGTTTGACTTGTGGGTTTGCCAGAAAAATGGGGTGCAGGGGCTGTCCAGTGGCAAAGGGAAGTGCTGCCCAGGAAAAACCTGTCAATAACTACTTTATATTCATTGCCTAACTTTATGTTCTGTATGGCCCTGAGAAATGCTTCCTGGAATTTCTCTTACTTTTTCTTTTCTTTCTTTTTTTCTTTTTGGTATCAGAAGTTGAACACAGGACCTTGTGTTTTCCAGGCAGGCACTGTGTGTGCTAAGCTGTATTTCCAGCCCATTTTCTTTCCTTTATTCTGGTGCTGGAGATCAAACCCCAGACCTTTCAGTTGATGGGCGAGCACTCTACTACTGAGCTGTATTGCTAGCCCCTTGCTTAATATTCAGATGAGGTTGTCTCGTCTTACCATTACAAAACAAGTGCATGGAAGTGCCGAGATTAAATCTGCAGCTTCTGGTTCCCAAGCTGTTCTGTGTCTTTCTGGTGAGTTGTGAGCCCCAGTGAAAGTTTGTATCCATGCTTCAGTGATGAACATGTATGAGTGTTCTGTGAAATGAGAGAGGACCGCTCTGAAGAGAGACCTGGTTCTGCAGAGCTTCATTTGGAGCTGATTTAAAGTTGAGATGGTAGGAAGTACAATGCTCACGGCTATTGATACCAGGCTCTCCTGGCTGGAGACTGGACACTGTGCACCTGTGAAGAATCTATTAGTTGGGGAAAAGTACCTCCTAGTCACCTGCTGAGACTGGTAGATGGCACCAGGGAAGTGCCCTGACTATGGGAGAGCCTCTTTCCATTGAATGGTGCACCAGGAACTGCCGCTGCCCTGTGACTAATAGTGACTCTTGTTGGTTGCATTATTTTCTCGGCCTCCTACATTTTTGCAGTGTTAGAGTTAGTCCTATAAGTAGATCATAGAAATATTATATTATTCCTGCTTTCTACTTTTCTGTATTTTATACATTTTCTTTAATGAGAATGTATAACTTTTATAGTAATAATTTTTTTAAAAAATTAGTTTAAAAGCCAAAGGAATGGTGAGTATAACAACAATGACTCTGAAGTCCAGCTTAGACAGGGAACTGAGATCTAGAGAGGGGAGGAAGAGACCAGCAAAGGGTACATCAGTGTGGCTCTGTATAGGTGCAAATTAGAAACTGCTTTTCTTTACCCACGGCTACTGTATCAGGCTGCCTCATGGCTATTGAAGGACCAGAGGGATAATAAATGTGAGGGTACTTTGTGAAATGTATCATTACTGTAGTGTTATTATTAATTATAGAAACACAAGCATTATCTTAAATTATGGTTTAGAAAGCATTTTTTCACACATCAGCCTCATTTGCTCCTGGGAGGTTGATCTTGCTGTTCTCGGTTTCCTATCTGAAGAGTGGTCTGGCAAGGCAAAGCATCTGGCGTAATCCTAATGGCAGATGCAAACCTTAGACATAGGTCTGTGACTTTCGTGCCCTTCAAATGGAAAGATTAGTCTACCATTGCTAAATTTGATGTCACTTTTTGCAGATGGTTTTTCCTCTTCAGAGGCTCAGTCCTGGTTGGCTGTGTTCTCCTTTCTGGTTCTTTCAGAGGTACTTAGAGCAGACCACCCACCCAGGCTTGATGGAAGTTTTCTTCTCCATTCTGCACAGCCTCTTTGTCATCGTCCCCCACATGAAGGAGAAGTTCTCCAAGAAGCTCGGTAGGCAGCAGGCCAATATGGAAGGTGGGAGGTGGCAGGTACTGCATACAGCTGCTCAGAGTGATTAGAGAGCAGGAGCCCTGTGATGCTTATGTATTGGTCAGAATCTCAGTCCAGTGTCGAGTGGAAGGAAATCTGCAGCAATCAAAAGCCATTAAGGGGCCAGGGATTTAGCTCAGCAGTATAAGCGCCTGCCTAGCAAGTGTGAGGTCGTAAATTCAATCCATGGTACCAAAAAGAAAAAAGAAGCCATTAAGTGGGGTTGGTTCTGTCCAGAAAGAAGGCCAGGAGGCTGCCCATAACATGCTGTCATACTCTATCCTTGACACCTCACATGATGTTTAGCATTTCTTGACTGCTGAGCACAGAGAGTCAAATTATCCCATCATTGTGACAATTGAACAAGTTCCCTCATACTTACGGTGCCTTCTGGGGGAACAATGTCACTGTAAAATCCACTATCAAGTGTGTGCTTTGTCCTTCCTAAACTCGAGCCCAGCGGCTTTTGATTCTTTCAACCTTTGCTAGCCTTTCTGTCTTTGTTTTTTCTCTTACTCTTTCTAGTTATTTTTTCTCCTTTTCCGGTTTTTATCCTATAAAGATCTTACTCTGCAGATTAGTAAAGTCAAGAATCAGTGTCTCCTTTATCCTTCTTAGATAGGCAGTGGCAGTGATTGACCGGGTGTGACGGTGCATACCTGTAATCCAAGCATTCAAAAGGCTGAGGCAGGAGGATCGCCACAAATTAGAGGCCAGCCTAGCCTATACATAGTGCATTCAAGGCCAGCCTGAGCTATATCATGTGAGATCCTGTCTCAAAACCAAATCTAACCAAACCAAACCAAAACCAGACCAAACAAAACAAAACAGGAAGGTGATTATTTTTCTCCCTCCTTCTCTTGTTCTCTACCTGCCTTCCTCCCTTTGTTTTTTTTTTTCTGTAAATTGTTAACTAAGGATGCTGAACTGTCTTGGTGCAACCCTGAAACTTCTTTAGAATATAATGCTGATCTCAGGCTGGTCTCTACATGAGAGCATACACAGACTTGAGTAAAACTGTTACAATGATTAAAAAAAGAAAGTGGCAGTGATGGTGAGAATGGGAGGGGGAATAGTGAGCAGTATTGGGTGCGTTCCAGAGGCCAAGTAAGATGTTTGGAGATGTCCATTGGAATCCACATCATGGAAGCTCTCAGCCACTTTGGCTGGAGCAGTTTCTGTGGACTCGTGTGGATGAAGTCAGACTACAGCCAGTCCTTCAATGGAAGGAAGATGGACACTTCTTTCAGCAAGTCTCATGGGAAATGGAGGTGTGACACAGGGAAATGTGACATTTTGGAGAGTTTTCTTATCCTCTGAGATTAGAAGCACTTAACCTGATTGGCTGCTGACAGGAAGAGCAGTAGAGAGACTATTGCTAGTCCATGTAGTTTAGAATTCTTGCCCCATACTTATTTTTTGACTTTGGGGAAATTAATTTTCTCATCCCCAGTGCCTTTAACTAGAGCATGCTGATAATAATAAAAGTGAATTAAGACAATCTATATAGATTTCCTGAATAACTATACTCCTCAGCCACTGTGAAAGCTGATATATGTTGCTTTTCTTCCTTCCAACATTCTTCCTGTTATCATACTTTTAAGATCCAGGAGGATCCAGTCTGGATCTGGTACTGGGTGGGATAGAGAAGTGTGGCTCTCTGGAGGTCAGTGGTGGGCAGCAGAGGATGTAGTGAGTGACTGAGAGATCTATAGGGGAATCTGTGGAGCACAAAGCCAGGTAGAACAGGATTAGATGCTCTTTCTGGACAGAACCAACCCCACTTAATGGCTTCTTTTTTCTTTTTGGTACCATGGATTGAATTTATGACCTCACACTTGCCAGGCAGGCGCTTATACTGCTGAGCTAAATCCCTGGCCCCTTAATGGCTTTTGATTGCTGAAGAGAGAGGCCAGTAACGGCAAACAAAGAGGGAACAGAGACCTGCAGTGAAGAGACTCCTGCTGTCTTCCTGTCCAGGACCCTACTTTTATAGCATCAGGGGCAGGGCAGGAGTCAGTGTTACCAGCAAGCCTTAGTGAAGACTGAGGGGGGCCAGGCAATGGAGGGCCCTGTGCTAGGGTCCCCAGACCTCTGGTCTGAGAAATATTCTCTTTTCTACTTGAAATTCAGAGATAGATGTCAAGTGTGACTTCTATTTATATAACTAATTTCCTACAAAACTGGGAGAAAAGATGGCAGCAATAGCTGTGTCCTTCCTAGGGACATATCAAATGTACTGGATTGGGGTGGAAGATAATCCAGAAAGGAAGGAGATGAACTTTTCCTCCTCAGTACTGAGGATTGAACCAGAGAACACTGAGCTGCATTCTCCAATCCTTTTTAATTTTATAGTTAGGTAGGGTTTTATTAAGTTTCTCAGGCTGACCTTGAATTTACAATCCTCCTGCCTCAGCCTTCCAAGTAGCTGAGATCACAGGCAGGTGCCATTATGCTTGGCTAAGATGAACATTTATTTATTCTTTTTCTGAGCTAAGTACTTTTTAGCTATGTGTGTTCTATATATGTTCTTTATCTTAACTAACTTTATCTTAACAGATATCAAACGGAGCCTCACAAGTTAAGAAACTTTCCCAGAGTTGCATTACTAGATAGTGACAAGATTACATTTTGAACCCGGTCCGTGTGTTCTTTGACACCACCCGGACTTAGGAATCTTTGTAACAAGTCTGGTTTAAACAATTCTCTTTTTTTCTTTCCATTTCTAAGCTGCTTCATCCTTCATACAACTAGCGCTAGAGCTCAAGGCCAGATTCTGCAGTGGCCTGAGGTATGTATGGTCCCAGGTAAGGGGTTAGCGTCTTCACTGACTGGGAGAGTGGAAATTTTCGGCTGGTGTTTTTTTTTTTTTTTTTACATTTTTTTTTCTTTTTCTCTTTTTATCGGTACTGGGGATCGAACTCACAACCACCTGCTTGCAAGGCAGGTGCTTATGCTGCTGAGCTAAATCCCCAGCCCCTCTGGCTGGTGTTTTAGTGCTGGGACCTCATGGGGGTTGATGCCATTAGCACTACTCAGCAACTGGTGTATGAGCTGCAGGTGCTTCTATAGGCTGTATTTTACCTGGTCTAGTGAGGCTCTCATTCCAGGGGATATGTCACGTAAAAACTAGAATGACTCCCAGACATCATTTGTGTAACCTTTCACTTATGTGGAGGAAGGGACTCAGAATAGAAGGGATGCAGTGTCCTTCAAATTCCAGTTGCTATCAATCCAGCAGTTCCAGAGGAAAAACTCTTGACAGAGTAGAAAGGTTGCTGCCTCAGCTTCTTGCCAGTTTTCTGGAGCAGCCTTTTGTACCCTCTCATTCATGATTTGCCACCTGTCTCTGAATTTACCAGGAACATTCATTTGTTGCTGTCCGCAGCCCATACGGTGACTAAAGTGTCATGGCTAGCTCTCTTCCATAGCTCTGAATGGAACACTCAACTCTCAGCAGAGAATTCTCTCTTCCACGCTTTCCGTCAACAGCCAATCAGAATTCAAATCCATACAGTTTCAAAGTAAAAAAAATTTGGGGGGCTGGAGATTTAGCTCAGTGGCATAAGCGCCTGCCTTGCAAGCAGGCAGTTGTGAGTTTGATCCCTGGTACTTATAAAAACGAAAAAGACAAAAAAAAAAAAAAAATTGGATGTTTGCAGAACTCCTGAGTACTTACCTGAGGTTCAGTAGCTTCCTGTTTTGCTAGTAATCCCCAGCCCTTTCCTAGCCCCAAAGTACATTTTCTGTTTGTATGTTTTGTTAAATTGGACCTGAGTAGCCCTCTTTCAATACATTTTTAGTCACTGCCTATGCAGGCAGAGTGCCTATAATACAGCTGTGGGCAGGAGACTCCTTATTTACCTTTCATAACCACTGTAGGGGCTCCTCTTCCATGGCTGTGGTTAGAATTTTCCTAGGCTGTAGCACAAAGTATTAGATAGTACCCAGACATGTGGCAAAGCCAATGTCATGTCCAAGCTAATATAGCAGTGCTGTGTCTTTTGTTCTCTTTTCTCAAAGTCACTCAGCTCTAAACCAGGTGTGTTCCTGTTTCCTCCACTGCATGTGCCTCAATCTCCTCTCAGCTCCAGAGAAGACGGAACCGCCTTCCTCAGAAGGTGAGCTGCTGTGGTTTGACCACACTTGAGGTTCGTGGCAGTCTGTAGAGTCTGGATGCCTTGTTGATTGGCAGCACAGTGTGTCTGACAATAACAATATCTCTTTCCCCAAAGCTGCGCAGAGATACCATAGAATCATGGAGTGATAGAATTATTAGACCAGTTTGTAGGGAGGTGAAATAATAGAATCAGAATACAAAAGAATCCAAGGCTCCTGGAACCCTAGACTCTAAAGGCTCCTAAACTGTTTAAGACCAATTCTTCACTCCCAGCTCTGTCCTCTGTAGCATCTCCACAGCAGGCTCTTTTCCTTGGCTTGTTTCCTCTAGGGTCCAGTGCTTACTGTTCATAAACAACCTGTTTTATTTTTTTGTGTTTATTCATTTGTGATCTTTGTGTGTGTGTGTGTGTGTGTGTGTGTGTGTGTGTGTGTAAGTGTGTGCTCTATTTCCAAGCTGCATCCACAGCCCTTTATTTATTTATTTATTTAATTTTACTTTGAGACAGGATCTTGCTGTGTGACCCATGCTGGTCTCAAACTTGTGATCCTCCTGTGTCAGCCTCCTGAATAGCTAGGATTACCAGTGTGCACCACCACACTTGGGCTTGAAATACTTTTTCTTTTCTTTCTTCCTTTTTTTTCCCTTCAGTACTGGGGATCCTGCCCAGAGTCTTATGCATTCTAGCCAAGCATTTTACCATTTACCATTGAACTACACCTGTGTCTCTCATGAGATATTTCTTAAGTATCTGATGGAAGAGCTAGGGAAACAAAACCCTACTCTCCATGGAGTAAGAGAGGCAGGTAAATACACAAGTAGACACAGTATCAAGGATGAATAATAAGGAACTGTGAAAAAAATAAAAGTGGCCAAGTAGGCAGAGGGTGCTGGAGGGAAGGAGGCAGTGCTGGATGGGGAAGGCCTGTGTGAAGAGGTGCCTGAGTAGGGGCTTAGTGATAGCCATGCAGAATCCAGGCAGGAAGAACAGCAGGTGCCGAGTGTGGGGCTAGAAGTTTTCCTATTATTTATTATTTTATTTACTGGAGATTGAACCTACACTTCCAGTTCCTTTTATTTTTATTTTGAAGTAGGGTCTCACTGGGTCACTGAGTTTTCCAGCCTGGTTAGAAGCTGGCAACTCTCCTGTCTCTGCCTCTCTGCCTCCCAGAGTGCTGGGATTTCAGGCATGCACTACTATACCTGGCTAAAGTTTTCCCTTTTGTTGACTACTCATTGAACTTCTGTAATGTGCCTGGGGAGGCCCAGGTACAGCTGTTGATTCACCAGTGAGATGATTATAACACATCCTCTGCCCTAGGGTTCTCTTGGTATAACATCATTCATAATAATTGTATACGTTCTTTGGAGATTAGACTTGGTGCCATCCTTTTTGTGTTTATGAAGACTCTGGGTCATTTCCCCACTCTCCAAACCTTCTTTTCTTTTTTTGTACCAGGGATCAAACTCATGACTTTGCACTTGCCAGGCAGGCACTTCTGCCATTGAGCTAAATCCCCAGCCCTCTTTTGTGTTTTTGTGCTGAGACAGGAAACCAAGTAATCATACACCCTTAATCCCAGCATCACATACTCTAAACTCAGCCATCTCCAATAAAGCCCCATCTACGACTGTATGAGCCCATCACTCAGGAGCTGAGGCAGGAGAATTTCTGGGAATTCAAGGCTAGCCTGAACTACATAGCAAGTCCCTGTCTCAACAAAACAAAACAAAAAGACCATATGAGGATTTGGGGGGACATCTAGACTCCCCTGGCCTCCTAACATAGTCCTACACATCTGACCGTGGAGCAGTACCAGTGAGGGAGTTTTCTCTGATCCATGGTGGAATGTGGAAAGTAAGGCTAATGTGATGAATTTTCCATAAAGCTGACTTTATTTACATTGTAAAATGTGTTTTTGGTCTTTTTGAAGAGGGTCTCATTATGAAGATCAGGCTGGCCTTGAACTCACTTTGTAGCCCAAGCTAGTCTCACACTAGCCCAAGCTAGCCTCATTGAGTCTCCTGCCTGAGCCTCCCGAGTGCTGGAATTACAGATATGCACCACCATGTCTGGCATTCAAATTTTAAGGTTTTTTTGGTCTTTTTCGTTTTTATTGGTACCAGGGATTGAACTCACTACTGCCTGCTTGCAAGGCAGGCACTTATGCCGCTGAGCTAAATCTCCAGCCCCCAAATTTTAAGTTTTAAGATCCTTTTCTATTTGATGTTAAAATACTCCTCCTTGATGTGTTTTTTTTTTTTTTAATACAGTAGAGTACTACTCTGCCATAAAGACGCCTAAGCTCTAGAAATTTCTGGGTAAATGGATGCACTTTGAGACCATCCTCTTAAATGATGTAATTGAATATGTGACTACTGCATTGTTTCTCTGGTGTGAGAAATTGAAAGTGTAAGGAAGGACCAAAATGTATAATAGTTATTGTGAGATAGGAAGAAAATATTCAAATGGGGAAGGGAACTAGGAAGTAGGCAGAAGGAAAAGGGAAGAAGGAAAAAAGTAAAAAATGAGAAAAAATGGGAACAAAATTTGTAAATGGGGAGAGGAGGAGGGGTTGAAGAGATGGTAAGGGAGTGGGGAAAAATAAATCAAGTTATGTCATGTATGGGTACAGATTCTCTATGATGAGTGTAATCATTATGTATATCTAAATGTACCATTAAAATCCGATTTAGGGAAAAAAACAAAAACAAACAAAAAACCCCCTTCTTTTATAAAGAGAATTTTTATGAGAAATCTAGGAGCTTTTGCTCTCAGGATAAAATTTAAATTTTCTATGCAGCATCTAAGGTCTTTCCTAGTCTACAAATTACATCACACAGTTCTGCAGCTCCTGACATCCCACCTCCCTTCACTGGCCATCCATTTGCCCAGTGTGTCCTCTCACGGCTCCACGCCTTGTAACATCTTGCTCCTTGTCTCTTGGATTCACTCCGCTCCCTTCTTTGCCTATTTTCTGCTCGTCCTCCACAGTGCCGTCCTCTTTGAGCTTGCCCTCCCATCCCACAGAGCCTGAGCCACTTCCCTCCTCTACCCTGGAGCATGGCACTGACTGTGTGTGCTGTGATCTTTCATCTCCTTATCTGTTTCCTCCTGCCAGCTTCCTGAGGTGGGACTTGGGTTTCACAGCCTGGCATGCAGTGAACATATGTCGAATGAATGAATGAATGTTTTTTAGATACATCCATGTCCTTCTACATGTTAACTTTCATCTGTCTGGTTAAGTTGAACTCTCTTCCTGTATACCAGGAAACTGATTTCCTCTATACCATATGTGCCCTTGTGTCCTGCATAGTATTCTGCACACAGTAGCTCTCAAGTGCTCATTGCCTGCTGTCCTGTGTTCTCTGTGTGGCCTTCTGCTGCCTGTTTTCTCCTAGAACTCTCTGCAGTATCTGAGCTCCTGCAGCAGGGGCTGCCCCAGATAAACAGCAGGGGACCAGAAAGCCTTGCCTTCCTGTCTGACTGCCAGTATGTGGAGGGAGCTGCTCGCCAGAGACAGTACTGCATCCTGCTCCTCTTCTACCTGGCCTACATTCATGAGGACAGGTCAGTCCCAGCTCCGGTGACCAGTGGTGAGTCCTGGAACATTCATGTGTATCGGGTTCAGGTCAATGGATATTTTTGTTTGTGTCAAACTCAAACTACATGTGCCTCAGCCTCCACATCTTAGTTCAAGGGATGTTTACAGAGGCGTCCTTTCTCAGCCTCGGGCTGCACAATTGGAGCACAGAAACAGTGTGAATGGCTTGTGTTCCTCATAGGCTCATGTCTTGGAGAGAGGTTGACACTGGTTAGCAGACACAGTGCTGAGAGAAGTCCTAGAATGCTAGTGCATATTCTGTGTTATCCTTGAGGATGTTACCTATGCACAGAAAACTTTGATGGTTTACTTTTGTTTTAGGTATTACTGCATTACTTGGTAAACATTGAAAATCAAGAGACTAGTCTTTCCTAAGCTTTTAAATAGAGAATTTATTTATTTTTTATTTTTTTGTCTTTTTCGTTTTTATCGGTACCAGGGATCGAACTCACGACTGCCTACTTGCAAGGCAGGCGCTTATGCCGCTGAACTAAATCCCCAGCCCCTTAAATAGGGAATTTATCCAGGTGAAATTTGTACAACTTAAAATTAGTTACTTAAAAGGGAATGATTCAGTGACACATAGCACCCTCACAATTTTCTGTAACCACAACCTATCACTGCAAAGTAAAACTCCTTACCATTTAAGTTATAGTGACAGAGTTTGAAACCAGTCGGTGCACGTGCACGCGCACGCACACACACACAGTCAGTTCTCCTCATCTGCCTCGCATGTATAGTAATACACTCCCACCTCCCACCACGGAAAGTATCCTATTGAACACATCCCTGTTTAATCACAAATATGAGAGAGGAAGGCAGGCTGCCTAAGGAGGGCCTCTTTAAGCCCACAAGTAGCACCCTTCTTTTTAACAGTGCTGTCCCAGTGGAAAGAGCTCACTGCCTACATGTGAATGCAGTCTTTACCCCTGACGCAGCCTTACACAAAGCAAAGAACCATGTGGTCTCTAAGCACAGCATGCTCTGAAAGAACGCTGTGTATTCATGATATGGATGGACGTGATGGGGCAGGAGAGTGGACTGAAGGAGTCCACTGGCCTGCCAGCTCTGTCTTTCTCACTCAGGCTCTTCTTGGTCAACAGGTTTCTCTTGGAGGCTGAGTTATTCGTGGCTGTGCAAGGCTTCTTCTTGTCTCTTCAGGACCAGGGTGAGCGCCCTCCACTGGTGGTCTTCAGAGCCTCCATCTATCTGCTTGCAACCTGCCAGGGCAAGGACAGTGCCCTGGATGAGGTAGGGACCAGAATGCCTGGGCTCTCCTCCTCCTTTACCTCATTACAAGAATGGATTGGGTACAGTGATGATATATGTGCGGACAGGGGAATGGCAGAGACCTAGTGAGAAGTTAGGAGAGTGCAGAGAAGAAGGGTGTTGATACCTACAGAGCCTTGGAAGAGGAGGTGATAATTTCTCCTTTGTAGCCGAGAAAATGGGGATGAAGTGAAAATAGCTTTCTCTAGGGCCCACAGTTAATGGGTTGGGACGGAGGTGGATACAGACCCTACCTCAGACTTCACTGTCTCTCAAGCTCTTTCTTGTCACCACCTCTGGTTTGTGCAGAGCTGTACAGTATTATATCTCCTGTTAGCAGTTTCTCAAGCAAAGTGAATTGTTAAATAATTTGTGATGTTGGTTGTGGGTATATGTCCAAGGTTTCTCTCTCCAGCTTCCTTGTAAATTCCTGATCTGACTCATCATTGAATCTCTCGTGTATTTCATAGAAGATTGTTTCTGCCCCTTGACTGTGGACCTTTCAGTCTCAAGCTAGGCTATTCTCACCTCAATACTATTACTTTTGCCTCTTTTGAGACAGATGTTGGGGGTAAATGTGATGCAAGCAGACATAGTTTAATTTGAACAGAAATAGGAATGAAGGTATGGCTCTCTATAAGACACACCAGGGTACACTATGTCCCTTTGCCTCTGTTTATGTCATGTTAACAGCCATTGGTGATTATTGCTAGATCTAGTACTTCATTAGGGATTGCCAAATAATAATATTGTAATTATGTCATTTTCTTTTCATTAATTAAATGGATAGTTGTACAAAAAAGAAGCATCCATTGGGAATAGTTGTCCATGCCTGTAATCCCTGTTACTTAGGAGGTCAAGGCAGGAGGATAGTTCAAGGCAAGCCTGGGAAACTAAGCAAGACTCTTCCTCAAAATAAAGAATGAAAAGAGCTGGGAGTGTAGTATAGTGGTGGAGCATCTCTGGGTTTGATCCCTAGAGCCACACACACACACAACAGCTGGTGGTGCACACTTGTAATTCCAGCACTTAGGAGGCTGAGGCAAGAAGATTGTTATGAGTTTGAGGCCAGCATGGTCTATATAGTGAGTTCAAGGCCAGCCTGAACTACAAAGTGAGATACTGCCTCAAGACAAAACAAAACTTCCTTTCATCAGCAATTCAGTTATTCTATAGACTAGATTGTATAAGTTAAATTCTTTTTTTTTTCTTTTTTCTTTTTTTATCTTTTTATTGGTACCAGGGATTGAACTCATGACTGCCTGCTTGCAAGGCAGGTGCTTATGCGACTGAGCTAAATCCCCACCCCCTACAAGCCCTACTTTTGATTGAGTTTTGGTTTTTCTAGGATGACATGGTCCTTCAGGCTTGTTTTACATGTTTCCTGCTTTTCTATTCCTTTTTTAAAAAAATCTACTTTGATTAGGCTTTCATTACTATTACACTTTAGAAAAATGTGCTCATCATTTTTATTGACAACACATGACTACAATTAGTACCCAGTATTTAGTCATCCTTTTTGCTTGGCCTATCAACAGCATCTTTCTGTGAAACACTGTCTTTACTTGTAATCTAGAACACTGTGTATGTCAGGTTTCCTCCTGCCTCTCTGATCTTCTCTGTCAGTGTCCTTTGTTGATTGTCTTTTGCCTTCTGACCTTTTAGTGTTACAGGGTTAGGGTGTGTGTGTGTGTGTTTTGTAGTGCTGGGCATCAAACCTAGAGCCTTACATGTGTGAAGCAAGCACTTTGTCACTAAGTCTCAGCCCCAGCCTGCCTCTCCCTTTAATTTTTTTTTTTTTTTCAGACAGGTTCTCTATGCAGTTCAGGCTGGCCTTGAGCTCACTTTGTAGCCCAGGCTGAAGTTGCAATGATCCTCCTACCTCAGCCTCCTGAGTGCTGGGATTACAGATGTGAACCACCATGCCCGGCTTGCCTCTCCCTTTAAAAACAATTGAGACAGGATCTCACTAAATTACCCAGACTGGACTCAAAATTGTCATTTTCCTGCCTCAGCTCCCCAAATAGCTGGGATTATAAGTGTGTGTCATGTTGTCCAGCAGAGTGCAGTCTTCGACTGCATCCTGTATCTTTCTTCTGTCTAAATCTCATACAGGCCTACAGCTGGGGTTACAACCTGAATTAAACAAGTCACTCTGTCATCTAGAATGATAGACTGAAAGAGTACAAGGGTGGAAGTGGAAAGACCTGATAGGAGACTAAGGCAGTACTGGAGGCAGGTGGTGACGGGAGAGTGTGGAAAATATCTGCTTCTGTTTTGAAGATGCAGCCAGTAGGATTTCTTGAATGGATCAGATGTGAGGTATGAGAATAAGAGAGAATAAAAAGATATTTCCAATGAGTCTTTGTTCTAATAGGGCAGAGAATTGTTGGGGTGAGATAGAAGAGCCAGGTATGGCAATGTATTCCTGTAATCCCAGCACTTAAGAGGCTGAGGCAAGAGGGTCACCATGAGCTCAAGTGAGTTCATAGATACAGTGACACTGTCTCAAAAAAAAAAAAAGAAAGAAAAGAATCGGAAGCTGGCAAAGAGAGGCCATGCCCTGAGCCACATGGGGATGGTCCTGGGTTTCTGAGTTAACTGACGTAAACAGGGGTAAGAATATGCTAAGAATGGTCTGGATAACTTGAGGACTGATAGCATAGCAAGGCTGGATTTTGGCAACCCCTCTTTACATTTACCTGTGTTGGTGTTGAAACTAGGGAGGTAGCTCATGTAGCTGTGGGCTTCCCTTTTTAGATATGAATCCGCAAGTATAATGTTGTTTTATAAATTTTTATATAAATATATAAGTGGCAGCATACATTTTGATTTTGTTTCAGACAGCATCTCATATAGTTCAAGCTGCCTTGGACTCATTGCATAGCCTAGGCTGGGCGCAGACTCCCAATCTTCCTGCCTTAGCCTGCCGAGTGCTGAGATTGCAGATGTGTGCTACCATGCCTCACATGCACTCTCTCTCTCTCTCTCTCTCTCTCTCTCACACACACACACACACACTCTCTCTCTCTCTCTCTTCCTCTCTCTCTCTCTCTCTCTCTCTCTCTCTCTCTCTCTCTCTGGTCTTACTTTGTAGTTCAGGCTGGCCTTGAACTCTCAACGATCCTCCTGCCTCAGCATCCTGAGTGCTGGAATTACAGACATGTGCTACCACACACAGCTCCTTTATTTTGATATAATTTCAAATTTAGAAAATGTTGCAAGAATAGTTCAGGTTCTTATTAACCAAATTCACTAATTTTCACAATTTTGTCTCATTTTATTTTCTCTTTCTCTTTCTCTTTCTCCAGTCTCACCCCATTTTTTTCTGAACCACTTGAAAATAATTTTCAGATGATATTTAGATGTACCCTTTTTAAAAATACTTCATGCATATTTATAAGGTCTTTATTTTATATAATCCCAGTACAGTGAACAAAATCAGGAAATTTAACATTGCATACAGTATTATCTAATCCATAGTTGATAGTCAAATTCAACTTTTTTAATAGGGGTCATGCTAGGGGTCAAACTCAGAGCCTTGCACATGCCTTGCACATGCCTTGCACAATTTCTTTGCCACTGAACTACATCTTCAGCCCCCAAAGTTCAGTTTATGCTGATGGCAGTCTGCGAGATCCTTCTGTATCACAGCTCTTGATGCTGTGTGAGAACCTTTAGAGAAGACGGGTGGCATGTGTTGGATGTGTGTGAGGACCCACAACAGCGGAAGTGTATCTCTGGGAAATAGATATATCAAAGTATTCCTAGAAATGCTTCCTTTTTTGGCAACGTCACTGTAGTTTAATCAGCATTTCCTAAATTCTTGAATGCTACTTACTCAGTGCTTACCATTTTTTCAATACACTTTTTTTTTCTGCAATATTGTCTGAAGCCAAGGCCTTTGCACTGAGATACATTCTCAGCCCTTTTTGTCTTTTATTTTGAGAGAGGGTCTTACTAAATCACTACAGTAAGTTGCCTAGATTGGGTTTGAATCCTGTCTCAGCTTCCCAGAATGATGGGATTACAGGTGTGCACCACTACACCCAGCCTTTATTTGCTGCTTAACATTTTAGCAACTTGGTCAGCATGGATTGACACTTGGCATGTTCTAGGGACCGTGTGGATCCCCATCAGTGTAAGATGAACCAAGTAAGTTCCCTACCCTCAGAAAATACCAGTTTTCCAGGAGATACAAAAAGACTTCCTACATGGGAGTTTACTTAAGCAGTAAGTGCTGCCAAAAGGAAAAAAAAAAAGTGGGAGATATAGCTCAGTAGGAGAGCACTTGTATAGCATGTGTGAAGCCCTGTGTTCAATCTCCAGTACCACCAAAAAAGGAAAGGAAGACAGACAGACAGACAGACAGACAGACAGATGAACAATAGTGTTCAGTTGGTATTTCTCCCTAAATTGACTGATAGATTCAATGTAACCCATATCAAATTTCCAGCTGCCTTTGCCCCCCCCCCCCAAATGGATAGACTTGTCTTAAAATTCATACAGGAATGCAAGGGACCTAAATTGTCTGAAGCAGTCTTGAACAAAGTCGGAGGACTTACACTTCTTGATAAATGGCATATGCCTATAATCTCAGAACTTTGGAAGACAGAGGCAGGAGAATCACAAGTTTGCATCCTGCCTGGACAGCCTTGCTACTCATCAAACCCTTGTTTCAAAATAAAAAGGAACTGGGGCTAAAGCGCAGTGCAGAGGCCCTGGGTTCAACCTGTAGTTCAAACAAACAAGCAAACAAACAGACGAAAAAACTGTGTTGCTGGTATAATGATGAATATAAAGATCAGTGAAACACAATTGAGAATTTGGGATGAACTTCATTTGTTTATTGTCAGTTGACTTCATCAAGGACCCTGGAAATGCAAAAGAATGAAGTTGCACTCATACTTCTTATATACAAGATGACTCAAAATGGATCAAAGATCTAAATGAAACAGCCAAAATTATAAAACCTTTGGCCAGGGTTTTAGCTCAGTGGTATAAGTGCCTGCCTGGAAAACATGAGTTTGTAAGTTCGATCCCCAGACCAAAAAACCCACCAAAAACAAAATTATAAAACCATTAGAGTAGTATATTAAAGAATTTGAATGCTACAATATATACATGAAGGGAAGAGATAGGTTTTTAAGGGTTAATAGATGATTCTTCTCCTTCCATTTTACCCCTTCCGTGCCAGGACCTATGCTGGGCACACTCACCCTCAGGCAGCCTTCAGTTTAGTGTGGGAAGTTGACAGGCACCATGACAATCACATTGTAGTGTCACCATAGAGCTGGATTTACCAACTTCCGCACTATTAATGTTTTACATTGGGTTATTTTTTGTGAGGAAGTTTTTTTTTTGAGGAAGCATTGTAGGATATTGTAGTATCCTGTCTTGTCACTCGATGCTCGTAGCACTTCCTGAATCAAGGTAATAAAAAATACTTCCAAACTTTCCCAAATACAGTTGACCCTTGACTTTTGAACTCAATTTGCTCCTAAGGGCTGGTTGTCATCAAGTTGTCATTTGAAGGCTCAGGCTTCTCTGCACAGCCTTCAGTCACTCTCCGGTATAAAGCAGATCTTAGTGTCCTTAGAGAGACACTGGCCCACGATTTTTCAGTTAATCCTGTATAAGAAAGGATGTTGTAATGTTTCTTCCAGAACTCTTTAAGGGTTAAATCTGTGTTGGAGACCAGCTGGAAATACAAGTGGCTGGCATTTGGGGCATAACTCAAGACTTTGGTCATAAATTAAAACTAAGCCGAGCATAGTGGCACATGCCTATAATCCCAGCACTCAGGAGACTAAGGCAGAAGGATTGTTGCAAGTTCGAGACCAGCCTGGGCTACAAAGTAAGCTCACGGCCAACCTGTATTGCACAGTGAGAGCCTGTCTCAAAAAGACAAATAAATAAATTAATAAATAAAATTTAAAAAGATAAAACTAAATTTCTGATCATAACCAAAATTGTTTGTATGTCAGATCAGTTGTAACTTGAGCATCTACTGTATCCCATGGGGAGCACAATCACCTTAAGTACTTTTGTTATAAGGCGAGCACTTGGGATGAGCCAGGAAAGACATCCTGGAGCACTGAGATGCCAACACATTTTTCCAAGTGATGATTAGGCTACTTTGAAGTCTCAGGTTCTCTGCACAATTGTAGTTAGCTTCCGTCTTTGTTTTGTTCTAGGCTGTGGTCAGTGCAATCAGAAAATTCCTAGAGGGCATCTCAGACCTGCGTCTGGTTTATACCCACCACCCTCTCCTGCTCAGGTTCTTCTTGTCGTATCCAGAGCTGATGAGTAGGTTTGGGCATCGTGTCCTGGAACTTTGGTTTTCCTGGGAACATGGCAACTATGAAGAACTGGATGATGCCTCTTCTACTAGACAATTCAACCTTCCTGCCAGTTTAGCAGTGTTGTTCCAGATACTCAGCAGCAGCCCCAGCATCCTGCTTATTTTGCTGGTAGGTGCTCATCCATTTATGCACTCAGAGATGGCAGGCCTTCTGCCTCTGGCATTCAGTTCACTGAGGTCAGCAGGCACCACAGCTGCTTCTGCCCACCTCTGGACTTACTGCTGTGTGCATGTGAGTGGGAGGTCTTTTATGCTTGTAGATGCCTGATTTATGTAAAATCATACCCTTTCATAAGTCATGGAGGTGTATGTGCTAAGAGACACATTCCTGTCTAGTCCCCTGGGATATAACTGCAAAGCATGGGCCTCAGTCATTATTCCCTTTCACTTCTCTGTCCTCTCTCTCAGGCAGATACTGGTAAGAAGGGTTAATGTCAAAGGAGACTCTGGGGCATATGTTTGGAGATGTCTGATTGCACAGTCAGTCTCTTTCCATGGCTCTAGTACATGTGTGTAACATACTCCTTCATGTATACCAGAGTTGTCAGAAACCCTAATACTTCTTTATTATATAAGATACTATTATAATTCTCATCAGTTACATCAGTTAGGTAAGGTAGACTACCTATTATCTGCTGCTTCTAACACCCTGGTTTTCACACGAACCTTTTTTCTTCCACTCAAGAAAGCACACTGGAAAGCAAATTAGTGAGAGAGACATTATTATAGAGGTAATTATTGATATATCTGTATACATTTTATTGAAATATATTTTGCCTATCACAAAATACACCTGTTTGACTGAATAATTCAATGAGTTTTCATAAATTTAACAAACTATAACTATTATCATAACCAGTCTTAACATCTCAGAACATTGTCATCCCCTTAATATATTACCAACTCACCCCTAGAAATGATCAATCTATGTGTTTTTTACAAAAAACTGTTTCCATACTTCAAACTTTGTGTTTAGTCATAGATTGTTGGTAGCAGGTTCCAAACTGATTTCAGGACACCAAAGTATGACATACACTGTCTTCAATGTCAGTAACCCACACAACCCCCTCAGTCCAGGGAGGATGACTCAGCTTATTAGATAAGAGTGGGGATCTTTGATGCTTTTATTATTAAAAGTATGATCTTTTACTTTATTGGAGTAATGTTAGTAGCAACAAGATCTGTACGTTCTTGCCCCACATCCTTAGTTACCCATATCTATCCATATCCACATATACAAACACATATTTTCTACTCAAGCCAAAATCTTAGCCTTCCATTTCTGAGATCTGTTTTGTGAAGTCACACATGTTGAATTTATAGGACTTGTGTTCATGGTTTATTCATTTTTTTATTGCAGTCCTGAGGACTGAACCCAGTGTCTTTGCACTGAGTTATATTCCCAGTCTTTTCATTTTTTCATTTTGGGACAGGTATTGCTAAGTCATGAAATTGCTCAGGGTGGGCTTGAACTTGCATCTCTCCTGTACCAACCTCTCAGAGTGCTGACATTGCAGATATGCACCACCACACTCAGCTTGCATTCATACTTTATTTTTTCTAAAATAAAATAAAATGATATTTTAAAGCCTTTAAAATCCTAACTCATATGGGTAATTTTCTTCAGTGTTATTTGTGAAGTGACTTGTATGTATCTTTCATTTATTATACTTTTTTGTTTAATTGCACTCAGATAAGCAAAAGATATTTGTTCAAACTGAAAACTTTCAACTGTATTTCACATGCTTATAATTGTATTCAGTAGCAGTCCCACATTCTCGAAGGATATGGGTAGTAAAGTCTTTCCCATGCTGCTTACATTAAAAAAAAAAAAAAAAAAACAAAACTGCAGCCAGGCATGGTGGCACATACCTGTAATCCCTGTACTCTGAAAGTCTAAATTTCAACAGGAGCTTCGCAAGTTTTGAGTTCAGCCATGGCACAGTAGCTAGACTGCCTCAAAAATTTTTAAAAAGAATAAAATAGTACTATTCCAATACCTCAACTCCTTACCATATTGTCCATAACTAGAGATTTTTCTCTCCAGTGATTTGGTCCATTAGACAAATTTAGCTGATTCAAGGGCCTTTTCATGTTGTCTGCCTTCACAGGATTTCACCTCACTGTGAGTTAAGCCATTGAAGACGGTAGTTATAAGTGAGAGTTTTCACTCACAAGGTTTCTCTCATTGTATGTTCTTTCCTATCCCATGAGGGCACTGTAGTAAGCATAGGCCTTACTACCTTGTTTACATTCATAAAATTTCTGTTCAGTGTGAATTATTTCTTGTCCTCAAGAGACCAGTGGAATGAGCAAAGGCCTTTCCATATTGTTCACATGTATAAGGTTTCTGCCCAGTGTGAGTTCTTTCATGTTTCAGGGTGTAAAAAGAAGCAATAATCTTTTTATGTTCTTTTGTTTTATTTTTTATTTTAAAGAAAATAAAACAAAAGAGAACAGAACAAAACAAATCAGAATAGAACAATTCAAGCAACACAGCACTTCACAACAAGACAACCAGACATCAACAGTAGCTACCATAATGTCTCTTTTCTTCAAAATAGTTGAACAGGGGCTGGGGGTTTAGCTCAGCGGCATAAGCACCTGCCTTGCAAGCAGGTGGTCATGAGTTCGATCCCCAGTACCGATAAAAATGAAAAAGACAACAACAACAAAAAAATAGTCGAACATACCTTCACACACAATAATATCAAACTGTGTAACAAAATACTGTAAAACCATTCAAGAGAATGAAATCATTACAGGAGTTCAAAACCAAATAACATGAAATGAACAATGGCTACTATAATATCTCATTTTCCTTAAAAAATTTGTTCATACCATCGCACATAATAATATCAAATAAAATACAACAGGATAGAACCAATCAAAACAGAAGGACGAAAGCATGGTAGGACTTCAAAACAAGATGATAGTAAATCAGCAATGGCTGCCATAATGTCTTGTTTTCTTGAAAACAGCTGTTCATACCATCCACATAATAAAATTAAACAAAACAGAATAAAACCAATCAATCAAACCAATGAATGAAAGCATTATAAGACATCGAAGCAATATAATAGAAAATCGTGATTACCAGAAAATATTCAAAATAGCTGCCCTTACCAGCTGAAAGCATAAAATCTAACAAAACAAAACAAAATAAAACAAAACAAAACAGAAAAAAGCCAAACCTAACAAAATTGTGTAAACAATGCAAGAGTTCAAGATAAGACAATAAGAAATTGATTGCAGTTTCTACCTTTCCCTCCCAGGTGTTTCCTCCCCATTGCTCTTACATTAACTATTTTGCTTTTGGATCCCATTAACTCTTTCTGTTTTTTATGCTAGGGTTCACGCATATGAGTACAAACTGTTTTGGCCACGAACATGATCTCCAGTTGCGTTCATTTATCTACAGGAGCCTTGAGATTATTCTACTTTATAGCTGGGTAGCTTTCCACTGCATGAAAATACCATATCTTTCTTATCCATTCTGCAGTTGATGTGCAAGTTACTCTTGCTTTTTTTTTTGGCCTCCGGAACAATTGATTTCTTTCCTTTGATTTTCAGTCTATGAATTTCCTTTCCACTTAGATGTGTTTCTTTTTTAATAGCCTGGGGGATGCAATCAAATAGATGTGTTTCTTGTATACGGTATATTGATGGATTTTGTTTCTTGACCCACTCTTCTGTGTTTCCTTTTATTGCTGACCTGAGGCCATCTTCATTAATGGTTAACAACCAGCATACATTGGTTTGTCTCTGCCCTGCTATCCTCCTGTTGTTGACCCTCCACTTTTCCCCTTCATTCAGTTGCCTGATCCTCCATTCAGTTGTTTGGTGATCCTCCTCTGTTGCTGTTCCTGAAACCATGGTCATCTTTATCTTTCTCTATAATATTCTTTAGCACTCTCTGTAGGGTTGGTTTGGTAGTCATGAATTCCTTCAGTTGTTCTTTATCATGGAAGTATCTTATTCTATCAATTTTGAAAGAGTTTTTCTGGGTAGATCAGTCTGGGTTGGAAGTTGTTTTCTTTCAGGGTTTGAAACACTTCACTCCAAACTCTTTTTGACTTGATGGTTTGTGTTGACTAGTCTGCTGTGATTCTGATTGGTTTTCCTTTGTAGATGATCTGTCTCTTTTCTCTAACAGCATTTAATCTTCTGTTCGTGTGCTGAATTTCTGGGATCTTGATTATTATATGTCTTGTTGTAGATTTACTTTGGTTATGGCTAGTTGGAGTCCTATAGACCCCACTTATCTACATGCCAGATCCATTTCCCATGTTTGGGAAGTTGTCTTCTATTACTTCTGTGAATGTCAGATGAAATTAAAATGAAATTTTAATTTCATTTGTGTTGACTCCTGCTTCTTCATTGATACCTATCACTCTTAACACTTTCTTTGCATCATCTTGCAACCATTGAGTTGTTATTTCCTGATTCCGTGCTAATTTTTAAGAGATCTTTCCTTTCATGATCACTAGCTGCAATCCTGTCTTCAAGGTTTGAAAGTCTATCTTCAGTCTCTTTCAAGCAGTTTTGCCAGCTTTTGATTGAATTTTTAATTGCTGCATCTCTCTTTGAATCTGTTTCATGCATTGTAATTCCTTGCTACATTCATTGAAGATTTCTATCATTTTCCTATGCTCCTCTTTATTGTCTTCTTTAGACCTGCTGAACAATTCTTTCAGTATGTTAGAAGCAATGATTTTTTTTGAGACAGGGTCTCTCTATGCAGTCCTGGCAGGCCTTTAGCTCACTTTGTAGCCCAGGCTGGCCTGGAACTCACAACGATCCTCCTGCCTCAACCTCCCAAGTGCTGAGATTACAGGTGTGAGCCACCACTCCCAGTTTAGAAGCAATTATCTTAATACATTGTTTGTATTCATAGGTTCCTGTCCAGTGTGACTTTTTTTCATTCTTTCATGGGCACTAGAACAAGTAATAACCTAACCACATTGTTATATTCATAAGGTTTCTCTGTCCAGTATGGTTTTGCATGTACTTGAGGGAACAACTTGCAAGAAGAAGCAAAATACTTTTCCATATTGCTTACGCTCACAGGATTTCTGTGCAATGTGAATTTTTTTTTGTCTTTTTCCTTTTTATCGGTACCAGAGATCGAACTCACGACCGCCTGCTTGCAAGGCAGGTGCTTATGCCCCTGAGCTAAATCCCCAGCCCCCAATGTGAATTTTTTTGTACACTTCAGAACACTCTTTGTACACTTGAAGAACACTAGAACAAGTGAAGGCTTTTCCACATTGTTTAGATTTATATGGTTTCATGCCATATGATTTCTTTTCTATACACAAAGGGCAACAGAAAACTCGAAGATCTTGTCACATTGTTTATATTTAATGGTTTCTCTCCAGTTTTCCTTTTTGGGATTTGGAATTAAATTTACAGCCTTGTGCTTGCTAGGTAGGCACTTGTGCAGCTGAGCTATATCTCCGGCTCCTCCAGTGTGAGTTCTTACATGCATTTGGAGGTAAGTGGAAAAAGAGAAGGCCTCACCATATTGTTTCACATTCACAGAGTACACTTTTAAATTCTTTCTTTAAGAGGAAAAAAGGAAAAGGAATGAGTTAAAGATAGAGCATTAAGGATCAGCAGTTTAGCTCAGTGGTACAAGCACATGACTGGCAAGTGCAAGGTGATGAGTTTGAACCATTGTACAAAAAAGACAGAGCATTAATATCAAGAGGATAAGAGCAAATTAGACCATCAGGGCCAGGGATATAGCTCAGTGGCACAGTTCCTGCTTGGTAAGCGTGAGGTCATGAGTTTGATTTCCGGTACAGGAAAAAAAAAAAAAAAAATAGGACACCAAAGAGAGTAGCAGTGGACGTAGCTAAGATATTAGATGTATTGGCCAATCTTCTATTGATAGAACAAAATGCCACACAATTTAAAGCAGGAAAGGTGTCATTGGGCTCATGGTTTTTTTTTTTTTTTTTTTTGTCTTTTTCATTTTTATCAGTACCAGGGATCGAACTCACGACTGCCTGCTTGCAAGGCAGGCGCTTATGCCGCTGAGCTAAATCCCCAGCCCCTTGGCTCATGGTTTTGGGGAATTCAGCCCATTGAAAGCTGACTGCAAGGCAGAGATGGGATGATGGAAAGACATGGCAGAAAAAAAAACTGCTGATCACATTACAGCCAGAAATGTTTTCCATTTTCCTCATCTCTCCTTCCTGGAGGAAGTGGGGTCAGGGTACAGAGGAGCTTCTTCCCTTGGCCTAGAACTCAAAAGGAGGGAGGCTTCCTTTATGATTGAATGCTACAGAAATCTAGGAAGATGTAAGCCTCTCTGAGCTTCAGTTTCCTCACATAAAATGAAGATAACATGAAGATGAAAGAGGTGACATGTAGGTTTCGTCATGGTATGCTGTACGGTATGCACAAAACTGAAACTAACTGTCGACTTTGAATCTGAACCAGATAAAGAATGTTCATCTCAGAGACGCCAATGGAACCATCCTACGTTGTATATCTAATAAGAGTTATGATCATGACTGGAACCCAAGCTAATGAGTTTTCATTGAAGATTTCTATCATTTGCATCTATCATTAGATGCAAGACATATCAGTGGTAAAAAAGAACAGCAAGGAAGAACTTTGTTGTTTGTTCAAATATATAATTCTTACCATTTCTTCACAGCTTCTAGCCACAGGAGGGGAAGAGTCTAAAAATATGTGCCGGTACCAATTTCTGTTTTTGATGTGGGTAATTAACAGCTGAAAACAAAGATGTTAATTGCCGCTCTTATCAATGGGTGGTCTTTTATGTAGGTTGTTTAGATGTGAAAAACAATGATGTCACAGAAGTTCTGTTCTTTGCTTGGCCAAGCCACCCTGATAGTTCTGGTTCCAAGGGAGTTCTGGATAGCTGTGGGCAGCAGAAACTGCACAGTGGGCCAGGATTCTACCCAGCTCCTTCCAATTGCTCCACATGGTGGGGTGCACTCCTTTCCCCAGGACTCACTGTGGCCACAAAATGGCTTTTAAGATTCACTAACACAGATTTCTAAATGCCCAGCTCTGTGCCAGTGTGACATGGATGGACCTGTGAAGGAGAGAGAGCAGGAAACTGGTATGGCTCGGAGACCCAAGACCTTGAACAAATTACCCCTTCTCTTAGTCTTTAGCATCATACTCTTAGAGTGGGTGAAATGGTCCAGATTTTCTCTACTCCTTCAATTTAGTGATTCCTCAGAGATCTTCTTTTTAGAGGTGTTTTCTGAGTTACTAAAAGATAACAAAGATAAAGCAGACCTCATCCCATTCTTCATTAATTCCAGTGTAGTTGAATATACAATTCTACTAATCTCTTGAGAAGTGTACTAATTAATCCGTACCAGTTTCTGCCTTTAAAAAGTTAGGGTGAAAAAAAAAAAAGGGTGAGATCTAATTAGAGAAGTCATTGTAAAGATACAAATCACATATAAATATACGTAAATAATAAACAGAGTAGTACCTGACGTTATTAAGCCCCAAGTGAGTTGTTAAGGATATTATTATTTCTTTAGCGATTGTGGAGGTTTGTGAAGACCCAAGCTCAGATTCCCTTGTGTTTCTATCCTTCCCTGTCCACCCAGTGAGTGAACACATCAGGATTTGTCAGGCCAGGTACCCTATAGCCATGTTTGTGTGTGTCAGTAGCTGTCTTCCCTAAAGAGTCTGTGTATACCTTGGATTCGTGGCTCTGAGTCCTAACTGGCCCAGCATGTTAGCCTGTACAAAGGAATTGGCTTGTTTGAGCTGGTAGATGCCAGGAGCTCTCTGCAGGATAGCCACTGGAATAGCTTCTTACTAGCTTTAGTTTTAACATACACTCATTAGAGTTACTGAGAAAGCAAGACAAAAAGCAGTATCCTTTTCGATCATCTAAACCCAAGGCCTTTACAGCTCAGGGCAGGGATAGGCAGGTGCTATGGCAGAGAATGAGCCTGACCTGGTCCTTATTTCCCTGCCTATGCCCTGAATCTTTCCCGGCCTGTCCTTTCCTTGGTCTATTTTGTCCTCTTCCTTGTTTCTTCTCTTTTCCTTTAAGGCACACTTTCGTTCCCTATCCTGAAAACAAGGGCCCTTCCTGACTCTAATGCTTTCATTTGCAAGATGGAGGCATACTGTGATGCAGAGTTATGTTTGGAGCCAGGAGATCTACCTTCACTTCCTCTTCACGCTGCTTCCTGGCTTATGTGACCTTGGGCAAATCATGTATTTTTGAAGCTCCACTTGCTCTTGTATAAAATGGACTTCATAGGATGGACCTGTTCTTTAGGATATTGTGAGGACTCACTGTTTCCAGAAGAGCTTTTGCACAAGATAGGTGCCAAGTGAGAACTTACCCAGCTTCTGTGACACCGGCATCCTGTACTTTCCCTGCCTCAGTCTTCTTTGCTATCTATGATCCCTGACTGTGATGCTCTCTGAGCTCTGACTGTCTTCTCTCCTGCTTAGGACCTTGTCTATTCCAGCCCAGTGGATGTAGCCCACAAGATATTGGTCATCCTGAAGACCTTCTTGAGGAAGAATGAGGATATCCAAGTGAGTGGTCTCATCCGAGGCCACTTCCTGCTCATCCTGCAGCAGCTGCTGGTAGAGCATGGGACCTCCCCATCAGGAGGTTAGTCTGCAGGTACCGTGGGCCTGTTTTGACCTGAAGCCCAGTCAAGAATAGGCAGGTCTGTCTGAGTAAGGTATAGTCTCAAAAAAGAATCAGGATTTTTTTTTTTTTTTGTCTTTTTCGTTTTTATTTGTACCAGGGATCGAACTCACGACTGCCTGCTTGCAAAAAGGCAGGCGCTTATGCCGCTGAGCTAAATCCCCAGCCCCAAGAATCAGGATTTTTGCTGAAAAAGTGAACTCAGGCCAGCATGGCACAGCATGGTTAGTTGTGTTGGCGTGTTTAAGACGAGTGGGAGTATTTGATGTATGTGTGCATGTCCCCACCCTGCACAGCATGCGCTTAGAGCTCTTTGTCACAAGAATGGCAGCCCCCAGTGGGAAGAAGCAAGTGTAAAATCTGAAGGAGGCTGGAGAGCCAGCAGGGCCCTGGGAGGAGGGTGGATCTGTGATATACTAGGCGCTCCCAGTGAGCACCAAGAGGACGATTTCCAAATCTGGAGTGGGACCCCTGGAGTCAAGGAAGCTTACTGTTTGGAACAGTATGAAGAGAATGAGAATTGGGATTGGGGTTTTTTTCTCTATTTTTAGAGAGGCTGAAACATTTAAACTAAGTTTCTGATTCATTAAGAGAAAATGGGAGGCCATTTGTGGTTCATTTGGTCCAGTACTGACTAGGCCCTGAGATTTTTAGGTAGATTAAAGGGCACCTGAAGGCACTGAGTCCTATCCTTTGCAGGGAGGAGCAAGATATTTCTCATTGGCAATCCTGTCTACAAACCCTAAGATTCAGCAGAAGCATAGAGGAAAGGCCGTGCGCTTTGGGTTCAGTCTGGATTAAGTCTTGGCCCTGTATCTTGATCTATTCCAAGTGTTACAAGTGGTTTATAAATAACAGAAATTTATTTTTCAGAGTTCTTGAGGTTAGTTAATCTGACATTAAGGTGCTGACAGTTCTATGTCTGTTAAAGGTTCACTGCCTGGTTCATAGATGCCTTTTTACTGTGTCTTTATATGGCAGAAAGGATGAAGGAAGGAGCTCTTGAGGGCTCCTACTTATAATGTCACTAACCCCATCTCATCTGTTAAGGTACTCATCTGTTAAGATTTCAACATGAAGTTTGGGGGGTCATAAACACTCAAGCTATGGCACCCTTTCTTTTACTAGTTCTGGGACTTTGGAGAGAAGTTACTCAGTTACTATGAATCTTGATTTCTTTTTCCAAATGTTTGTCCAGTTTATTTCACTTCACAGTACAGTCTCAAGGTGCATCCATTTACCTAGGAATGTCTCAAGTTTATTCTTCATTATGGCTGAATAGTATTCCATCACATAATAAAACCACATCTTTTTTATCTAGTCATTAGATTGATGAGCATTTGGGTTGTTTCCAAGATTTAGTTACTATAAACTATGCTGCTATAAACATGAGTGCACATATATCACTGTCATATGATGCTTTTAAATCTTTTGGTAAGATACCAAGAAGGGGAATAGCTGGGTCAAATGGAACCTCTAGTCCTGGTTTTTTGAAGAATCTTTGCACTGATTTCCACAGTGGTTACACCAGTGTACACTCCCACCAACAGTGGAGAAGGGTTCCTTTTTCCCTAGGGCCCCACCACATTTGTTGGTTGATTCTTAATGATAGCCATTCTTTCTAGAGTGAGATGGAATTTCAGCATTGTTTTAATTTGCATTTCTGAAATGACCAGTGGTGTTGAACATTTTCATGTATTTATTTGCTGTTTGTATGTCTTTATCTGAGAAGGGTGTATCTCACATGTCCATTTTTGGACTGGGTCTTTAAATTTGGGAGTCTTGAGCTGGAGATTTAGCTCAGTGGCACAAGAGGCTGCCTGGCAAGTGCAAGGTTGTGAGTTTGATCCCCGCTATAAAAAACAAATAAATTTAGGGGTCTGGTTTTTTCTGAGAAACAGCTGGCACAATTCTTTCCCACTCTGCAGATTGTCTTTTTACTCTGTTGATGATTTTTTTTTTGCTATCTAAAAGCTTTTTAATAACATGAAATCCCAGTTGTTGATTCTTTGTGATAGTTCTAAAACCTCAATTTTGTAACTGAAAATTAGGAATAACAACCTCTGCTTCATGTGGTTTTTAATGGAATTAAGTGAGATAATGAATTCCTGGTACCAACTCAGTCATCACTCAATGTATCACCCACTATTTCCCCCGGTGAAGAAGGAAGAAAGCAGGGTTAGGGGGAAATTCCAGGCATCCACCTGATCCTTTTGTTGATACAGAGCTCCAGTGCTCCCTTATTTATGACGGGGAGAGGTGTCAGACCTTCCGGTAACCAGAGCTCAGGCTCCCTGACCAGCCCTCCCTGTTCTTCACAGCCTCAGGGAACCTGGCACTGCTTCTGAGCCTCCTCTCCTTGGTGCAGCTGAGGAACAAGTCAGAGGACGAACTGGACAGCATGGCCATGAAGCTCCTTCACCAAGGTGCCTTGGCTGTTTGGGATGGTGCCTGAGGGCCCAGGGCTGCCTGTGCAGTGGACCCACTCAGTGTGCTGGTATTTATATCGTCTTCCATTTTTTTATCCTTTGGAAGAAGCTAGTATGCCTGTCCCTGGGAGCTTCTTACTGAGATAGCCTTATGACTTTTCTTCTTGTTCTCAAGGAGTATTTGGGAGAGCTTCCCCTCATTAAAGAATCAGTATGTGACAGGCACAAACTCTAGGGTTGTGAAGAGCCTGGGTCTTACCTTAGTCACTAATTGTGTGATGTTGGGCAGTTACCTTGCCCCTCCTAGGTAAGTGGTGTTACTTCTCTGCTAACAGGGATAAGGTAGAAATAACTGATCTCGGAGGTATAAAATGCCACACAATGCTTGGCACACCGCAGACCTTCATTGTGTTGATTCATGTTTCATGGCTCAGGTCAATGCCCTACCTCATCCCACGGCTAATGACCAGCTCATAACTGATGGTCCGGCTTGTAGTTTTCTAGGCTTTTTTCCTACCCACAGCCCAGATCTCAATGGGACCTGTCATTGATCATGAATGTAATCACTACTTCATCCACAGCTCCCACAGGGAAAATTGTTGAGGAAAGTTTAAAATAAGTAGGAAAAATGATATTTCTTCAGTGTCTGTAGACTCAGGTCCTCTGGCCACTGATAAAGATGGGGTACCTTTCCTGCTCAGGGCCTAGTCTTTATCAAGAGATTAGTGTCAAGCTCAGAAAGGACCTCTGGCTGTAGCTACAGCCCCTGCCTCTGTCTGGTGCTGTTCTTTACTGCCTGTCTGTCAGACCAAAGCTGGCATCAAATTAATCTAAAATTAGATTAGTGACAAAATCAGCCTTCAAAAGGACCTCTGAGGGGGAGTAACAGGTTGAAATCTACACGTGAAATGGAATAGACATGTGCATGTACTCCTTGAGTGCTTCTACTTGAGAGCACTGGGAAAAGAGGTCTGCAGTTCACTATGGTTCATGCTCAGGAGTGAAGGGGCCAGGGTGAGAGGACCTGCTTCTCAAGTTGACCACAGCTAGTGAGAAGCCAGAATGTGATGTGGCTGCCAAAAGCTGAGCAGAAATTTAAGTAGGTTTCACAGTGAGATGGGATTAGGGAGATGGGGAGTGGTAATTCCCAGGAGGGAAATGTTCTACAGATGACTGCTCTTTAGGGTAGTAATTGCTCTGTTGAGGGCTGGGGAGTGCATAAGAGGCATCTCATTTTGCCTTCAGGGTGATGAGAGGCTTCCTGGGGGAGTGGACTTGGAGCTAAATCTTGATTGCTGACTAGGAGTCAGAGTTAGCCAGAGGGAGGTGATTCTGTGAGAGAGGGTATGGTAAGTACAGGGAGCTGCACATGATTATCATGCAGTTCCCCTGGGAAAGCAGTGACTGTTGCATTGCTAGGAGAACTGGGAAGTGAGGCTAGATGGTCTTAGGGAGCAAGGACTCCTACTATGGTGACAGACTGGCTCTGATGCTCTCTGTAGACCCTTGTATCCTAGAGTTTGATGGCATACACACATGTAGAAGATGTCCTTGGTCAGCCCAGCCCATAAAATATGAGCTGGCTAAGGTGTAGCTGTGGGCCCCTTACCAATGTTTGTGCAGATGAAAGATGTAATGGCTTGTGTTTAGATATCCCATGAAAGCCTCATGAGGTTATAGGTGAGACTTTTTGAGGGGTGGCTGGATATAGAGTGTGTGGTTGATTCATGCTGAAATGTAGCATTAAGGGTGTGAGTGCTGTCTGCCCCAAGGATGGGTAGCCTGCATGCAACATAAGGGACAGAATGAAGCTTGCTATGAGATACTTGTAGTTTGTCCCTTACTTGCTTTGCTGCCTTCTGCCCACTATGAATGATTTCTCTTTTGTGATGCCTATCTGCCATGCCACTCTGCCTTAGAGCCAGCCAATTATGGACTGAAATCTCAACAAACTGTGAGCTCAGTAAACCTTTCCCCCTTTAACTTTGGGTGTTGGGTATTTTAATCTCAGCAGCAAGAGAAAAGTAACTAAGACAGACGATATGAACATGCCTTCAGGTTTCACTGTTTTTCCCCATTGTCTGTAATGTCAGGGGTGCTTAATGTCTGCTTTCTCCCCGAGACAGAAATCTGAAATTAGCCAGTTGTGTGCTGTCATCTGTAAGGAGTGTGACTGCATTAAGACCATGTGGTGCTGTGCAGTATGCCATCTGGGGACTCTCATCTTTTGCAGTAAGCAAGCTGTGTGGAAATTGCAGCCCTGCGGATGTGGACATCCTGCAGCCCTCCTTCAACTTCTTGTACTGGAGCCTTCATCAGACTACACCCAACAGTCAGAAAAGAGGTACATGGCTGAGGCCAGGACAGTGAGGAGAAAGTATCTATGGGCCTCACTGCCCTCGATTTTTTCATCTTAACATGTAACTTGGGGAGTGTGTGTGACTGGTGGTCATTACCCTCTCTCCTGCAGTGATTCTGGGAGCTTCAGGTCACAAGCTGATCCTTCTGTTTGTTTTTATATATGCAAAGCTCCACAGGATACTGAGAACCATGGAGGCACTAAGTCAGAGCACCTGTGTAACTGTGGCTTCTGCCCTGTCCCTTCCTGGCAGCGGCTGCAGTGATCCTGAGCAGCACAACCCTGATAGAGCTTCTGGAGAAGATGCTGGTGCTCACCTGGGCAGACACAGACTCTCCTGCCTGGACAGAGGGAGGTTCTCCCAGGAGTGCACTGCTGTGCTCTGCCTGGCTGCTCACTGCCTCCCTGTCTGCCCAGCAGCATGAAGGTGGCTTGCAGGTTAGTCGCTAGCTCCATGACTTTGAGGCATGGGGTGAAACTCAAAAGAAGTTATGAAAATCCTTAGTTCTGGCCTAGTCCTGGCCTCATCCTGTGGATGACCTTAGCAAGCTACTTAACTATCTCAAATTTCAGTCTTCTTATCTACAATGTGGGAAAAACATCACAGGGTGTTGTTAGGTTGGTTTGAATTAATCTGTTTAACACATGTGGATCACCTGTGTGCCAGACTATTTGTATCACAATGGAATGAAAAATGAATACAGCATCTGTCCAACTTATCAGGGAACTTTAAGCAAAGCCATAAAGTAACTAAGCTTGTACTCAGCAAAGTTAGTGGGCTAAGATTCTAAGTAGTGAGCACAGTACGAGCAAAGGCATAAATCTATTCAAATTAAGGACATGAACCAGACATGGTGGCAGACATGATGCCACATGTCTGTAACCCCAGCATATAGAGTCAGAGGCAGGAGGATTTTAGCAAGTTCAAGGCCAGCCTGGGCTACACAGTGAGAACTAATCTCAAAAGAAAAAAAAAATCAAGGCACGATGTGCTTAGAGAGTGGAGGTGAAGGACCAGGTCAGATTGGACAGGAAGGCAAGAGCAGCCCATGACCTTGAAGTGCTGGGTGGCAAGTTATGAAAAGCCACACATCGTTAGCTGTCATTTTTGTTGTTTGAGAGGTTGATGCAGGGAACAGAAGAGCAGTGAATGTGTCCACAGAGTACCTCCTGGCCTCCCAGTCCCTCCCCCTACAGGACCTGATCATCCCAGTGTGCCATGTGAGCTCTTCTGTGGGCTGTTTCCCAGCCAGGCATCTCTTCAAGGCCCACAGCTCCTCACAGACAGAAACATCTCCTAGCCTCCCTGGTATTCTCACACTGTGCCCCCAAGTCTGCCAAAGGAGTGTGGGGAAGGTAAAGGCCTTGGGTTCACAAGGTTGGAAAGGATATTTTCTCTCCAAACTCCTGAGCGGCCTTTTTGGTGGTCTCTGTGTCTGACCCTCTGCACCCTACCTCCTGTTATCTCCACTGTCCTTCCCTGCCCTTTGGTCAAGTGTTTACTCTTCTCCCTCCTGGTTGTGCTGTTTCACATCTCCATACTTTTTGTTGTTGTTGTTTGTTTTATTCATTTTTTATTTTGAATAGATTTCATTTTTAGAACATTTGTAAATTTATAGAAAAATTGAGAAAGTAATTTAGAGTTCCCATACAGTCTCCCACACTCTTTCCTCTATTGCTAACATTTTACGTAAGTGTGATATTGCCATACCTTTTATAGGTTGGTTCTTCTGCTTAGAACCTGCAACCAACAGGAATTTTTAAGGAACTTCTTTGTGCTAGACTATGACAGAAACCAGAGTCTATAGAGTAAAAAAGAGCAGAGCAAACAACGCTTTCTCTACACTACCCCTACTATAGCCACTCAGCTTGGATTTTTTTTTTTTTTTTTTTGTCTTTTTCCTTTTTATCGGTACCAGGGATCGAACTCACGACTGCCTGCTTGCAACGCAGGCGCTTATGCCGCTGAGCTAAATCCCCGGCCCCTCACCTTGGATTTTGCTTGACATTAGATGCATGTTCATTGACACTTCCTCAGAGGAGCTGTGGCAGGAGTAGAAGTAGGTGCGGTTGTCTTCATCTGATAGTGAAGAAAGTAAGGCAGGATTAGAGAGGTGCAGAGACATGCCTGGGGGCACACAGCTGGCAAGTGGCAGAGCCAGGATTTTGATTTGGCCTGCCTGATGTCAGGTCTTCTGAGTTAGGTGGATGGTGGGTAGAACCAAAGACTGAACCACAGATGAGGCTGGGGGAAGCTTCCTGGTGAAGAGGCAGTTGAGGATGGGAGAAGTTTCGGCAGAAGAGTTAGTTCTTCAGGTACACTTCTGCTTTTTTTTTTTTTCTTTTTTATCTTTTTCATTTTTATCAGTACCAGGGATCGAACTCACGACTGCACACTTGCAAGGAAGGTGCTTATGCCACTGAGCTAAATCCCCAGCCCCCAGGTACACTTCTGAAGCCTGGACTTGCCTACTCTGTTCCCCCTTGGTGCAGAGTGTAACTTGGGGGCAGTGGGCAGAAGAAATATGGGACACGCTGTTTCCTGCTCAAGGTCCCAGAAAATGGAGCTTAGCCCCATACCCCTACCATGCCAGGTTCACCAGACTCTGTCCGTGGAACTGGACCAAGTAGTGAAGACACTCAGCTTTCCGAAGAAAAGGGCTGCACTGCTATCAGGTGTGGGCCCTGGAGTTTTCAGCAAGTGAAGCAAAGCTTCTCCCCTAAATTCTGAGATAAAACCACCCACCCAGATTAGCCTCTGGTCACCCCATAATTATCTCATCAGCATTGTCTCCTCTTCTGTGGAACATGGGTGGGAGGTGGGGAAGGAGGCAGGAACTGGGTGTGAAGAGTCTCCTGTTTCAGCTGCGGTCTTATGCTTCCTGCGGACAGCCCTGCAACAGAGCTTCTCGTCTGCCCTGGTGGCCCTGGTGCCCTCCACTGGGACCTGCTCCACTGTCCTAGCTCCACTGGAAACATCACAAGTGCTGTACCTCGTCGTCGGGCTACAGAACCTCTTGGTGCAGGTAAGACCCTTGCCAAGTGGATTCTGGACAGTGGGAACTGCTTCTCCAGGACAGCAATGGAAGGGCTGGCTGTCAAGAGCCTGTTATTCCCATCAGGCCCAGGGGGTGATTGGTAGACTTTTTTTTTTTTTTTTTTTTTTTTTGTCTTTTTTCCTTTTTTATCGGTACCAGGGATCGAACCCACGACTGCCTGCTTGCAAGGCAGGCGCTTATGCCGCTGAGCTAAATCCCCAGCCCCCGATTGGTAGACTTTTAAAGACACGTTGAAGGCCGAGTGTGGTGATGCATACCTATAATCCCAGTAGTTGGAAGCCTGAGGAAGGAAGATTGCTGTGAGTTTGAGGCCAGTATGGGTTGCATAGTGAGTTCAAGGCCAGCCTGAACTGCATAGTGAAGCCCTGTCTTAAAAAAAAATAGGCCAGGGCCAGGAATTTAGCTCAGTGGTATAAGTGTCTGCCTGGCAAGCAAGAGGTTGTGAGTTTGATCCCTAGTACCACATTAAAAAAAAATCAGAAAAAAAAAGCCTGACAGAAACAACTCAAACTGGCTCCTAGGAAGTCTAGGAGTCACTACTGGTTACAGCCTAGGTTAAGTACTAGAGGCTCAGACAGTGCCCTTAGAACTCTATTTCTATGTTGTGGCTCTGATTCTTCCCTGTCAGGTTTGTCCTCATGGGCTGGTAGGATGACCAACAACAGCTCCAGGCTTATACATCCTCCCAGTAGAAACAAAATTCACTTTTCCACTAAGTTTCTGGAGTTGAGGCTTCCCTGGCACTATGGCAGGGACTGGGATCCTCTGACGGACTTGGGCTTGGGTTAGCACCTTCTCCTGGAGGCTGGGGAGTATGGGTCAGCTCTCCACAACTTGCATGGACTGAACCTGAGAAGGCAGGGCTTCTCCAAAGGGAGATTACTACCAGAAGAAAAAGGAATGGGCCTTTGGGAAGCAAAACAGAGGTTAAGCTCAGGCAGATTAATGTTTTATAGTCCAGAGGATGCTTGGAGATCATTGTCTGCCCAGCCATCACATAACTGAGGTGCTCACCATGGTGTCAGGGCCTGTGAGGAGTGCTGGAGGCCCCAGGTGGGCCTTGTGATAGGCTGGTGGTGGCTGAATCTGTACCCTACCCATGCACAGGGCTTTGGTTGTTCAGGGATCACACATTTATCATGTCATACTACTCTGGCCTTTCTGATTTATGTTTCTAACTGCGTAAGTGAATCTCCTCCACCAGGCTATGAGATCTTCAGGGAAGGGACTGGGTAGTGCAGTTTACTTTTGTGTCTTCTGCCTCTTTTGGGCTCAGAATCAGGTGGAAATTTAGAAATCGGATAGGAACCAAAACATTAGCTTTATTTCTGGTCAGAGCCATAGTACAATGTAACTGGGGGTTAGGGTCAGAAAGGTGTGTGTGTGTGTGTGTGTGTGTGTGTGTGTGTGTGTGTGTTTTCCAAAGGATGGCAAAGGTAACAGTTTTGGTCTCAAGGATCATTCTACATGAGCAGATGCTGCTGTCAGGTAAAGGGTGCTATGAGAGTGGGAGGTTGAGGCGGGAGAGAGCATCATGTCCTGAGTGTTTACTGGTTCAAAGGGTTTGACACACTGAATGTTGTTTATTCACCCTAAGTTCACTATAAGGTAGAAACTTACATTTCACCTTTTTTTTCTTGCAATATTGGAAATTGAATCCAGGACCTTTGTATTGTGCTACATCTCCAGCCCTTTTTAAATGTTTTGAGACTTGGTTTTGCTTTCTAGATTGCTGGGATGATAAGTGTGAGCCAAACGGCTGTTGAGTAATGAATTTGTTGTACCATTAGGTCATGGGTCAAACCTAGACCTTTTTTTTTTTGTATGGGGATCCAACTGAGGACCTTAGGCTTACCAGGCAAGTGCTTGAGCCACTGACCTAAATCCCTGACCGAAACCCAAATCTTTTGTACCATAAAATTCAAGTTCTTTCAGTGTCTCCAAAAGTACGTTTAGTGAACTGGAGCCACTGTTACCAGAGCAATAGTCCTTGGTTTTCCTAATACTCTATCCAGGACTCTGGCTCCTCACCCACTGTCCACAGGGCCCTGGATGGTTGTATAGACACACAGGAAGAGAACAGCAGCTCCTTACAGATGGGAAAGCTGTGAAATATCCTGGCCCATGACTCTGTGGTCTTGAGTGTGTGAGAAAGGCTAAAAGTATCCACTGTTTAAGAGTTCATTTTGGGTGGGTGTGGTGGCACACACCTGTAATCCCAGTACTCAGAAAGCTGAGGCAGGGGGATTGCTTTGAGTTTGAGTCCAGCCTAGGCTAAAAGTGAGTTGAAGGCTAGCCTGAACTATATAGTGAAACCCTGTCTCAGAAGACACACGCCTGTGTGTGTGCGCACACACACAGTTCATTTTTAGACTCAAAAAAAAAAAAGAGTGTCAGACCAGGAATTAGGAGACCTTGGTTTTGACTCTAGAACTGCCACCCATGTGTCTTCAGGTCCAGTACTTTCTCTCTGGGCCTCAGGTTGTAAAATGAGGTGGGTGGTCAGCCATTTCACACAAGGTGCCTTGGAGGCCTTTGGAATTCTCTGGAAGACATTCAGAGGGTGTTTAAAAAGTGAGAGTGTTTTTCCTTTTATGTGTATCACAGAGACATTCATCTCTGGGGATTTAGCTCAGTGGCATAAGTGTCTGCCTGGCAAGCATGAGGCTGTGAGTTCAATACCCAGTACCAAAAAAAAAAAGAAAAGAAAAGAAAAGAAAACAACAGCTACCAAAAACCCTCAGGAGGCTGTTGTTCTGTAGAAAGACATTCATCATTATTGTGCCAAACACCTAGTAAGCACTGTATCCATTTTCTTATGTAACCCTCTCAGCAACTGAGGTCTTTTTTATCCCACTCAGCAGTTAGGTAAAGTTGTCCAGAGTCACACATATGGTCAGAAACTAAGCAAGGATTTGGGAAATCTCAAGTCTACTTACTGCTGCTTATCTTCTAGGCTATATTTCTTCCCAAAGAGGAACATGAAGAGAGCATAGAATTTTTGTTAGTTTATTTTTACCTTTCTAAGAGTTAGTGTTCTTTCCTTCATTCATTTATTTGAAACAGGGTCCACTTTGTAGTTCAGACTGGCCTTGAACACAAGGCAGTCCTCATGCCTCAGTTCCTGAGTGTTGAGATTACAGGTGTACACCGCCACTCTCAGCAAAAGTTAGCTTTATTGGACTGTAACGTACATGTGATAAAATTCATCAACTTTAACTGTACTGTAGGATGAGTTTTGGCAAATAGTTTTATAAACACCATCACAACCATAAAATAGAATGTTTCCATCAGCCCAGAAATTTCTCTTACTCTCTTTTGTTATTAACTCCTTCACCCCATTCCTGATCCTTGACAAACACACCCATCTGCTTTCTATTATTATACTGTCACCTCTTCTGGAATCTCATATAAACTGAATCATATAATAAGGGATCTTGTGTATGTAGCTTCTTTCATGGTCTTAATGCTTTTAAGAGCCAATCATATTGTGTGTTTCAGTAATTGTTTTTTATTTTTGCAGTGGTGAGGATTAACTCACAGCATTTACACTGAGGCCCCCCCCTCCTTTGAGATAAGGTCTAGGCTGTGCTCAAAATTGTGCTCTTCCTGCCTTCTAAAGTGTTGGGGTTATAGGTGTACACCATCATGTCTGGCTTGTGTCTTCTTGTGGTGAAATGGTAGTCCTTTATATACTGTACTGGTTTGTTTCTCCATTCACCTGCTGATAGGTATTTGAGGTTTCCAGATTTGAGGCTATTTTGAGTAAAGTTGCTCTTAATGCTGAAGTGCAAATCATTATGCAGATATTTATTTTGGTTTCTCTTGGGTAATAGCCTAAAGTGGAATTTCTGGGTCAGATGATGTGTTAGTTCTATTGCTGTGTAGCTAGTTACCAGATGTAGTACGAAGTGGCCTAAACAACATCCATTTACTAGTCACAGTTCTGTAAGTCAGAAGTTTAGGTAGGCTCAGCCAGGTTCTCCATTTAGGATTTTGCAAGACTGAAATCAAAGTGTTAGTGAGGCTTGCTGCTTTTGGGGGGAAAGTGAATTATTCCCAGTGGCCTCTTCTAGCTGTTTAAGCTCACTCAAGCCAGGCATAGTGTGCTTTCCTATAATCCCAGCACTTGGGAGGCAGGAGACAGGAGGAGCACAGTGATTCTGAGGCCAGCTTGGGCTCTATGTGAGTTAAAGGTCAGTCTAAACTATGTAATGAAACCCTGTCTCAAACAAAAAGTCACTCAGTTTCTCCCATGGCCCCTCCTTCTCTAAACCAGAACTGGCACCTGGAGTGTTTCTCACCCTTTAAATCTCTGTAGTCCTTCTGTTGTCAGTTAATCAAAGAGAAGTGCTTCTAAAGGGCTTGTGTGATTAGTTGGGGCCCATCCCATTTGCCCATTTCCAAATAGCATAATATAATCACAGAGCAACATCTGGGAGCAAAGGTCATGGGTGTTCTTAACATTCTGCCTGCCATTTATGGGTTGTGTATTTTTAACTTTGTAGGAAACCATCCAATTATCCAACTTCTTTTTTATTTTTGAGGCAGGGTCTCACTTTATAGTTCGCGCTAGTTTTGAAGTCATTTTGTAGCTCAGGCAGACATCCAATTCATAGTGATGTTCCTGCCACAGCCTCTCCAGTGCCTAGATTACAAGTGTGCACTACCATGCCTCATATATAACCATCTGATTTTTACCATCCTCCTAGCAATATATAAGAGTTCCAGTTTGTCCACATCTCACCAACAGTTGATATTTTCAGTGTTATTTTTTTTCCTCACCTTGTCTTTTTGAAACAGGGTTTCACTATGTAGATCCTGCTGGCTTTGAACTCATTTGTAGCCTATGCTGGCTTCAGACTCCCAGAAATCCTCCTGCTTCAGACTCTTGAATGCTAGGATCATAGGCATGTGCCACCATACTAGGATTTTCACCATTTTTTAAAAATTGGTTATGTAGATGAATGAGTTTCATTTTGGCAGATTCCTTCATGCATGGAACATACTTTGATCATTTTTTCCCCCTCCATGTCTTTTTGTTATCATTACTGGGTATATAGTGGTATCCCATATTAGTTTTGTTTGCATTTCTCTGATGACTGATATTATATAACTAGATTTTTTTATGTGCTTATTAAAGCATAAAATTTTGATGAAAGGTTCTGCTGTTTTAAAAAGTAATTGAGGGGGCTGGGGATTTAGCTCAGTGGCATAAGTGCCTTCCTTGCAAGTGTACGGTCGTGAGTTCTATCCCTGGTACCGATAAAAACGAAAAAAAAAAAAAAAAAAAGCGAATCATTCCTTTTGGGTCTGGGGGTTTAGCTCAGCGGCATAAGTACCTGCCTTGAAAACAGGCAGTCGTGAGTTCGATCCCCAGTACCAATAAAAAGGAAAAAGACAAAAAAAAAAAAAAAAAAAAGTAATTGAGACCTACTTGTTTAAATAATCTGTAAAGTGTTTCAGTGTCTGTGTGTCTGTAATCTGTTAATCTTGGTGGGGTTCAGGGGCCATCTCCTTTTTGAAACAAAATAATCTCTTGAAATGGATTCTTTAGGATGAAGACTGCACTGTATGTGGTAAGATGAAAGCAACAAATATCTGTTAATTATCTGTGAGGCCACATCCCAAATCTGAAATTCTGAAACCCAAATAAAAACAAAATGTGTGTTTTCTTGGTTAATCTGGACAGTAATTTCTAATTTTGGTTTTGATTTTGTGTTTATCTTGCAGAAGGACTCTCTATTGTCCCAGGCCTGCGTTGGCTGCCTGGAGGCCTTGCTTGACTTTCTGCATGCTCGGAGCCCAGACATCGGTAGAAATCTGCCCCTTCCTCTGATGTTCCCCTGGGGGAGAATGGAGGGAGCCAGCCCCTGCCACTCTCTGTACCAGATTTTCATGTCCTTTTGTGTGGTTCAGACTCATCTTATTTAATTCTTCTCGATACACTGAGATGAGGGAATTGAAAAGAGGTCAAGTGACCTACTCAACCACGGTCACAATTCTCTTATATGGCAGAACCCTTCCCGTTGCTTCCCTCCCACCATCCTGGGTATACTGTTTCACTGAGCTGTCAGCATAGAAGCCCAGGAAAGGAAGAAACTTTCTAGGGTCAGCCTGGCCAATGCCCTACCTGCAGCTGAGCAGTGTCTTCTTGTAGAAGATCCTCTTCAGCCATGTTCCCCTGTCTTTGTGTAGCTCTAATCTTTCTCATAGGATTGTTTTTTGTTTTTTTTTTTTTTTGGTACCAGGGATCGAACTCATGACCTAGTGCTTGCCAGACAGGCACTTAGGCCGCTGAGTCAAATAACTCACACACACACACACACACACACACACACACACACACACACACACCTGTCTTTGGGAAGCAGCCTTAACTACCTGGGGACTGGTGTTTCCTATAGCACTCCATGTGACCTCCCAGCCATGGCATCGATTTTTGCTATCTACTCTTTTGGATGCTGGAGATAATGCCTTCCTCAGACCTGAGATACTGAGGCTCATGACCCTGGTAAGTGTAAAAAGGATGGCCTGAAGAGTATGAGCTGTATGGTCCTTTATAGGCTGGGGACACCATGCTCTGGCCCTCATCCTCCAAGGAGGTAGAGATGGATAGGCCTTCGTCTTACAAGACACCTGCTTGGAGAATTCCTGTGAACACACTCTCTCCTCACCCCTGCAGACCTCCACACCTTTTATTTCATGAAATGTTGACCAGGCCCTGCCACCACATGTCTGGTCTGCCAGGCACAGAGATAGTGATGAGCCATGCTCTCTCTGCCTTTAGGGTCCTGCAGTTTAGAGGAGATAGACAAGGAAATGAACAGTTAACTAGGATGTTTCGAGTGGTAGAGTGCAGGAGATGCGCAGTCTGGCACATAGTTGGTGCCCATTGAATATCAAAGCAGAAGTCTGTGAGAGTGTTGTGGGTCTACAAATAAATCTGTGGTTGATATGGGGACACAGAGAAAAAAATGACCGTTTCTATGCAGTGAAAGTAATGTTTTAGCTGAGGCCCGAAGGATTAGTAGGCAGAGAGAAGGAACCTATCCCCGGTAGTAAAGTGAGGAGAGCAGAACAGGAGCTCATGGTGGTTAGTTACAGAAGCTGCTCAGTTCATGTGGCCATGAGAGTGTAGCACAAAGCTGGGGGAGGAGGGAGCCAAGGCCGGAGGCCACCTTGGCAGCCCTCTCAGGGTCTCAGTCTGCCTTGTTTGCTCCTTTTCCTGGGAATACAACCATGTTCCCGCACCCTGCCCACCAGCGCAGAGCTTAAAAGCAGGGTTCTATGGGCTTTAGAACAGTATTTCCAGCTGAGTGCTGAGCACAGAGGGCACAGGAAATGGAATCTCCTCCAAATCATTGGCATGTGAGGCTTTTCTTCTTGTGCCAGTTTGTGCGATACAGCAGCAGCAGCAGCAGCATTCTCTCCCATGAAGAAGTGGGTCACTTTCTTCAAGACGTGGCTTTGGCTGACCTGTCTGCCCTCTCAGACACTACACTCCAGGCCCTGCGCAGCTTCTTCCTGCAGGTAGAAAGGGGATGCCACATGGCCCCTGCGAGGCTTGACCCTCAAGGTTATCTTGTGGAGCGTGGGAGCTGTCAGAATGGCTGGGAGTGCAGGAGGTGGGAGGTAGTTATTGGGAGCTGCCTTTCCTGCCCATTTCTCACCTCAGGTCCAGAATATGGGCCTCCTGGCTGATCATAGTATGACCCAGACCCTGCAGGCCTCTTTGGAGGGTCTTTCCAGTACCTCCACAGTCCAGCCACCCCTGCAGGACATGCTGTATCCTTTCTTGCACACGGGAGCTTTGGCCTGGGCAAGGTCGACCAGGCCAGGGAATCATGCTTCACTTCTCAGCCCAAGTGGGAAGGGCTGGTGACAGGCAAGTCCTTCTGAAAGCCGGGGGCTGTAGCAGTAGTCAGAGGCCCCTGCGGGTCGCTGGAGTGCTCCAGAGACACTGCTGAGTGTGGGTGGGTGCTTCCCACCCATACCAGCTGCCTCCCTGGCTCTCCTTTCCCTTCCCGGGGAACAATTCCCTGTTCCAGAGCAGCTGCCTCACCAGGTGTTCAGCTCCCAAGTTTAGAAACCATGCCACTATTTTTAGGAGCATCTCTGCCCCTGTCTGACATTCTTGCTTTTCCAGGGGCTCAGAAGTGTGATTCCATCATGGTTGGCTCCTCTTTTCTGCTGTTTTCCTCTCATGTTTCATAACTAGCTGCCTGGGAGGGGTGGCCATATCCCTGTCCCACATCAGAGACAGCCTCAGAACTTGAAGGCCCAGATATCAAGAGAAGGGAGCCCTGGAGACAAAATTAGGGCATAATTGCTGGGAAAAGGATGACAATCACAGCCATTTCTCTGGAGCCATATATTCTATTGTGCAAATGGAATGAGGAACTAAAATGATACAAACAGCTCAGTCTGAATTCTTTTTGTCTCCTTGGAGCTGGGTTTTCAGCCAGTTGGATAGTGGATTGTTTCCTTGGGGACAGGGAGAGCAGGTTTGTTAAGGCAGTGACACTGAAGGAGTGCCTGCTGGCTGCCTCAGTTGTACCCAGAGAAAACAGTCAGGCCATACCCGTGTAAGTTCGGGCTGCTGCAATCCAGGTGCTTTGAGTCACCTCACCTCTTCTGCCACTGGGGAGAGTATAATTCCCAGGGAAGAAAAGTCAAATTCTTCTCAGCCTTACTTAATAAGTGAATCTGCCCCAGTCTCAGCCCTTCACTAAACTAGATCCTTCCCCCTTCTCTCCCCTCTTCGATACTCAGGGTTGAACCCAGGACCTCTGCACTGAGCTATATCCCTAGCCCTCCTTTATTTTTTGAGACAGGGTCTCGCAAAGTCACTAAATTACCCAATCTAGACTTGAACTTGAGATCCTTCCGTCTTTAGTCTCCCAGAGTGCTGGGATTACAATCTGGTGCTACCACGCTTTGACAGTGTGTTTCTGTGTCTGCCTGGGCAGTTCCTATTTAATGTCTGCTTGGCACTGGCGCTCAGGCTGCACTCCACGGCTGTGCTTGCCCCTGTTCCGAGTGCAACCCACTGGGCCTCAGCACCTTTGTTCCTGTGGAGGGCTGCCAGCCCTTTAAGTGGCTACGCCTCCCTTCCTCCCGGGTGTCCTTTCTCTGGATGTCCTGATACCACGCGAAGCTGGGGCTGAAGCTCTTCCTAACCAACGGACCAAAAACTTGGTTTAGAAGGTGGTGAACCGGAAATTCCCGTACTTCGTACGCGGGCTCTGGTAGTTGTTTTTTAAAAAAGAAGAGCTAATCATTACCTAATAAACTCATGTAGCGAACTGCAGTTGAAAAAACATGGTCATGAATGACAACTGGTTCAGGGTGAGCTCGTGGAAGATCGCCAGGCGGGCTGGGGATGGGGCCCTAGTTTGCTGATGCGCACTTTAAAATGGGCATACGTCCCATTTGCCGTTTCACTTCCTCCAGAACCACATCCCTGGGCCACCGCGGGAGCCGCTGCTCCGGATAGGCAGGACGCTTGCTGGGAAAAGAGTTGATCCAGAGAGAACCGGCCGCCAGTTTGGGAGCCCAGAGCAGTGGGGGCGTAGCCGGAAGTGAAGTCATCGGAGCGCAGAGGTCGCGGCCCGTACTCATTGGACGGGAGAGGGGCGGTGGGTGGGGCAGCATTCCGCGGTCTCTACGCGCCGCTAGCCAGGTGCTCTGGAGTTGTGTTCCGTGTGGTGTACTCTAGTGGACCCTCGAGTCAAGGTGTATATCAAGGCAGTACCCGCCCGCCCCTTCCCGCATCGCCCGTTCTGGTACGTGATGGCGGGACCGCCGGGCCGCAGGCTTCTGAGGAGGGAAGTGAAAGGGTAGAGGGCCCCTGGAACTGGTGCAGCGTGTGGGGAGGGAGTTTCGGGATCGAAATCCTCTTTTCTTTTGTGAAGTCTCCTTTCCTCCTCTCGGAGGCCCGAAGGTCCGCGAGCTGGGCCCACAATTGTCACTAGCAGGGCACCTCTGCAGAATGGGTTAAGAGTTTCTTGCAGAACTGGGAAGAGCTCGGGACGCACTGGAAAGGCTCAGGATTGAGTGGCAGAAAAACAACATAATAGTAGAGAAAGACAAGAGTGCACTCCCTGAGTCTCCCCAAGTCTGGTGTTTCGGTTTTTCTTTCCTACTTTTACCCTGCTTCAATCGTTGCCAGCGGCTTGATGCCCTCCTTGTTACTCTCCAAGGTTTGCTGTCTCCAGATTCTGGTTCCCTTGGACCTGGAGCATGACGGTGGAAGGTGGAGAGCTTCTGGGTGAACTTGGATGCCTTCTCTAGGATTTGATTCCATCTGTCAGGGGGTCAAGAGTTCCAGTGATCTCTGCGGGCGTCTCACTAACTGGCAATCCCTCTATCCCTCTGCCAGATCAGGTGTTCTGGTATATCAGTGGTCAATTGTGACATATGCTAATTTGGAAGGGGAGGGGATGTAGCTCACTCATTGGTAGAATGTTTGCCTAGCATTCCCAAGTCTCAGGCTTCAATCCTCATTACCAAGGAAAAAGAGACAGGAGATGGAGCACTGGTCTGAGAGTCAGCTGCCTTCGGTTCAGCCTGGGAATGGCTGTGTGACTTTGGACAGTTACCTCACTGTTATATGCATAATTTCCACATTCATAAAATTGGGTGGCTGTCATCTGATTATAAAGCCTCCCCAACCTCTTACTTAATGTTGCACCTGACAGACTCCCTCTCATCTTTCTGTTTTTCAGTTTGTTGTCTCTTACCTCTACTAGGGAGCTAAGTACCATGAGTGCAGGGATTTTTGCTTGACCTTATTGCTGTAGTCCTGTTGCCTAGAACGTGGTAGGTATGCAATAATTGTGCTTTGGCTGGGTGTTGGCTGTAATCCCAGAACTCTGGAAGACTGAGGCAGGAACATCTCAGTTCCAACCCAGCCAGGGCAACTTAGTGACTTTATGAGATCCTGTCTGAAAATTTTTTTAAAAAGGTGTATTTCAGTGTAAAGGCACTGAGTTCAGTTCCCCAGTACTGAGAAAAAGTTTGTGGGATTTTACCTGAATAGGAACAGGGTGCACATGGTAACTATGGTTCCAAACTGAGTAAGTAGTGGCCATCTTACCTCAAGACTCCCTGCCTCCTTACTCACCCTGTGTCTCTTCTTCCTGAAGACAAACCGGGAGGAGGAAAACCACAGAAGTTTCATATCCCCTCTCACTGCCTTCACCTGACCTTGTGAGGCAAGGGGAGGGGATCGAAAGAGAGTACTATTGACCAGGCCTCACCTGGGTGACAGTGCCTCACCTAGACCACTTCCCTGCAGCAGGCAGGCAAGGAAGCTGAGGCTTGGAGAGGAAGTGTAATTTGCTTAGGGTCATGCATGGCTCTAATGTTGACCCTTAATCCCCACTCCTGTGCTCCCAGCATGCCTGTGTTGCTAGCATTTATCTTCTTTCTTCCATTCAGCCATCTTATATTTCTTTGTTGTGTGCCTGCTGGTCGCAGCCCTGGACCAAGGGCTGGCTCTTCAAGGGCTTTCCAAAAGTGGACTCTTGGCATTTAGAGGCTGTGCCATGTCAAAGGAAGTTACCGTTCACTATACTCTCTATTTTACATAACATCAGCCTCTGGCTCTCAATCCTTTTCTTTGCGTTATCCCTTTAGCTCCAGGATCTTGGATATGAACCTTCTTCAGCTCCTGGCCTTCCTTTTTGTCTTGTTCCTGTCAGGAAGAGGGACCACAGGCACTTCGAGGGACCCAAGCCTAGAGATTTGTATCTTTTGGAATTTGGGGTAGGGTGAATGAACTGTCTTGAGAGGGTCAGTAAATGAGTTCTCTCTATACCTACTTCCCCGTAGGAGAGTCCAAGAATGAGCAGACTTAACTTGCTGAACAAGGCCAAGAAGCCAGACCTAGAGCAAGATGTTCTCTTCTGAGTCTGTTTCTCCATATATTAAGTGGTGAAGGCCAGGCACATCTCTCAGAGCTGCAAAGGCTCAGTGAGGACTGTACATGGGCCTCGCACCTTGTGGGTAAGACGAGGCAAGATTTAGGAGCACTGGATTACTGGCCCGTCTTGATCCCAATGTTCTGGGCCAGGCCTCTGGGACATAAAAGTAAGTCAGGACCAGTGATTTTGCAGCCTCCACGGGACTGGGGGAGAGAATTCAAACAGACGGTCATTGTACTCAGTGATCATTGCTCTCTCATGGATGCAGGAGGCATAGGGCAAACACTGTGCCAGCTCTTGAGAGAATAGAATGTAGAGAAGGGTAGAGGCTGTAGCATGAGCAGAGTGGCACAGTTCTAGAACAGAGAATAATTGTCAGTAATGGCAGGCAGACCAGAGATGAAAGGCAGAAGCCAGGTCTGGAGGGTTGGGTTCAGGTTATTGGATGCAAAGTCCTCAGAAAATTGGGTGGGTGATACACTGGTGAGCCCGTACCCTTCACAGTTTGTTCCCAGCCCATGGCTTCCAAGCCACGGGTATTCGTGGTCCTTGGAGAACCTACTGCTCAAGAACAGGGCTGTTGGATGTCCACACAGAGTTGTTGGTTCCAGCCCCTTAACTCAATGCTGCCCAGACAAGAAGATGTTTGAGGTGAAGCGGCGGGAGCAGCTGTCGGCGCTGAAGAACCTGGCACAGCTGAATGATGTCCACCAACAGTACAAAATCCTTGATGTCATGCTCAAGGGGCTCTTTAAGGTGTGTGGGGGCAGGAGACAACTCACTGCAAGCCCAGTCTTTGATCTAGGCAATAACAGATGAGGAAGCGTCCCTTAAAAGAATGGTCTTCAGTGAGGACAGAGCTACATGCACAGGAGTTGAAGTGGGGTTCAAGTAAACGGGGCTGGAGCCAGGTTGTAAAGGACTCTAAAAAGCCACTGACCTCATTTGGGGTCCTCTTAGGTGCTAGAGGACTCCCGGACAGTGCTCCAGGCTGCTGATGTGCTTCCAGATGGGCCATTCCCCCAGGACGAGAAGCTGAAGGATGGTATGGTCTCCCAAACCCACCTTTTCTCCTTTTCCTCCTCCTTTTCCAACTTGGTCCTTTCTAGCTGCTCTTTCCCTCCTGTTCTTGTCACTCTTTCCATCCCTAGAGCACCTTTTTATGACAGCTGCTAGGTCCTGTAAGGCAGATGACGACAGAGTCTGTTCTCTAAGTGTCTCTGGCCTCCAGAGCCAGTTCCTGTTCTCCTGACAAATATTCCACCGGGCTTAAGGTAGGAAATCAGGGAGGAGCCTCTGCCCACCATTACTCCAGGAGCCAGGACAGAGTCAGTGCGTCACCACTGTGACCCTTAGGGAAGGAAGGCAGAAATTGTTTCCATTTATAAGAGAGAAGAACAAGGCCTGTCAAAGTACTTGAGCCAGGGGGTGTAACTACCACTGCTCTTTGGAACTGTAGTAAAAGCCACAACCCCCTTAAATCTTTTTTAGGTAAGTTGAGAAAAATATATAAATAAGATGAAAGGATAACCCCTTTTATACTCTTGCAGAATTTCTCTTCAGCAATGATAATCCCTTTCCTCATTAACTGGTTTTATATATATATATATATATATATATATTTTTTTTTTTTTTTTTTTTTTTTTTTTTTGTCTTTTTCATTTTTACCGGTACCGGGGATCGAACTCACGACTGCCTGCTTACAAGGCAGGCACTTATGCCGCTGAGCTAAATCTCCAGCCCCCTACTGGTTATATTTTAATACTATTTCTTAGATTAAAGTAAAGCTGAAGAAAACCCTTGTATTTTTTTTTTTCTTTTGAGACAGAGTCTCCTTATACAGTTTACGTTGGCCTTGAGCTCACTTTGTAGCAAAGGCTGGTCTTGAACTTGCAGCGATCTTTCTGCCTCAGTCTCCTGAGTACTGGGATTACAGGTGTGCACTACCACACCTGACTTTTTTTTTTTAACCAGAATCAAACTCAGGACCTCATACTTGCCAGGCAGGCACTTTTCCACTGAGCTATATCCCCAGCCCATCTCTTTGTATGTTAAATATTAGGCAGTTTGCAAATGTTATTTCTAATTTTCATCATAACTTGCAATCTCTTGCCTTGGTGTTTCTCTCTCTCTTTCTCTTTTTTTAACATTTCAAAAATATTTCCTTTCTGTTTAGACATAAAATATTCTAAAGAATGCAAGTTAACTTAAAATTATATGGCTTTTTCCCAAAGCACTTATCTTTGTATTTTCAAGTACTGAAAATAAATCAACATATTCTATAAGTAAACTCAGACTCTACCATCACCTCATGTCAAATTGAGTTACTAAAAAAGTGGAGAGTTATCCACAGTAGTTTCCTTAAGCAAATAATGGGACTAATTGATCACCATGAATAAATATTACTTTTATTTCACTGAATTTGTCTTCTGAACTATTTATCAATACCATTCAGGGGAATATACCCAGTCCAAAAAAAAAAAAGACACTGCAAATTGAAATGTGTCAATATCCTAGATGATTTGATATTTTCATTTATAAGAATAAATACTGTATCTAATGACCTCTCATAGCAAAAAGAGCAGTTTACTGAAAAGAAATGTATGAAATTCTTGGTGTGCTTTATGAAAGTTAGAAATTATGAATAGAAAAGAACCATTAAGGTATATAAAAAGTTAACATCATGTATTTTGAACCATGCACTTGTTACAATCCATTGTTTGTTTTATAACACCAATACCCGTGCTTTATCTTACGACTACAGAATCAGGTAAGAGGAAAAAAAAAATTTTTTTTTCCTTTATGCATATTGCCAAAGAGACAAATTTTCATTTGAAAACAAAACAGAAATGTCTCTATGAATGTAGCCAAGTGTCTCTGCATTTAGAAAACTTATCACGAAGAGGCCATAGCACTTCTTTGTTAATTCTATGGCTTATATCTTGCTATATCACAGTGTCATCTCAACTTCTGGGACTTTTTTAGTATCCTAAAAGCAACACAGTCATTTTAAAGGCTACAGACTATAACAGCAAGAAATGTTGACTGTTTAAAAAATTATCTTTTAAACTGAAATAAAAAGCCAACTGTGGTCTAAATCATCTGACTATGGCTCCAAATTTAATAATACAAATATCTGTGTATAAAACATTTTCAAAAAGTTAATTCTGCCAGTCAGATTCCTAACACAGGACTTTCCAAGACAGAATTGACTGAATAACCTTATAATCCTATTTTCTGCAGATTTCTGTTAACAGAGTCACTCCCATCGCTGAAGCACATACTGAAATAATTTTCCCTATTATTTTTTTAGTTGTTGAACGTAAACTGTTAATGTAGCTTAACCCTCTGAGGAAGAACTGGCAAAATAAGCACACACAGTACTAATTACAAAATCATGTGTGATGACCAATAATCTACTTTATGGAAAATTGTTAGAGACTTGCAGACCATCTACTATATCTATACTGAAAAAAAATTATAGTGGATGACTTAGTGTAGTAGAGAAATCTAGTGTAGCACTAGATTTCAGACCAAAGTTTACCTACATATATTTAACTTTGTGTTGTATCTGTCCCATTTCTTCATAGGCTATAAATTTGTATCAGCCAATATAGTATCTACAATATAAAATTGTTTAATTCCATGATATCTTAATTTTGCTATAGTAGGCTTTTCCCTCTTAACCACACTGACTCCTGAGTTCCCTGAAGTTCAAGATTTTCCTGAAGCTCGGGCATCCCTGCTCTTAAGTATCTCAGACCCAACCTGGCATATCTTTGGGGTCTGCTTACCTCCCTGGGATGCTTGACCACTGCTGAGAAGAGCTGCCTGGGGCCCGTCTGCCTCCAGAACTGGGTACACAGCTACTCTTCGTGCTCTTCTAGGTCTGGGTAACTTGGTTTCATGGTGGGCACACGCATTACCCTCTGTCTAATATTTTGACCAGAGGAAGGTTAGTAGTGGAAAAGTTGGCAAAATTCAAGTAAAGCCTGTAGGTTAATTAATAATTCTATTGCTGATAATGTCCTGATTCAATAATTATACAATAGTTATGTAAGATTATAATAGAAGGGGTCAAGTAGAAGTTTGTATTATGTAATTTTAGAATAATGTCAAAATAAGAATTTAAGAAGCATTTACAATAAAATAAAATGGAAAGAATATTTTTTAAAAAATCACCAAAAAACCCTACAGTCCTGATCTGTTCACTTACTGACCTTCCTAACAGAACAGACCCTTCTCAGGCACTACAGGGCTCACAGAGCTGTTCACATGAACACCAGAGGCCGTCCGTGAACATACTGTACTGGGGGAGTCAGGCTCAGGAAAGTCTGAGACATCAGTCTCTGTATACAACTCAACCTGCCTCTCTGGTCTCCATAGCAAACAAGTCTTCTCGGCAGTGAGATGTCTTTGGACAGACTGACATGGCTTTGCAGCCCAGATTTGACGCTAGTTGCTGAGCCTTTATTTCTTGCCTATAGAATGGGACCAGCAGCCATCTCTCCCTCTAAAGGTGTTATAAATTTCAGTGAGCTGAGAACACAGGCGCTGGCACACAGTGCACATGCAGTAGGCATGCTGTGGCCGGTGGATGCCATTCCCCTCTGATCGTGTTTGGTGGGTGTCTCCATTCTCTGGAGGATGCCTGGGGCCAGTCAGGCAGGCAGTAGGAAGGAGGGCAGCTACACAGGCCACTCACTAATGTCCTTTTGCCAGCTTTCTCCCATGTGGTGGAGAACACGGCCTTCTTCGGGGATGTGGTACTGCGCTTCCCAAGGATTGTGCACCATTACTTTGACCATAACTCCAACTGGAACCTTCTCATCCGCTGGGGCATCAGCTTCTGTAACCAGACAGGCGTCTTTGACCAGGGGCCCCACTCGCCCATCCTCAGCCTGGTAAGGACCGTAGAAGAGGAGTTGTGGGAGCCTTCAATCTTGTGGTAGACCAGGAGCCTCACATCTGCCATGAGCTCGTGTGTCAGTGCTGGACTGTTTTCAGTGATGAGTCCCAAGGCACTTTTGGCCATAGAAATCCCATGTATGGGGCTTCTCTGTTGACCAGGGTGCTGGGTCCCAGCATAGAGGTAGTGGCTTTCTGGTGAAAAGGAAGCAGAAACAGAGAATGATTAACTTTTCTTCATCTGCAGATGGCCCAGGAGCTGGGGATCAGCGAGAAAGACTCTGACTTCCACAACCCATTTAAAACAGACCGCATGGAGGTGAGCTGCTGGGGCATGTGTCTGTCTGCTTTGCCTCTGTCTGGTGTGGGAAGCTGGGAGCCCAGGGACTAGAACTTAGAGCGGAACACCAGGCCTTTGGAGCTGGAACCAGACATTCCTGGGTCTGAGCCCAGAACCTGTCACCAGTGTACAGACAAATGTCAGGTTTGTGAAGGGTCTGGGAGTTTTACTCTACTTGTTAGAAGGCTAACAAGCCAGTCTGCTTCTATTATGTGGATGCTGACATGTCAGAGATATCAGACTTCATTATAGCAAAATCAGTAGCCAGATAGCTGGCCTGGTCATCTTGGTTCACCTTCTTTCCCAGTGCCCATCAGAGTGACATTGAGGGGCCCAAGCAGAGGCTGTACATGCAGTGGGTTTGAATTTTTCTTGAAGACCACTAAGCTTAGGCAATTCACTTTGATAGTGAATGGAAGCAAACCTGTTCTTCAAGAACTCATCCTACAAGCCTGCTCTGCAGGTTGGGCATGATGGTGCATGCCTATAATCCCAGCATGTGAGCCTGAGACAGGAGGATTGCTTTGAGTTTGAGGCCAGCCTGGACTACAAAGTGAGTCCAAGTCCAGCCTGAACTGCACAGTGAAACTCTGTCTCAAAAGGGCATAACAAAACAAAAGCTAGGCCCGGGATTTAGCTCAGCAGCATAAGCGCCTGCCTGGCAAGCGCGAGGTTGTGAGTTCAATCCCCGGTACCACACACACACACACAAAAGCTAAAAAAAAAAAAAAAAAAAACCCAAACAAACAAAATACATTGCTCTCTGCAAACAGAGACCTAAAAAATGGCCCAGAATGGCCAGAGCTCTTTGCATTATCGGTGTATCAAGCAAGAATGTGCAGGGATGCTTAGGTCCATGGTGGACTGTCTCCCCAACAGTCTACCCAAGACCTACATATTTGGTTGAACTCAAATTTTCACATAAATCTATTTAGGCTAATTACTCTTACCAATGGAAGCCATGAAGAAATCCATTTAATATTTTGCATACTTTATTAAGCGAACTACTGTTAACTGTATTCTGATTGAGGTCAGTCTGCAGCATGCTCAACCATGTCCTTCAGGGTCCCCTACTCAGCCAACTGTGAAGAAGTCCTGGAGGGAACCCATGGGTTTCATTTGGACAATCAGGCTATGATTCAAGACCAGTGTAATATCTATTACAACCCACATGAGAGAGTTTAGGCTTACCTGCCAGTCTTCAGTCTTCCATGAATGTTATTGTTAATAGTTAACGGGGGCAGTAGTTGGAGCCAAAGCAACCCTTCCATAGCCCACTGTCTCTTACTTTCAAACACCAGGACATTGTTTGGTCAAACCTCAGGGGCAGTGTCTCAGTTTCAGTTTCAGTTGTCCTACGTGGTATAATCTAAGATTGCTCAGGCACTAGGAGAAGCAGAAAAATTTGCATGCATCAGATTGAAACAGGTTGTGCCACCTGCTATGTCTATACAGGGTAGCTTTCAGGAGCCACCTTTGATGGTATCAGGCAGAGGAAAATAGTTTAGTACTGGCAGTGTCCACTTGAGTTTGCCCATCACAGGAATGGGAATGACACACCCAGCAGGTGGCCAGACTGTCAGTGGCAGCTGCCATTGATCTGGGGCAGACCCTAGGATTGCTTTGCCAGGTGGCAGTGCTGGATCTAAGGGACAAAGAGAGCATTAATTGTTTCCTGTACCTTCTGGAGTCTAAGGCATTCCCTCTGTGGCTGCTGGGATTATTGCTACAGAATCAATGTATCCCATTCCAGTAGGTATAATATCACTTTTTTTCCAGTTCTTCCCTCCTCTTGCATAGACCCTTCCTTCAGATGGGTCAGATATGAGTGGGACAAGGGTACTTTACAAATTTATACAGATCTGTTAATATCTTCCATCTTTGCCCACATTAGCCACTGCAGGGCACTTGGCAAGCAGTGTTCTCAACCAAGTGATCATATCATAGTCCTTTCAATCTCAGGCCATTCCAACCCAAGACTCTGGTCGTCAAAACAGAAATACAGTCTTATGCTCTATGCCTGTCCATAGTGGGTATGTTGCCATGTCCAGAACTGTGATGTATTTAGGTGACAGTGGTAGTGATATGGGTGTTTCAGGTTTGGTTAGTTTGATTCTAGTCAGTCTCATTAGAGTATGGGCATCCAACAAGTCACCCAAGCCTGGTGTGGTAGCATATACCTGCAGTCCGAGCACTCAGGCGGCTGAGGTAAGAGGAGCTCCATGAGTTTGACGCCAGCCCACACTACACGGTGGGTCTAGGCCAGCCGGAACCACACAGCAAGACCCTGTGTCAAACACAAAAACAAAATCAACAAATCAGTGGTGCAGACTATCTAGTTTGTGGCCCAGAGGCTTGTCTTTGATCTGTCCTTTAATCTTCTGAGTGGCAGACTAAATGGTCAAGACACAGTTAAGAATATAACATACCTAGTTGCTAGTAATGTCATCTAAGGCAAAAGTGACAGCTTTTAACTCAGATCATTGTCTGGCTGGCCTGTATGGCAGTTAGTGTTCCAGGGCTGTCCTAGGGCTGGAAAGCTGCTGCTGCCTGCAGACACTTTTGTCTCCAGCTCTCAAAACCACCCCCAGGACTGTTGTTTTGCTAAAAGGCGACATAGTATTTAATATATAGTTGTATTTGTGGCCGTGAAGATCCTCTAGCAGAATTCACAGTACTCAGCATATAGCCATGTTCATGGCTGATTTACTATAGAGAAAGAATACAAAGCAAAATCAGCAAAGGGCAAAAACATGTGGGATAAATTCCAGGGAAACCAGCTTCTGGAGTCCTCCCCTAGTAGCCTATCACACAGGATAGGCTTAATTCTCCCAGCAACAAGTTGTAACAACACAAGTAAAATGTCCATCAGGGAAGCTCATTAGAGTCCCATGCCCAGAGTTTTATTGGCAGTTGGTTATATGGGCACCCTTTGCCTGACTTTCCCTGAATTCCAGACTCCCAGGAAGAAAGCAGGTGTTCAGCATAAACTGTATTATTTTCACAGTTTAGTCACAGTGAACCACTCTTACTGATTGTGGAGCCAGGGTTGGGGAGCCTCCCGAAATGTTAGTTTGCAGTCACCAGCCAGCAGCCTGCCTTGAAAGCAGGACTTGTAAAGAACAACAGTCAGGCCTGCATATTTGTGCAATAGCTTAGATTTCACCTTCGCTGGGGCACAGTGAGCCAGTACTGAGGGTCCCACCCAGCCCAGGGGCTTGGCTCTGTGTAGCAATGGTGGATACGGTGTGCCGTGTAACAATGGTGGATCTGTTTGCCCGTGTTGAAGTAGCTGCTGCCCTTTTATGCAAACTAAGGCAACATGTTTCCCCAGAATGCTTACTGCAGTCAAACCCTGATAATGTTCCTGGCTAAGAACAGTCAGGGCCTTGTTTCTTGGGGTGCTCTTCCAGCACATGTACTGATTCTTAAGGCTATGGCGGGTTTCCTTTCCCAACAAGGGGGCATCCATGAGGATGCTTTATTGCTGTGAAACAGGCTCTTGGCCTGGAGTCACGCATGTCCCTCTCATATAGGACAGGAGTGAGAGTGTGGATAAATTTAGACTAATGTCAGCATTGTGTGCTCTTGGATATAACCATAGAAGCAGTATAAATTCCTTCCTTTTCATTGGCTGGAGACTATCCTGAGATTTGTTTCTACTTTTTTGTGTGATGCTGAAAGTTGAACCCATGGTCTCAAATATCCTGGGCAAGGGCTCTATCCTTGAGCTATACCTCTAGCCCACCACCCAATTTTGATAGCTAGCACAGACCTCTCCATCTGTAGGAGCTGTAGGTCTGCTCAGCTCCTCTCATACATTGCCTTTTGTGCTAGGAGTCTGCCTACATTTTATGCACCATCACTAAAGACCCATTTTGTCAGTTGACATGCTGACCGCTGTCCCTGAACAGGAGGCTGTTCTTGTCCCTGCCCTTGAGGTGCTCACAGTATGCTAGGAAAGGCAGCAGGGAATACAATCCCATTCCAGCATGATCACTGTGCCAGTGGGGAGGAAAGCCTAGTGAGCTATCGGCCCCTGAAGGGAATCTGACCCAACATCTGCTGGCAGATAGAATGGAAAGAGTTAAGAGTTGCTGCATGAGCTGGGTGTGGTACTACGCACCTGCTCCGGAGGCTAAGGCAGAGGATTGCAAGTTGGAGGCCAGCCTGGGCAACTCAGTAAGATCTTATCTCAAAATAAAATTTAAAAATAAGGGCTGAAAATATAACTCAGTGGTAGAGGCTTGCCTAGTTTGTGCAAGACCCTGGATTCCCTTACCAGAACTGCAAAGAAAAAGAGAGAGTGGTCAATCCTAGATAGACCAGTGGAGGAAAGGCCTTTCAGATACATAGCATATTCCATTATTCAGCATTGGTGAGCATCTGTTCACCGCCCCTCATGGGTTGGGGGGCAGACTAGCCCTGCACTTCTGGAGTGGCGTTCAGTGGAGAAGGGATGGTTAATGAAAAATATATGATTATATGTGTGTATATATGGTTAATAGTTATGATATATATATATATTATATATATATAAAATATATATATGATGCAGCAAAAGTTGTGGAGAAAGAGGCAGTGGCATGTGGATAAGGAATGCCCTGGGTCAGGCAGGGGTGCAGGTGCTATTTCACAGGGATGGAAGAGTCTGACTGAAAAGACCTGAGGGAAGAGTGCTGCAGGGTGAAGGAGCAGAGACAGCAAAGGCTGTGCATCAGGAACATCTTTGGGGGATGGGAAGGGTGAGGAGACAGGAGACAGTGAGTTCAGAGATGAAGGTCAGATCCCAAGACCCTCAGCTCAGGCCTGTGTGAGGCCTTCCTCATTAGTTCTGAATGACACAAACAGCAAGGGCCTTGTCATGTTAAAAGGTGTCACCTGGCTGCTGTGTGGTGCTGGGGACTAGATGGAAGGAGGAAGGACCCAGGAGAGGAAGCTGCTGTGCTGTGGAAGGTAGCTTGACTGGGGCGACAGTGCAGAGGGGAGAAATGGTCAGGTTCTGGTTCTCATCTGGCAGCAGAGCCGAAAGCACCTGCTGAGGAGGCAGATGAGGTAGAGTGAGAAAAGCATTACGGAAGATCTTTGGCCAGGACAGAGGCTGGGGCTGCATTTTCTCCAGCGGTTGGGGAGGGAACTAGAGATTGTTTCTGTACCTGATGAGCATTTGAATGAAGATATCGAGAAGGCGAGTAGATAGATGACTATAGACTTGAGAAAGTGGCAGCCGGAGCTACAAATGTGGGAGTCATGCCAGTGTAGAAGGTACTGAAAGCCATGGACAGGTCAGCTGCGGGGCCGGGCAGACAGAGGAGCAGTTTGAGGGGCTGAGCCCTGAGACTGGGCTGCCTTTAGAGGCTGGGGAATGAGGAGGAGCTAGCAAAGAAACTCCTGAGAGGAGCACTCACTGGGAAGAGCAGTTGGTCAGCTGCTTCTGGGAAGTTAAGGAAGACAAGGATGGAGAATCAGTTGCTGGGTTTAGAATCGGCTGCTGGTGATCGGTGGTTTTGATGGAGTGGTGGGGGCAAAAGATTTGAGTTTCAGAAGAATGGGAGGAAAGTATGTGGTTGAGACAAGTAGAGACACCCTTTTTGAAGTTTTAGTTTTGAGACGAACAGGCCAACAGCAGATGGCGGTTGGGGGTTCTGGTTTCCGATTTTAGTCAGAGAGGAGAGAGGACAGCCGCTTGGTATGTGATCAGGGAGGGAAGAACTGATGGTGTAGGGGCTGGAGAAGGGATAAGTTGTTGGAGCCCCACTGGTGCTGGGAGACAAGAGACTAGGAAAAGGGAGGTCAAGTTTCTCTTTTGACCTAGCTAAGATTGGACTAAGCCAATGGGGGATGCAGGGACCAGGACCTCTTGACCTGACCTTGCTCAGTTAGAGCGAGTTTGGGGCCCTCTGTGACCTAAGGTGTTTCTCAGCTCCCTTTAGTCAGATCAGGATTTGTTCAGGGGATTGGAGCAGTGTCATAGGGGAAGTGTGGGGAGAGGGACATGAGCCTGGCACATTACTTCTAGGTCAGCCTCCTACTTGCTGCATGACTTAAGTGACTTAAGTGTGTCACCTCCCCTCTCTGAACCACACTTTGGTGATTTCCCCCATCTTCCAGACACATGACTCAACCCAATCTGATAGGTAGATTACTCCACCAGATGGAGCTCTTAGTTTGTTTTTAATGTCCACCTCCATCATACATTTGTCAAATTTGCCATATGAACACAGAAAAGGGGCATATTGCACAACCTGAGTTTTGAATACTGTTGTATTTCACATCTAACACACTCTTTCATTCATTCATTTAAAAAGCACAGACTGAGTGCTACTGAGGAGGCAGGGTAGGGGATATAGCTCAGTGGCACAGTGCCTGCCTGAAGTCATGAGTTCAATTCCTGGCTAAAAAAAAAAACAAGTACAAGCAGGCAGACAATGTGCTAGGGACTTTGAAACTATGCCTAATACCATCCTCCTGTCCTCATGGAACATGCTGTCTGGTGGGGTGATAGGCAGGAAGTAGGTGATCACAAAGGAGAGGTTCGTGTAAGAAGGAATGAGCACAAAGTTGAAGAGCGTGGGCCAAAGAGGAGGCAGACTGGGGGAGGTCCCTCAGGCAGTGGCAGCAGAGCTGGGGCTAACAGATGGCAGGGCTGGGAAGATCCTTGTAGGCCTAGGCTATAGCATGTGCAAAAGTCTAGGATTGGAAAGGCACAGGGAATCCAAGAACTACAAGCCAGGGAGCATTTGAGACATTCTAGTAAAGCTATTAGGCATTTAGAAACGGATGAGGGGTAACTGACCTCATAAACTAGCAGAAGCGATAGCCCCAGGTAAGGCTTCCCTGGAGAGTGCAGGGTGGGAAGAGCTAAAGCCCTGCCTGGGATTGTAGCTGAAGATGCCTCAGCCAAAGTCTTTATCCTCTTCCCACCCCACTTGTGCCTGGTGTTCCTATGTCTTCCTCCCATTTGCTGAGGTCTGCTAGTTTAACCTCTGCTCTACCTCTGTTCCTGTGTGCTCTCTCACCTAGAGCCTGCCTCTTGGTAAGCTGTTGCCTACCTGTTGACAAGGTCACTCTGGGTTCATCCCTTCTCTTCAAGGGTGTGATAGACAGGTGTGCCCAGGGCCACTCAACTTCTTCTCTCTAGAGGAGTTTATTGTCTGTCAGCACCTTGAGCCTCTGTCCCTCTGCCTGGAACGCCCTTCTGTTCCTTGTTGGCCTGGCAGACTCCTGCTTGTCTTTCTAGGCGCACTCAGCACTTGTCCCAAGCTTAGGTAACTCTGCAGGTCTGGAGCTCCCCAAGGGCAGGACTGTGTCTGGGTAACCTTCTTGTCTCTGCACTCTATGCCTAGCTCAAAGGAGACTCTGCTACTGGCAGACTGAATTACACCACTCTGCTCTTCTCCTCAGTTCATTTCCAGCAACGACCCTTTCCAGAAGGCCCTGCGGGAAGAAGAGAAACGCAGGAAGAAAGAGGAGAAGCGGAAAGAGATCCGCAAAGGTCCAAGGATCTCCCGGTCACAGTCTGAGTTGTAGCTCTGGAGCAACTCAGGAACCAAGGGTCCAGCAAGAGGCCCACTGGAAGGAAGAAGGCCGTGTGGCTCTGCGGTGGCAGCATCCACCATGGTGGTGAGCACTGGCTCCTTCCAGTTGGGGACTCCACATTTGCTGGGTCCTCAGGAGCCAAAAGGACTGAAGCTCAGGTAGCTGGATTTCCTTCCCAGAGCCTGTCTGGAGGGGGCACTGAAGGGACCTTTAGAAGATACCATGCTACAGGCAAGGACTTATAGAGGCTGCTGGGGAAGGAAGGAGGGCAGCCTGGAGTCCTAGTGGGTAAGGGCCGCCATCACCCTTTGGAAAAGCAGTAGAACCAGGCTCTGAGTCACAGGTAAAGAGGCCATGCCTACAGCTAGTTCTACTGTGTCAGTGAGCTACTTGGCAGCTCAGGTCCCAACTCTTCTTCAGAAACACAATAAAAGCCAGCAAACCACTGAGCCCACTAAAGCTGTGGAGTGGGCTCTGCGGGAAGCAGGGAAGCAGGAGCCTCAGGAATGGCCCGAGTTTGGAGGATGAAGCTCCCTTATCCGAGGAGCCCAACTCTGGCTGGGCAGAGAAGCAGCAGCTTGACTTGGACTCTTGCCTCTCAGCACGGCCCTTGACCAGGAATTGGCCTTGAGAGAAGCCCTGGAAGTGTCCCAGGAGGGTGTTAGGTCATCCGGAGAGACCTTGGAGAGCTGGGGACAGTCACTGAGCAGCCAGGGAGCAGTCAGCACATCAGGGAAGACCCTTAACCTATGGGTGTATGGTCTGCAAGGGCAGGGCTGCCCTGAGCCAGTTTGGTCAGACAGCAAGCTCCCATTTCAAGAGCAAGTGAGTGTAGTCCTCCAGACAGTCAAGGGAGCTGCAGAAAGGGTTAAGCCCCAGGTCGGTAGAGAGGGAACTGCTGCCCTTCAGTCCAGCCCTTCCAGAACAGAGCGGGGAGGGGCTTCAACAGGAATTCTACCTCTGCCTCTTGGGCCTGTCAAGCCAAGGGTCTGCCTCTTAAAGGAACAGAGGCACAAAACCATCCTCAGTCCACTCCATGCTCAGCCTCCAGCCCCACGTAGCGCCCAAGTGAAAATGAGACTTTGCCTGTCAAACTTACTGACTCTGGCCTAACCCATTCCTTCCCGTGCCTGTAGCCTCAGGGGTAAATGAACTTGATATCTGAACCATCTGCCCAGGCCAAATCTGTTTTGTCGTGTGTGCTTCCCATCCTTGGTGCTAGCCACTAAATTCTGGGCTTTTGCCCTGAGCTGTATCTCCAGGCTTATTTATTTTTCTTGAGACAGGATGAGCTTAAACTTGCAATCCTCTTGCCTCAGCCTCTCAGAGTGCTGGGATTACAGGTATGCCTGGTTCTAAGCTGCTTTCTTGAAGCTGGCTTGCTGTTGGGCAGCATAGCAAAGACAAGCCAGGCCTCAGGGAGACTCATGGGAGGACCTGAAACATCCTGTACCCTAGCAGCCACTCAGGAGAAGTAAGGGGACAAGAAGCAACTGGAAGAGAACTGGGAGGAAGTCTATTGATGCTTTGCCATCAGGACTGCCCACCAGCCCCATTTCCCCTCACTGGACAAGGGAGGTGGTGGTAGGCTTCCCTCGAGACCTGGACTCTGTGCCCTGGACATGGACCTTCAGCCATTCCTGTGAAGAGTACAGGAGATGGCTGTGCTAGTCTGCAAGCTGTAGGGCTATAGTAAGGGAGGGATCAGGAGCCATCTGTCAGCTGGTTAGGCTGTCCTGGTGTCCACAGGTGAGACACCAGCAGCGCCAAGGCTCCTCCCTGCCCCTTCTTGGAGAACAGTTGCAGCTGCTGACTTTCCAGAGGAGGCGTTTCCTCCCTTAATGGAGAAAGACTAAGAACCATGCTGCCTGTTTAGCTGTGGACCAGGCTTCTTGGGAATGGTGGGAGGCCAAAGGATGCCTCAGGACAGTGCAGACGTAGTTCCAGCTTTGGTAGGAGTCCTATTAAGTGACTTCTAGGGCCTTTGTCATCAGCAGCACCTCAGAGTGATGAGGAAGGCTCTTCCCTTGCTCTTGTCACCCGGATCTGAGTGTCAGTCCACTGCCACTCAGATCCTTGGGTCCTCGTCTCAGAGTGCTCAGGAGCTTGAGAGGATACGGGCCTGCAGAAAAGTCCTTTCTAGTTAGATGGTGCCAGGAATTTAGTAGCTTCTCGGCAACAGGTGCCCTTCTCTTCTTTGTTCATTCTGTAGATTTACTGAGGGCCCACTGTGTCTCTGAGTGTCTGGCTACCCTTCCTCCTCGGCTTTTCCCTGTACACCTTCAGCCTCTCTCCATGTTGGCTGGGCTTGTTCCCTCCACCTGGGATGAGCCCAGTGTTTCCCAACTGCCACCTGTAAAGGTGGCAGCCCATTTGCTGCTCTCTCTTTGTCTTGCTTGTGGTTGATCATTTGTTCTGGGAACCCTTTTTTTTTTTTTTTTTGAGACAGGGTAGCACTACATAGTTCAGGCTGGCCTTGAATTCACAGTACTCCTCTTGCCTCAGCCTCCCAAGTCTGAGGGAACCCCATTTTATAAGGCTTATGTAGACAGAAGGGACCCCTCACTTCAGGGGAGTTAAAGGCTTGAGGGTAATTGTTTGTCCAGTTGCCTGCAATTAGGATTCATTTATCTGAGGAAACTTCCACCAACTGTGGGCACCTAGTCAGTGTGGTTCTTGATGGCTTTGGTGGCAGCAGGTACTAGGGATAGCAGCAGGAGGTGATTCTAACAGCCAGTCCAATAACCAGTGCCAGGAATGCCCTGTGATGGCAACAAATACTGTCACTGTGGTCTGGGACATTGTTCCAGTCTGCTAAGTTTCCAGGTCCAGACTGTAGGACCCCTAGGGAGTCTGGGAGCCCCCTAATATTCTTTAAGGCAGGTTTTCTTGACAATGGCACTGTTGGTATTTTAGGCCAGATAACGCTGGTGTGTGAGGAAGACAGGGTATTTAGCAGCACTGGGAATTATTACAAGTAAAAATGTTTCCTGATGCTCCCTGGGGGCAAATCTTCCATGCACAGCCTTTCTCCCTCCCAGCCTGGATCCTCCTCTGCTGTCCCCAACCCTGGCCTTCCAAGAGATGGTGTTGACAACTCATGAACTTACTGTCCTGGTGCTCTGCCCTCAATCCCTGCTGTCTCTCTTCCTGACTCCTTGGCAGCCAGTGGTAGTGGTATATATCTGTGACCCCAGAACTCAGAGGCTGAAGCAGCAAGATCTCCAGTTCAAGCCTAGCCTGGGCAAGTAGCACATTAATGAGATCCTGTCTCAAAAATTAAAAAGGTTTATAGATGTATCTCAGGACAAAGCCCCTGGGTTCAGTCCTCAGTACTGCCAAACAATAAAGCTTGGCCTCACTGCTGCCCTTTTGCTTTTCTGTTCTTGGACAGCCATTCCCTCTAAGATCTCAAAATTAATGGCACCTACCCTGTCACCATCTGCTACACCCCACAGCTTATGCTTCAGTTCATCCCAAACCAAACTTGTCATTTCTCACCCTGTAACCCAACCTCTTCGTCAGATTCTCTTGTAGTGTGTCAGGAACTTCCTGGAAGAAATGACACCTAAACTGAGTCCTGAAAAACCAGGGGAGGAGGAAGAAGGGGGCAGGTGCTGGAAGCAAAGGCCTCAAAGTGTAGGCGTCAGTACATGTGATTCCCTACGACCTATAGCCAGTGCCAAATCCATCATAGAAAATTTGACAAAATGATCACCTAGTCCAACCCCTCCCTTTTCAGATGAAAAACTCAAGTCTTGACTTGTCAGTGGCTTCTCCATCTCACAGAGCCAGCCTGTCCTCCCAGCCAGAGCAAGGTGCCAGGTGAAAGATGTTCAGTCAGGTGGGATCCAGGCCAGAGGGCGAGTGTTGGTGTCTTACTAGGCTTTGGATCCTGGGCAATGCCATTCTTCTGTTTCTCCTGAGCCTTTGGGCTTGCTTCCTCAGGCCACTTGGCCAGGCGCCAAGGCCTCTGGGCAGGTCTGCTGGGAGCCACAAACAGCTGCTGAGTGGGAAGCCCTGTGCCTACCTCATTGATCTCCCAGTGCTCAAGGAAACCCCAGATGTAGTGGGAAGGCACTTGATCAAAGTGATTTGTTTGGGGGTCCTGCCAGAGAAGACAGACAACTGTCAGTTCAGGGAGCTCTGACAGAGCTACCAAGAACCACTGATGAAGATGGCACTGTCCAGCTTGGTGCCGCAGCAGGTCCATAGCAGGCAGCTGAGTTCAGGTGCTGTTTTCTGTTTCTTAGTGTAAACAGCAAAGAGCACTCTTGTTTTGCTTTAACCTCAGTGTAAGACACAATGTATTTCTCATAGAATAAATGCTCAGCATAAAAGGTAATTCAGACAATAAAAAAAGAAGAGAGAACAGTCCACCCCACATCCCACCACACCCACAGGCACAACTGACAGTCAGCTGTTGGGCCTTGCTTAGTTTTTCAGTGATCATTTCTGTATTCTATGGCACCTTACTACATGCCCTGACCTTCATCACATGCATTGTGGCAGCAGCTTCTGCCTCAAGGTTTTTAATCCATGTTATCTGAACCATAACTACACCACAGGGAGTTCCTTCTTCAGAGTTGTAGATTTCATTTTTAAATGTCCCCTGAACTCAGGATTTTGCACACGCTAGGCAAACTCTACCACTGAGCTACACCTGCAGCCCAAGTCTTAACTTCACAAGTCGGGTCTTGTTACTTTTCCTTGGTCACTTGAACCATCATCTGTTATTTGTTTGTTTACAGCTCCCTACCCCAAGCTGGAAGTTCTTAAGAGGGCAGAAACTGTTCATCTGCCAGAGATATCCATAAATGTTGTCAAACCAACATGTATATAATTTCATGAATCTTCACAACTATGAAGGGTACTTTTTTGTTCTGTTTTTCTTTTCTTTTCTTTTTCTTGTCTTTTTGAGACAAGGTCTCTCTATGCAGTTCAGGCTGGCCTTAAGCTCACTTTGTAGGCTAGGCTGGTCTCGAAGTCGAAATGATCCTCCTGCCTCAGCCTCCAGAGTGCTGGGATTATAGATATGAGCCACCAAGCCCACCTTTTCTGTCTTTTTGAGACAGGGCCTAGCTGTGCAGTTTGGACTGGCCTTGAGCTCACTTTGTAGCCCAGGTTGGTCTGGAACTTGCAATGATCCTTCTGCCTCAGCCTCCTGTGTGCTGGGTTAGACATGTGCCACCATGCCCAGTTGAAGGGTGCTATTTTATTTCCATTTTATCTTACTTTTGAGACAAAGTCTCGCTGTGTATGATCCTCCTGCTGCAGCCTCCACAATACTGGGATTATGGGTATACACCACCACATTCAGTTTTCATTTCCATTTTACAGATAACAAAACAGAGGTTAAGAACAGCTCCTAAGGAGTTGTCTCAAAAACTTTAAGTGGGTGTCCTTTAAGTCCTGAGTGACCCCTGAGCAACGTTTGCCTCTAAAACTTGCATGAAATTTACTGATTTTAGGATCTTCATACTAAGCTATCTCCTTAGTCCTAAAATTTTGAGACAGGATCTTGCTAAATAGCTAAATTGTCCAGGCTGCTGGGCTTAAAAGCTGTGATCCCTCTGCCTCTGCTTCCCACAGTGCTGGGATTATGGGCGACATACACCTTCTGATATGTTGTAAAAGCCTTTTCTTCACATTTATGTACTTTTTCCTTCTTGTTTTGTTTTGTTACCTGGGTTGGGACCCAGGGCTTTGCATGCACTAAACCTCTCTGAAACTGAGTTATATATCCCCAGTTCTTTGCATATAATTTTTAATGTCATAGTGTCCCACCATGTGAATGTAATTTATCAGGGCCTTACTGGACTTTTCAGTTTTTCTCAGGTACAGAGCATCTGATGACGAATGTCTGAACATACGTATTTATTTTCGCATTTCTTTGAGCAGTCCTTTTATTTGTTAGGATAGATTCTTGGAAATTTGCACCTTTGCACAACGTGACCAGTTGCAAAAAACCTGAGTGAGCGCCCGAAAAAGTGACAATCCCTGCGAAACTTTTGCAAAGCCTTGGGCGCTGGCAGCTGCTTAAAACCCCCGGAGGTCCTGCGGTTCCGGGATAGAGGTCCAATATGCAAAGCCGCGGAAACTGTGAAATGTTAGCTACACTTGGATAATTCATTGTCCTCTCAGTCTTCATTTCTGTGTTTTTAAGAGGGCTGGGACGAGCATGACTTAGTCGGTCTCCAGTTCTGGAGGCTAAATTTGACTCCCCACTTGACCAGGCGGGCCGGGCAGGGGATGGGGGAGAGGCAGCTGGGAAGATGACGTAATGTACTCACGGCTAGTGCTGGGGGCGGCCGATGGTCGCCGGGGGACAGCAGCTCTTTAACCCTTCAATCCCAGGTCCATAGACGAACCGCTTGTGGACTAGATCCACCGCAAAAGGGAGCGGCTCCTTTAAGGCAAGCGTAGGAGGCTGGGCTGAGAATCCAGCGGGCTATTAGCCTCAGTCTTTCCAAGTCCGCGATGGGTGGGGCTTCGCTATGCAAATCTGAGCTGCTGATCGGTGACGCACTATCACCCCACGCGCCGCTGAGCGCGCCGATTGGCTGAAACTAGCCTGGTCCCATTGACAACAAACAAGGGGACGTGCCGAGTGGGGGCGGGGCCGCAGAGGGCGCGGGCAAGGAAGGGGAATCCCGCCCCGCCCCTTCCGCGCAGCGCGGGGGCGCAGCGCAAACATGGCGGCGGCTGGCACGGGCCGGTGAGGCGGTACCCGGAGGGAGCTGCCGGGTGTCATGGGCGGTGGCAGCGGTACCGCCCCCGCGTCACCCTGAACGGGACAGCAGAGAGGGCCCTCCGCGCCGAACCGGGAGATGGACGAGAGCGGTGAGCTGGGCGGTCTGGAGACCATGGAAACCCTCACGGAGCTGGGCGACGAGCTGACCCTGGGGGACATCGACGGTGAGTGGTGGGTGGTGGGAGTGCAGAGGGCGCGCGGGGAGGAAGGGGTTACGGCGGCGCGCGGCGGTGCGCGTGCGCCCACCCCGCCAGGCTAAGGCTCGCGCGGGAAGAACCTCCGCACGCCCGGTAGCTTCGGCGATCCCAGTCCTTCCGGCGCGAAGGCCGAGAGGCCCGGGCTCTGGGCTTCGGTAGGCTGTTGCGTCCGGCACAGCCGGGCCGGGAGCGAAGAATGGGGCCGGGGGCGGCGTAGGCAGCGGCCTCAGAGTGGAGCGCGCGACCGTGGTCGCCTTATCGCGCCCACACGCGGTGTCCGTCGCCGCGTCCACCTGTCACTCCCTGCCCGGCCCCCGGAGCGGCTTCGGGATTTGCCGGCTGGGTCCTTAGATTGGGCGCCCCAGCCTGGCCGTGTCTGGATTGACCGACGGCCGGGTGGCCAGGTGCCCGGGGAAACTTGGGGCAGCAGCTGCTGGAGCGAGTTGCTGGTGTAGTGAGTGGTGACGGAGGAGCGTGGACGCATCTCGGAATGGAGACACGGGCTCTTGCTGTTGCACTGGCAAGAGTTGAGCAGCAGGAATTTTGAGTGGTGGACCCTGGGCTACAAACTGAGGAGCAGGTGGCCTTTGTTCCTTTGCTTTTAATAGCAGAGTGGAAGAAGATCCTCTTTTGCAATGGTTTTCATTTTCTGGCCCCGGAATCAAGGTTTGCAGAGGATCCACTTTGCCCAGTTGCCACGCTGGTTGCAGAATCCAGTTCTTCAGTATTGGTATCTTTCCACCACACTTTTAGGGATTCTGAGTCCAGTGAATCTTAACAATAACTAGTAAACTTAAAAGTAGTTTGTAATAGTTGGGCACTTCTGATGTTACAACTCCCAGATACTTTGTATTATTTTGTTTATGCCTCACAACAATCTTGTAAAATAGGCATTCTTATTGCTTCTATTTTACAGATGATCTCTTACGCTCCTCACCTTAGTACAGAACCCATGCTCTTAAGCAATAACTCAAGAGCTTTGTGCTTTTCAGTTACAAAGTGCTTTAACATCTGGCCTTTCCCAGACTTTCCCCGAATGCCTGGCAGTCTGGCAGGCAGATAGGATGACTAACATTCCTATTTTAAAGATGGAGAAATAGCAGAAGATTCTCTTCTGGAGAAAGAGATAGCCACTCCATTTTGTTCATCTAGGGAATGTCCCACTTCTGAACACAGATTTCCACAATTAAGTCCTGCTAAGTATAGAGATGGGTTAACAGATCTGGGGGAGGAGGTCCTCGAACATAACAAAAGAAACTATTATGTTTTGATCACTTATGTGCCAGACATTATGTTAAACACCTGGACACTCTGTGTGTGTGTGTGTGTGTGTGTGTGTGTGTGTGTTTGGTGGGTGGATGGCACTGAACATTGAACCCAGGGCCTTCGCCCTGAGCTACATTTCCAGCTCTTTATTTTTTAATACAGGGTCTTGTTAAATTCCTGGGCTTGAGCTTTCAGTCCTCCTGTTTCAGCCTCCCCAAGTGCTGGAATTATAGATGAACCACCACACCCAGGTCATCTGTGCACATCAATACTATATTCTCAATCCTCATAAGAATTCTGTTAAGTAGCTATAACTGTTAATTAACAGTCTTAATTCTCTTTTAGATTTAGATTTTTGTTTTTTTTGAGACAGGGTCTGCTATGCAGTTCAGGCTGGCCTTGAGCTCACTGTGTAGCCCAGTCTGGCCTCTTAATTTTTGGTGGTCCTTCTACCTCAGCCTCGTGTGAGCTGCTCTCACAGATTTTGAAACAGAGCCCCAACGCTGTTCGTTAATTATCCAGGGTTACACAGCCAGAAAGACTGTCCAAAGCAAGGGCACAAAAATCCATGTACATTTTGTACTTCTAGTCCGTAATTGATTCTATTTGCTTTAATTTACTATGTGTTAACTTACCACATGTTTAATAATAATTTTGTTCCCATAGATTGTATAGTCTTGAAACTAGCACAGTGGTTCAGTGGCTTCACAGTCCTGATACCAGATTTGGGAAATGTTCCTGTCTTCAGCTGGTCAGCTAGAACCAAGTACCTGTAATCCCAGCACTCTGGGAGGCTGAAGCTAGAGGTTAACAAATTCCAGCCTAGCCTTGGCAACTGAGCCAAGATTCTATCAAAATGTAAAAAAGCTCATTTGGAGAGCCTTGGGTTCAGTACCTAGTACTGCAGAAAACAAACAAACAAAAAATAGTAGTTAACAAGTTTTTGGTTTTTTGTTTTTTTGTCTTTTTCGCTTTTACCCGTACCAGGGAGCGAACTCACGACTGCCTGCTTGCAAGGCAGGCACTTATGCCGCTGAGCTAAATCCCCAGCCCCAGTAGTTAACAAGTATTTAAATACCAACCATGGTGTTTGAGTTGCAGGGAGGCATTAAAAGATAGACAGGGTTTTATGGCCTTGTGAATTTGAGATGAGTAACCATAGTGCTGAATATATAACAGTTTAGAGTTGCACAGTAAGTGAAAGTCTTTGGTGAGAACTTGGCTTACCAGGAAATCTACACTAAAAAGGGCCTCTAACCTGAATGAGGCTAAAAAAAAAAAAAAAAAAAAGACTGAACAGGCTGGAGGCCAGTGGTATGCAGATACAAGTGTCCCTTGATACCTTCCCATATATTCTCTCTTCAGAATGTTAGTGCAGTGAGGCAGGGACCTTCCATTGTACCTAAAACAGTGCTTGATACAATGAGAGTGCTTACTAAGTTGTTTGTGGAATTCCTACATGAATACAGTGACCTTGGGTTGTGCAGGATGTCAAATTGTACCAGACATAGTCTTCAGTCTAGATGCATTTAGGTGACAGTCTGATGAGGAAGGGGCAGAGTTATGTGAGTACATTTACTTTCTTTGTGTGTCAATTTGGGGGAAGAGTGTACTTGCAACCTAGAAATCTCATTCCTACATCCAGGAGGCACAGGCAGGGAGGAAACCTTCATTCTGCCTGCCTCAATTCATTGGTTCCCTTTGGGGCTGAGTTCAAGGTAGAAACCTTATTTAGTCATTCAGCACATCTCTAGTGGCAGCCAAGTACCTGTGTAATGATATAGTGCGGAGGGCGCCTTTAACAAGACAGGCAAGGTCTGTTCTCCTCAGGGAGCTTCAATTCTTTTTTTTTTTTTTTTTGTCTTTTTCCTTCTTATCGGTACCAGGGATCGAACTCACAACTGCCTGCTTGCAAGGCAGGCGTTTATGCCGCTGAGCTAAATCCCCAGCCCCTGGGAGCTTCAATTCTTAATGAGAAAACAAAGTATATAAAAGAGCAATTTTAGCAAGGCCCTATGAAAATAAAATACAGCATTTTATTTTATGTATTTTTTATTTTTTGTCTTTTTGAGACACAATTTCACTGTGCAGTTCAGGCTGGCTTTGAGCTCGCTTTATAGCCCAGGCTGGTCTTGAATTTGCAATGATCCTCCTGCCTCAGCCTTCCGAGTGCTGGGATTACATGTATGTACCACCACACCCGGTTTAATGGAGCTGTAATATATAGAGTGGCCTGCGTTAAGTACTCTTAAGAGTGCCTCTTTGAAGAAGTGTCATATCTTTCAACTCTTGAGTCTTCGTGTTTAATTTCCAGATTATTAAATATTGGTTCTTTTTTTTTTTTTTTTTTAAAGACTCATTCTGTGGCCATCCAACAAAGGAGGTATACTAATTGCTTTCCAGGTCCTTGTTCTGCTCTAAAATGTTCTACTTTCTCAGGACCCAGGGTTTCATTGGATAGAGTAACTACAATACTTTTGTGGTATGAGGAAGGCCCTTATGCCATGTCTTCTGCAAGGGCAGGGCTAAAATCCTCTTTCACTATGATGAGGAAAGACAAGGTCAAGGAAATAACCTTTTGTTGGGGCCAAAAGGGATGGGTGGCAGGAGCAGCTTGACAAACATGGAAAGAAAGTGACCAGAGTACCTTTGAAATAAAAGATGACCAGTAGGGGATAGTAACACCAGCCTGTAATCCCAACACTCTGTGAGGCCAAGACAGAAGAATCCAAAGTCTCAAAACCAATTTCAAATATAAACAGATTAAAAGCCCTCTGCCTCTGGGTTCGACATCTGGTACCTCAATGGAAGGATGGATGGATAAATAAATAAATAACTGACCACTAAAGATTTGTTGGAATGCAGTACTGTGAAAATGAAGTCTGCAAGGTGAGCTGAAGCCAAATTGTGCTGTAGATGCAGGCATTTTGTGGAATATGGGGAGGGAATTGCTGAATATTTTCAAGTAGAGGGATGACCCGTTAATCATGAGTTTTAAGAAGATGCATCTGTACTGATAGGCAGGAAAGCCAGTTGAAACGAGGGACACCAAGGGCGATACTACAACCATCCAGGTATGAGGTCATGGTCTCAGTGAAGAGTTGTCCCTGAAGGCAGATCATCAGTGAAATTCTAAGGCTCCACTAAGACTTGGAGCCTGGGGCTTTGGAAGAGAGTTCCCAAGGCAGCTGGAAGAGCTTGTTTGGGTAGATGTTTTAAAAAATGGGCTGAAATTGGGATAGAGAAGTATCATCCAGTAGGAAATGCAATGTGGATAGTCAGAAGAAGGAATTGAGATTTAGTCACGGCTGCTGAGTTATAAAAATGAGAGAACTAAGCTGGGCATGGTGGTAGCTCATACCTGTAATCCCAGCACTCGGGAGGCTGAGGCAGGAGGATCATTGTGAGTTCGAGAGCAGCCTGAGCTACAAAGTGAGCTCAAGGCCAGCCTGAACTGCATAGAGAGTCCCTGTCTCAAAAAGACAAAAAAAAAAAAAAAAAGACCAAAACCCAGGAGTTTTGAAGTAAGGAAAGTGTGAGGAACCAAGAGGAAGTGAGCTTTTTAAGGAGTGGTCAGTAGGTTTTGGAGACAGTACAGCAGAGGGAAGCAAGAGTGGAAAGCCCATGTAAGGAAACACGGGATCTACAATTAGGAAAGGGCTTGACCTTTGACAGAGCAGTGAGATGGCAGGGGTGGGGTC